ATTACAATCTGGTGACTGACTATTTAAATATAACTCATGAAGGTCTGTCCTCCTTGAGATATCCAGTATTTTGATCCCCTGGTCTCCAGTTTCTAAAACCATTCTCAGCTTCCACTTTTTCTCTATTAGCACTTATTGTCCTCAGTGACCCCATCATCAGTGCTCTGAATTCTGGTGTCTTCTTAACCTTTTCCAGATTCTCTATATTGGATAAATCTGATCATTCCCTTTGTTACTCCTGTTCTCATGTTTGTAAGCAGATCTAAGAAGGTTGCAAAGTTAAGCTCAGCAGCTGCTTCACATTTGTGGTTTTCAACCTCTGCTGGATCTTAGCCTTTAGACTTTTTTAGATATGGCTCTAAGTGAATGAGTATAGTATTTATTGAGGATATTTACTGGTGACGAGTTCTACATCCAGCATTTTACATTCAGTCTCTGATTTAGTACTTCTGATGCCCTGTGGGGTAGGAAGGAGGCCATGGAAAGTAAGGCTAAGAAAGAAGGGGTAAGTAACTTGTCTTATTTCTCAAAGCTCGAAAAGGCCCTTGAGAATTTACCTCTGGTTTCTTTGGCAGGCAATCCCCTGTCTTCAACTAAGCCCTGGATCTCCTAATCCCTCCATGCTGATAAAACACTGGCAAAGTTTGGGCCATGGAGGTGCGGGTAAAGGACTTTTAAAATCACATTTTGGAAAAATGTTGATTTTTTTTAAAAAACACATCAGCCTAATGAAGAAACTTCTCCTCACATTATTTCTCTCTAATTTTAAAACAAATGCATGTTTGTTGTAGGAAATTTTTAAAACTATGTAAATAAAAATAAAACAAAAATAATTCATAATTTCACTTCCTAGTAGGGACCACACTATTAATATCTAGTTATTTGTAATGTTAATTAATCTAATATTTCTAAACAAAATAATTTAATTGTTATATATAATTAATAATGAATGCATCATATATAAAGGTGCTATCTTTTCTGAAATTATTATGTTACCATCTAGGGGTCTTGGGTTCATTGTCTATGCCCAAGAAAGAAGTGAAGAACAAGACACAGAGATAGCTGGCAAGCAGTAGGTTTATTGCAAAAGCTGGGGGAGCAGATTTCTTTAAAGAGAAGAGATCCCAGGGCCTGGAGGCCAGTGGGGAAATTTTGGCTTGTTCTTTTTATGGTCCCTGGAATTTCCTTCATTCTTTCTCTCCTCCTCTCCCCAAACAGTACTTTCTATTGTCCACACATCAATTTTAGGTTTTCGGTTGGATATCCCATTTAAAAGCACAAGTATAAACATATCTGTCTGATTGGGTCCCCAAATCAGACAGATATACTCATTGACCTCATTGGAAGACCCTCTCCAGGCTCCTTTTGTCCAACCCTGCCTCCTGACTTCCTCACTTGTCATCTTGCCCTGGCTGCCTACGCCCTTCTACATCTCCCTCATTTATACTGTCAGAACTTTCTGATGCTAACTTTTATCATAAATGTTTTCATGATAGCATATTTCATTATATATATTACAGAAATGTAAATCTTATTGTTGTTAACTTTAAATCTAATTTTTTATTTAAATTTTAAATTGTAACATGATAAACATAAGTATGATGCTCATAAACTAGATATTTAGATCCTTAATAAAATTTGAAGACTATAAACACTTCCTGAATCACACATTGATCCTTAAAAAGAGATGTCACTCACAGTACTGACCATGGAGTTAGCCTACATATTGATCACAAGGCGAATAGATATAATAACTTAGGCAGTATTTACCACGTGCCCTTGCCATTTTAAGCACTTTACCCATTCCACAGTTAATTCCTATAATCCATGCAGCAAACCTATGTGGAAGGCACTCATTACTTCTGTTTTACAGATAAGAGAGTGAGTGCTGAGTTATTAGCTGAGGTACTAAAGACAAACCGGTGAAGAGTGGAGCCACCACTTACTCCCACAGTCTTGCCTTTGTGTTTGTGGGCTTACTACTCTCCTACAGGAGCTCATATTTGCATAGAACAAAACATCACACTGCAGTCAGGAAGAGTGGGTAAGGACGGCATAGTGACACATGGTAGATACTTCACAAATAATGTTGAACTAAAAAATACCAGAGAGATGTATTGGTATGATTGGAAAAAGGATGCTATCAAAGTATAAGTCTATGCATTGCACAGTTTATTGCCATACAGGGAGAGCACTCCTTAGGTTCATAATGCTTAATAAGAAGAACAAACCTCACAGGAAATACACTCGATAAATGAGGGTCCTTAACCACCTAGTAATTTCCAAAATTCTTAAAGTCTAGTTGTTCCATTAGGATGGAAGCAGGTCCCTTGGAAGGTAGAATTTCATTAATGTTGGTGGTATACATTTATACAAGTGGTTCTCAGAGAGAAACTGGAAGGACCTACAAAGCAGAGATCTTTGATGATGTAGGAGGTCCTTAGATTCTAAAAGTCAGTGCCAGAGTTGGAGGCAAGGTTCATAGGTGAGCAGAATGCCCAAAAAGGCAAATATATAAGTAATAATAACTTAGGCATGTGCCCTTGCCATTTTTAAGCACTTTTCTCATTCCACAATTAAGTTATATAATACTTGTAGCAAACCAGTGTGGAAGGCACTCATTAGGGTGTGGCGCTGTCACAGCCTAAATTCTCCGTCTTCAGAGAAGTGGCTGATTGCAGACTTGTCACAGCATACTAGAAGAAGCCGTTGACATAATGTAGCCTGCAATGGCCTAAACTCTCAGATATCTAACGAACTCTTGAGTTCAGGTCAGTAACTCACACAGGGTGATCTGATAAGGCATGGTGTCATAGTCCTGAGGGGAGAAGCCACTCCATGTTCTTGGCACAGCAAGATATATATCATATTCATTGGCAGTGGTAGCAAACTGTGTAAGAGTTTGGAATCATTTCAAAGCTACATGACAAGAGTAAATTTCATTGAAGCAATCTTGTATAAAATACCATTTGTATAAATATTATACACACTTAAAATGGCACCAGATAGTTTTCAAGGATAAACAAGTATCTTGATAAATGTATAGAAGTTGGAGTGGAAAGATTCTGATTAATGGACCCATGACAGGGGAAAATTGATTAGAAAATGAATAGGTGGGAAAATAAAAATAAAACAAAATAAAATTTAAAAAGCCCTTCATGAAATGCAAATGATATTATTCTATGAATTTAATAATATTGTTAACTCACACTTTTATACCAAGGTTAATAAGAACAATGAAAGTAATATTTACTCAATATCCTCTATGAGAATATAATCCACAATCACTTTAAAGAAGAATTCTGCCCTCTCTGCCATGGTGACAATTATATGCCATGCTAACTATGCAGTCAGCTCTTGCCTTCCAACAGCTGCAGAGACAGTGACTCTGTTCCATGTGGCTCTCCTCAACAGGAAAGGGTGACCTGCATGCCTGCAGAACTTGGAAAGCACCTCAGAATTCCTGGAAGGACTAATGAAACTTTCCAACACACTGAAGAGTAGAATATTGTGACATGAATATGTCCTGCCCATTACTAAGTCCAACTGCACTTTTATTCCACCTTTCCATGATTTTCTTTGTGCTAGCTAAGGAAGGTATTTATTTTACACTCCAGTTGGCATAAGAAATCATTAAGTCAGAATGCTAACTTTGCAGTTAGGTTTTGTATATATCAGGTCCTTTTATTTTATTCTTTCAATTTCCCTATACAAATCTGTGTTCTTTAAATAACTATTGAAAACTAAGTTTTCTTTATAGAAACCGTCATGCTTTCCCTCTCATTTCCAGCTCCCCCATTGACCTACCACTTTTCAATTAATTTAGTCATTCTTCTCTCTTCACTTCTGTCAAGGAGGTGAGTCTGTTTGCCGAATTGAGCAATTAAAGAAGTCTTTCTGTGCAGTTCCTAGAACCAGTCTTTCCTGAGGAAACTGTTTCCTAGAGGAGAAAGACCAATGCTTAGTGACTGTGCTATTTTTAGGCTTTCTCTTCTTCCTGGCTTCCCTCTCTATGACACCCGTTCAAAGTTTCTTCTTTCCTTGTAACTGTATCTGAAAAAGCAAGGACTAGCTCTATAAAATCTGTCTTTTCCACAGAGAATCTTCCAGTGGGTAGTTTGACAATTACAGATAGGGAAAGAGCCCCTCAGGCTAAGGCTAGATGGGCAGATAAAGTTCACTGGTCCTGAGGCAGAGGCCAAGCAAGTCTAGGTGGCTCTGGTGGGGTAGGGGGTGTGAAAGATGGGGAGGGGCTAACTCCTGGATCCTTGGACCAGGCAGATGTCTCAAGAATATTCCTTGGTTCTGAAATATGTTACCCATCCTTCTCCACTGCCTTATCTTTATCCCCATCATTTGGAATTCCTAAGATTTATCCATTTTCTATTTCTGCAAATTCTAAATGAAGCAAAATGCTCCACCAAACCAATGACACATGTATGCCATATGTTTTGTGCCTGTCTCAAAGTAACTTATTCAAGTAACAAGATTCATGGTTTTTACTAAAAACCTAAATGTCACCTCTTAATTTTCATATTCCCCTTTATACATCATGTGTCACCTTTATTTCTTTGTTAATTCTAGTTACTACGGAGTTTTTCATCTTAATTTATAATTAATATGAAGAATATAATCTGGATGTAAATAATGTTATGGTTTTCTGGTACCAATTTATGTTTACATTTGCTGTTAAGGCCATTGCAATAAATTTGCATCCCCTATATTCTACTGATACTTGTCCTTTTCTGTAGGAGACAGCTGTAACATTCTGTGTGCAAACTTATACGTGTCATGAGAGGAAGGAACCAGCTTTGTGCTTTCTAACAGGCCAACCTAGAAATTGGGAAATTGAGGACCAGTAAGTCAAGTGCAAGTCTGAGATCCTCTGAGATGGACAATTTCTCTCCCTCCCTTCTAACTCTTCCTCCTCCCAGCACTACCGGGTTCCACCCTCACCCCGCCCTCGGTCCTCTGACCAGGAAGGGCAGTGGGTACAGCCCGCAAGGCGACAGCTGACTCTCACGCACGGGTCCTGCCACCTCTAGAGCGCTGCATTGTAGCGCCTCCCAAGGGAGGTGACAACTCCAGCACCTCTCCGCCGCCAGTCTCAGGTGCCCAGCGACATGTTTTCCAGCCTGCGGAGGTGGGGCGCCTGCAGGTTCTACGAGCCGGTCCCAGGGGGGCTGGATACGCAGGTAAAGCCCACTAGTCCTGGGGCGGAGGCGGAGCAAGTCTTAGCGGCTCCGGTGGGGGCGGGAGTGGAAAAGGGGGGACGGGCTGGCTCCTGGGATCTTGGACTAGGCTGATGTCTCAGAGCCATATTTTAGTGGTGCAGAGACAGACACATGCACACGCTCCAATCGTGAGAGCTGAGATCAGTCCCCAGGACGGTGGGAAACCTGAGCCATCCTGATCTACGCCTTGGTGAAGAGACATCTGAAGAATAAGTAACTCCTGAATAAGGAAAAGCAAGCGTTTGAGAACATGAATGGGCTTGTCCTTGCTGAAGGGGTGGAAGCCGGTGGGGAAATTCTACAACCAGGGGCTCATCCCACGAAAACCGCAGGGGCCATTAGAGATAAATACTCAAGAGAACCCTGACTTGGGTATGGGGACACTAGGGTCTGGGACAAATCCAGAAACTGTAGACACTTAATGGTGCTTTGCTCTACCCCATAATGACTCATTCTTCTCCCACAATAGGAGTCATGTGCTAAGGCAGTAGCCAAGAGAAATGAAACCTTCCGTTGTGAATTAGGAGAGATTTGTCTAATAAAAATTGCATTCGTTTCATTTAGTATCACTATATAAGACGTGGTCTTTAAAAATAGCCCTTCATACAAGTTGTTCTATAGTTCTAACCAAAAACAAACAAAGAAAAAAAAAAATTCCAGATATTTTGGGGAACTTGTTTTAAAACTCCTGGCTTTTGTTATAATTCCAAAAATTGAATAAATATAACAGCTATTTTTCTGATTACGTATAAAATGAAACTATTAAAAAAATTTTAAAAATTAAAAAAAGTTGCATGTAAACTATGCTTTTAAAAGTTTATATAATAGAGGGGTCAATAAGCCCTTAAAATATGGAAAAGCCCCCTCAAGACAATATGCCTTTTTCATCTTACAGTAGAGAGAACAGGCTCAATCAGTCAAATTGGTTTAATGTCATTACTGTACATCGAAGTTGCCAAAGGCCCTAAATTACAAACTTACATAGTGGGAAATTATAAAACTCAAGCAATTTCCTCATCAAAAATTCCACTGTGCTCTTCCTCTAGAATTCAAATAATGTTTATTTTCTTGATTGTTTTTCAACCTTGATAGGCATCACAGATAAAAATAAAATCTGCTTAAACAGAATAGAAAATGTCTATTTTAATTATATTATATAATGCAAAAAAATTTTTTAAATTAATGGCTTGAAAGCATATTGAAAACCTTACATGATTACATTCATGGTTGAGACAATATTTTTGAAATAATGAATTTTAGATAACAGATCTCTTCCTAACCTATAAGCTAAGAACATGATTTTGTGATTCAGTAGGGCTGGCATGGTGATCTAAGACTAGAATGTTGTAAATATTTTTTGTTGATAGTAACTAACATTTATTTGTTTGTTCATTCATTCATTTATTTATTCATCCAAAATATATTTATTATGAACTAGGCTCTAAGAAAAAAATTAGACATCCAGAGTGAAATTTAATGTATTTTCTGTCCTCCAGAGACACTGATTATACTAGGAGAAAAGCACATGCTGGAAAAGATGACATTCTGGGAGGGTGGGGTGAACTTTAGTGAGTGCAGATCTGAAGGAGCCCTCAAGTCCTCCCTAAGGAGTACATTGAGATTTCCTTGATGACACAGAACCACCATGTGAAAAGAGAAGAGGAAAAGCAGCTGGGCACAGTGGCACACGCCTGAAATCTCAGCAGCTTGGGAGGCTGAGACAGGAAGAGCCCAAGTTCAAAGCCAGCCTCAGCAATATCCAGGTGCTAAGCATCTCAGTGATACTCTGTCTCTAAATAAAAATACAAAGTAGGGCTGGGGTTGTGGCTCAGTGGTTGAGTACTCCTGAGTTCAATCCCTGGTACCACCCCCTTACCCCCCACCCAAAAAAAAAAAAAAAAAAAAAGAAGAGGAAAAGCAAAGGCAGTAAGTAAATCTTGAACAGGACTGAAGTGCAAGGGGAGGTGAGTGGAACAACATGGGCAGGAGCAAAGGCCTAAGTCATAGAAAGCAGTATATGACAGGTACAGAGTTGAAAGTGTGGAATGTAGGAATAGAAGACAGAGTGGACTATCTAAATTAGATCTAGTTTGTTAAATTCTTAAAAGGTCTTGCGCCAGTTTCTTGAAGTCTGTGTGTTATTTTCCTTGTCTAAAAACATGGTAATCAGAAACATGTTTCCACCACAAAGGTATTTTGTATTTAATGAGAGAGAACATTTTGTACAGAATCTGATACATAGTAAGTTATTAAAAACATACCTCTTTTTGATTTCTAAATGCTTTCCCTTCTCTATGAGTCTATACTTCCACTTTCCCACAACTTTCTCTACTTTTAGATCTTTTGTACAACACCCTCAAAGGAAATTAGGGGATATGAGAGATTAAACCTAGCAATCAGTCACACAAACCCTATCTTTGTGAGGCCACATCTCACAAAAAAGATGAGTAGACATTTTACCAAGTGCTGGATCCTGGCTATGCTGTGGCACAGTGGTCTAAATAATTTGTGTGTATCAGCTTACCAGGAGTGTAACAAATTCCTGATCTCAATAAACTTAAAAAGAGGCTCAGGGTTTAGGAGGTTTCATTCTATGACTGGCTCCTTTGCTTTAGATATATGGCAGCACAGGACATCATGGAGGAAGCATGTGAAGGAGGATGTCCTTTTACCTCATGACTCCCTGCAAAGGAGACAAAGAGGGAAAGGTTGGGTTCCATTATCTGTGTTAAGGGTATGCCCCTAAATGATCTAAGACCTTTGATTAGGCCCTACCTCTTAAAGATTTTCACTACCTCTGAATAGACCTTAAAAGGACATTCAAGATTCAAACTATAGCATACTCTTGCTTCTCTGTCATAATCCAGAAATAATAGTTCCTCTAGTCAAGTGAAAATTGCCCTTAAGTCAGTAGTGTTATGTTTATGAAATGCCTACTGTAAGTCCAGTGATAGAGAAGTACAATGGATAATAAAAATGACTTAGAAGACAAAGGCCTGTGCAAGCTTAATAAGACAAAGGCAAAGAGACACCAATTGGGGTCAAGCAGATCTGGAGATTAGACATGTGTGAGTAAGAAGGGGTAAATTAGAAAGACTAAAAAATCTTTAATGGAGAAAATTGAAATGTAATCCCACATGTTTCTATATAGAAAAAGAGAAACATGTTCTATGTTTTCTATTTTTTATATATAAGTTGCAATGCATTGATATTTAAATAATAAACTCAGTGAAATCTACAGTATGAATTCAGTAACTAACTATTCCTTGAAAAATTATTTATATATCCTTGATGCTTTGTAAGAATTAAGCATCTTCACCATTATTTTTTTTTAACCTGGCTGCTATTCCTTCTCAGACATAAATTATACTTGGACTTTTCCTATGATAAATTCAGTATAAGATGCCAGGTCCACACTTAAGGAGGCTGTTTACCAGAGTAATTAGTGGGCCTCATATAAGATACTACCTGGAAAATTATTCTAAGGGAAATGTTAAGTCAAATGCTGAGTTCTCGTCTTCTAAAGTAACTATCTGTGAAGCTTTGTAAGACTTAGGTGCTTAAAACACAACCCATTATACTTAGCTGATGACTTTCTGGATCCATTGGGCTGTGTCCTGACTTGGGTCAGCTTCACTGAGTGCTGAGCTCCTAGTCATCTACAATCAGCTAGCAGCTCAACTGATGGCTGGATAATGCAGCACCTCTTCACCCATGTGCCTGACAGTTTTCAAGGTCTTGGCCAAAAACAGATGTGGTAAGGTTTTGAGTTTAGAATTAGAGCTTTTTCAATGTTGCTCCCGTGGCATTTTCATGATCAAAGCAACACACAACACTATCAAGACTCAACAGAAGGGAAATAAGATCTACTCAGTGGAAAAAGCTGCAAAGAATTGTTAGCCATTTACAGTGTGCCAGACACGGACCTGTTTGGGAGGTGGAAGAGATCCTTTCATTGACATCGAATTATCAAATTGATAACTCCCTCTGACATTTAGATATATGTCACAAAAGTTGAATTCCAGGTTAATTGGAGAATTTTAACAATATTGCCCCAATAATTTGTGTATTTGTTTTTTAAATAATATATTTAATAAAAACAGTGATGGCAATATCATAATTCATGTTATTGAGTCTTTGTTTGGGGCCGAAATTGTGATAAATGTTTTATAATCATCATTATACTTACTTCTTACGAAAATTCTGAGGATAAATACCATTTGGAAAAGTTTTATATAAATGATTTTTATCATTTACTATAATGCAGAAAACAGATTTAGAGTTGAATATCATATTTTCCCTTCATGTTCAGGACATCTTGCTGTATGGGATGGAATTTTTTCTTTTCTCTCTTTTAGGTTCAGAATTTTTAAAAATATGGTAAACTCTTTGTTTGAGTATGGAATCCAAACTGGGTTAGAGAGGATCAATGCAAAAGTTGTTAAACATGGGACAATTTTTAAGAATCAAATTTAGCTTAGTGATTGATCAGATTTACTTTTTGAAATACAGATGGATGCTGACTCTAAAAATGTAAAAAAAAAAAAAGTCAATTTTGAAAGCTTCCTTTTTAAAATCTCTCTTCTCTTCATTGAACCCACTAAGTTAATGAGAAAAAAAAATTTAGGGAAATGTTTAACTTTAAAATAATATGTAATTGTGATAATTACATGATTGTGAATGCCATTATAAAAATATGTAATTAAGTGCTTATACAGAAGTATACCAAATACCTATTGTCTTTTTTCTGGTCTTCAGAAAAAATGAAAACTATATTTTAAAAAATTTTTTTTTAGTTTTTGATGGACCTTTATTTTATTTATTTTTATATGTGGTGCTGAGAATTGAACCCAATGCCTCATGCATGCCAGACAAGTGCTGTATCGCTGAGCCACAACTTCAGCCTGACAACTATCTTTAATTTAACAATTATAAAATATGTGTATATCAAAGTATGTATGTATATATATGTTCATACACACATAACTATCATAAGTATATATTATAGTGCATGCTATTATACACATGTATATGGACATATACAGAGAGAAGAGTAAGTTTTAGAAATTATCATCTATTACAACAGCATTTACTCATATGTAAATGGTCATAATGTTGGTGAAAATCTTAAAATTCCTTTACTCCAATAATCACCCAGGAATATATTCGCTTAATTGTACTCCTTGAAGATTATGAAATCAATGTATCTTTAACTGTTTGTAAAATAACTTATTTAATGTTTACTGTTCCACCTACTGACCAAGATACCAGGCTGAGCTTCCTTAATTCAACAGTCTGAAATCTGAAATACTCCAAAATATGAAACTTTTTTAGCACCAATTTGATGCCACAAGTGGAAAATTTCACACCTGACTTCCTGGAATATACTGCAGTCAAAATACAGGCATACTAAAAGCATTGTGTAAAATTACCTTCAGGATATGTGTATAAGGTATACATAAAATATAAAAGAACTTCAAATTTAGATTTGGGTCACATCTTAAGATATCTCATTATGTCTATGAAAATATTCCAAAACCTTAAAAAAAATCCAAAATACTTCTGATCTCAAATATTACAGATAAGGCTTATACAACCCGAATTCCAAATGAAAACTGAAGGCATTAAGTATATGCTCATTATGTTTTTCATTTTAGAAATGCAGTCCAGAGAAAAGTGCTTCATTTTTCAGTAAAGTGACATACTCCTGGTTTAGCAGGTAAGAATTATACTTACTGATTCGCAGCATGTGGAGATAAGAACAATTCCAAGGGAAAAGACACTGGAATGCTATTCCTTTATTTTAAGTATGAATATATTTACAATATGTCATTGTAAAGACTTTCTTTTCATGTCACCTATTACACAGAAATCATAGGTAATGACAATAAGGCTATCTCTTTTTAGGAATTGTGTCTGTGAGCACTAAGAAGGGAAAGGAAAAAAAGAACTTTTTATTAACATCAAGTAAATGTAATACACATATATATACATATATATTACATATGTATGTGTGTATATGTATGTGTGTGTGCATGTGTATGGAATTTATCCATTGGATTGGTACCCAGGTAGGATCAAGTATGTGTTATAAGTCAGTTTCTTTTGAGTCCATGTTTTATTCTCTTTTTTTCCCACGTATGTCTTTCTACTCTTTACTAGGAGTGGTTTCATATATGCTTATATATTCTACTATAAAAATTCATACACGTACATATACAAGAACTAATTTCTGTAAAATACTATGCTTTATCTCAAGGAATAATTAAGCTATATAGTACAATGAGAGCTCAGAAGTTCTTTTAGGGACACCAGTATGATCTCTGACTTTAACACAGGAATGAAATCAAATGAGAAGTGTTGACTTTCTTATTTTATAAATTCAGAAGCTTTTTTAGAAGTATATTTCTTTCTCACTCTTAAGAGAAAGTTTCTGATAATACAAAATTAAATTTACCTTGTTAACTTCATTAACCCTGCTTAGTAAAAACAAAACTGCTCAATTTTTATCTACAAACATTTTCTCAAGAGTAGATGAATCCTTAAAATAATTGATTGAACACTAGATGACCTGAACTCTGCTAATCTTTAAAAATATAGGGATAAATAATTTATTTTCTGCTTTCTTGGAATTCATAACAGAATTAGAAAGATTAAAAAGTAAATCATCAATTATCAAAAGGTAACAAAGATGTATCAAAAAGGCAACATAAATAAGGTTAAGAAACAAATTTTCAGTAGAGTCATCTAAAAAAATTTGCACTGCTTTGAAATGTTACATGAGTACATGTACCTTAATTCAATATTTAAAGATGTGTAGGAGTGAATCAGGTTGCATTCCAAGTTGCCACATGCAAGCCACAGAAAGAAGAGAGAACTGCCCCTTCACACCTTGCAGGACATTAGAGTGGCATAAGACTAACCCGGAGGGAGAGATCATGAGACTTTCTTTAGAACATTGTGAAGGGAATGAAAAGACACTGGAGAATTGTAACAGAAGAGTGATGTGATCATATTTGCATTTTAGAACATCACCTTTGCAATTTTGTAGACAAGGTGTATAAGAGATAGAAATGGAGACAGGAAAATTTATAAAGAGTCTCTTTGGGTGTCCTGGGAGATTTATGGTCACATTTTGAAATAAGATAATGATAAAGGTGATAAAGAGGAAGAAACTATTTAGAAGATTTATTTAGAAAAGTGTGGATTGGATGAGATTATTGAAGGACTGAGAAAAGTGTAGGTTAAATGCCAATTTCTAGTTCAGGTAACTGTGAGGTTCCAGTGTGGTGGGGAAAAAAAAATAGGCTCAGATGGAGGAAGTTTTACTCTGAGATGCATGAGAAGCATCATTTAAACAGGTATTTGGATATGCGGTCTCTAGTATGGATTTGGGAGTCACTTATTATTATAGGTCAGTCGCTGAAACCATTGGTATGAATATGACTGTCAAGAAAGAAAATCCTCTGAATACAGATGGTCTGTTGGGAATCCTTCATTTTTAAATGAAGAGAGGAGTTGTAGTCAGTCTACAAAGGAAACTATATACAGGTATTCACAATGTAAGAGGAATATCCAAGGACAGAAATATGATTAGCAATTAAGAAAAAAGGAGCTATCAAAAAAGGAGAAAGATAAGCAGATGTAGCTCAGTGGTAGAACATGTGCTTAGCATGCATAAGGCCCTGCATTCAATCCCCACCACCATCAAAAAATATAATAATAAAACAAAATGTTCAATAGAGCTAAATGTTAAAAAGGGAGTAAATTAAAATAAATACAGGATATTCTTCCTTAAATTTAGCAACCTTAAGATTAGTCTTTTTTTTTTTTTTTTTGAAATCAGGTTAAGTAGAAAATGTATATACTTATGGGCAAATTCCAGGTAGACAAAACTGAATTATGGTAAGAATTCCAAGTTATATCAACCTAGGAACCACTTAAAGAGTTTGGCAAAAATTTTATACTAATACAATTAAACTACATATTAGGAAGAAAAACAATTAGGTAGAAATTATTGTAATATGTGCTTATGTGCTATTTACAGTTAATGATTTTTGACTTTTCAAATTCACATATGTATATAAATGTTTTCCAAACCTGGATTCTGTTACATCTGTGAATTGAGAGAAAGAGTACTATTTGTTGTGGTTTTAAAAAATTGGGGTCATTTTAAAGTTGTAAATATCAAAGAATTTAAATTGTACAGATTAAATTAATTTCAGTCAAATATAGATTTAAATTTTTATTACCAAACTATAAAATTGTATGTAATATTTAATTTTGTGAATACCATTTTAGGATTCCTAAAGCAAGAAACTGAAATTAAGTTTAAGCATAACATTTTTGTAAATGCTAATATTTTGAAATCCATATCTTAAGTTAATTAAATATACCAACATGCTATAATTGCTGACTATCATATTTATTTTATTTAAATTTAGCATAACAGAAGTAAATACAAAATATTTTTATAGTATGCTATTATTTGGAAATGTCACTGGCTTGATTTTTTATTTGATGGTTAGACAATTGCAGTTGGAAAATAACTATTGTTTAATAGGAGACTCAGAATAGCTAAAGCAATCCTTAGCAAGAAGAATGAAGCAGGTGGCATCACAATACCAGACCTTAAACTATACTACAGACCAATAGTAACAAAAATGGCATGGTATTCGCACCAAAATAGACTTGTAGACCAATGGTACAGAATAGAGGACACAGAGAAAAATTCACCTAAATACAGGTATCTCATATTAGACAAAGGTACCAAAAGCATACTAGAGAAAAGATAGCTTCTTTAACAAATGTTGCTTGGAAAACTGAAAACCCATATGCAGCAAAATGGCCCCTTTTTCTCACATGCACAAAACTCAACTCAAAGTGGATCAGGGACCTAGGAATTAAACCAGACATCCTGCACCTAATGGAAGAAAAAGTTGGCCCAAATCTTCATTGTGTTGGATTAGACTCTGACTTTCTTAATAAGAAAGACTTCTATAGCACAAGAAATAAAATCAAGAATCAATAAATGGGATGAATTCAAACTGAAAAGTTTCTTCTTAGCAAAAAAAAAAAGAAAAAGAAAGCAATCTGTGATGTGAATAGAGAGCCTTCATCTTGGGAGCAAATTTTTACCACAAGCACATCAGATAGAGCACTAATCTCCAGGATATATAAAAAACTTCAAAAATTTAACACCAAAATAATAATAATAATAATAACCCAATCAGTAAATGGGCCAAAGATTTGAACAGATACTTCTTAGAAGATGATATACACTCGACCAACAAAGACATGAAAAAATGTTCAGCATCTCTAGCAATTAGAGAAATGCAAATCAAAACTACTCTAAGATTTCATCTCATGCCAGTCAGAATGGCAGCTATTAAGAATACAAACAACAATAAGTGTTGGCAAGGATGTAAGGGAAAAGGCACACTTATATATTGCTGGTGGGACTGCAAATTATTCCAACCAATCTGAAAAGCAGTATGGAGATTCTTTGGAAAACTTGGAATGAAACCACCATTTGACCCCGCTATCCCACTCCTTGGGTTATACCCAAAGGACTTAAAAACAGTTATGTAGCCATGTCCATATTTATTGCAGCACAATGCACAATAGCTAAACTGTGGAACCAACCTAGATGCCCTTCAGTAGATGAATGGGTAAAGAAATTGTGGTATATATGCTCAATGGAATAATACTCAGCATTAAAGGAGAATAAAATCATGGCATTTGCATGTAAATGGATGGAGTTGGAGAATATTATGCTAAGTTAAGTTAGCCAATCCCAAAAAAACAAAGTCTGAATGTTTTCTCTTATATGTGGATGCTGATCCATATTCGGATGTGTGTAGGGTGGGTGCATGGGAGGAATGGAGGAACTTTAAATAGTGCAAGGACAAGGGAGGGGAAGGAAGTGGGTATTGGGGGAAGAAAGATAGTGAATGAGATGGACATCATTACACTAACTAAGTACATGTATGAAGACATGAATGATGCGACTCTACTTTGTGAACAACCAGAGACAAGAAAAATTGTGCTCTATATGTGTACTATAAATTGAAGTGCATTCTGCTGTCATGTATAACAAATTAGAATAAATAAATACATTTAAAATTTAAACAAAAGAAAAAGATCTATTGTTTAATAGAATGTCCCTCTGAAATCATTGTTTAATTTTATTCTTGTGTCTGGTTTTCACTTGTAAAATAAAGTCAGAAATTATTTCCTAGGCCAACTTTGCCCAAAATTATATGAATAATTCAATTTAAAATGAGCTCAGACAATACATTACTAAGGAAATAATATGCTTATGAGTCTTAATTCCTAAGGTAGTAGCGATCTAGATCATTTTGATGATCAAATAATTACCAAGCCTTTATTAGAAAACATAATCTGTCTTTAGTGTATAATGATCATGGTCATGGAATAATCCCCTTGATATATGTGGAAAAATCTAGTTAATGTTTTTATGGGTCACAGTTGGGTCATTATTTTAACTAGGCATACATTCTCCAGTATGTCCTACCTTTTATTCACACATTAATAAAATGTATACATTAACTGGCTTTGTTTCAATCAATGATTTTTGGACAGATTGATTCATTCCTTTTCTTATCTACTCAAAAAAAGGGTCAATCACCCCTTCCCAGAAATCTTTAAAAGGTGACTAATAGTAATATAAATGAAAATGCTCTCTGTTCTTGTTTTCAAAGTATTCAAATTTATTCATCTACAAACTTATATTTTGTCTCATCTTTCTAATTAAATGACACTTGTTAATATTACATATGTTCAAAATTCTGTCTATGATGACAAAATTAAAAATGGAGTGGTGTTATCACATTTCGAAGCAACTGTCTGCCTTTTGTTAAAGTAGCATTAATTTACTCCACATAGAAAAAAACTGCAACCTGTACCTGGAGTTCATGGTGTTTAACCACCTGTAAAAATGGAAATGAATACTGCCGTGCCTGCTTTAAAGAGTTGTGAGGATTAGGTGAACTGAAATGAATATGCTTTGAAGAGAAAAATTATTCTAACAAATACTAGATGCACATAGGAATCTGATAATTGCTTTGAGAAGAAGGTCCACAAGTTGATGGGATCCAGCAAATGCAACATTTCAGTCATGGAGAAGGTCAACTATTGATCCTAATTGCTTCCCAAAAAGCTCCCTCAACATTTAATATAAAGAAATACCACTTCTACACTTCCTCTTTTCCCAAACTCTTAAGTGGGAATATAAGACTGCCCCATGTGATCAGAGTCTTAAAAGTTTATCACAGAGAACAAAAGATGGGGAGGGAGCACACATCTGGGAAAAAGGAAGTCAAGGTAGCTAAATTACAGAGCCATGAAAATCACAATCAATTCAGCTGAAGTGTCACTTCTAGATACTGCATTATTTGGAGACTCAGCATGAAAGCTAGGGGTCACTTATCCCTGAACCAAAACCGCTGAGTTTTGCACAGTTCTATCTCAAAATGCTGAGGCAGTAAATGTTATTAAAAATGCTTTTCTGAAAAATCAATGTGATCTTATTTTGAAAATGAATATTTATTTTATGCAATGGAATAGAAGGACTTAATATGACATGAAAGGAGTTTATTGCTTAATATGTTTTTAAAAGTGCACTTCAGGAAAATGTCCAGCATATTTGAGCCAACCGAAACATGATTACTGATGGTACTTTCTTATTACATTTGGGCCTTTTTGTTAAATAAGGATTATAGTATGCTACTATGTATTACAATAAAAGTAAAATTGAATCCAGTGGAGAATCCAGTTACCACAGGGTTTACATTCATCCCAGGGTCAATCAGTTGAGATTTTTCAGTAACAATGAAAATGAAGTAGACCTAGTTGGAGTAGTATAATACTTTGCTATGGTTTCTTGGTCTAATGCATTTTATAATTGAAGGAACTGAGGCTAGAGAGTTGGAAGGATTAGATATAAATGAGTTTAATTTTTTTTTTTTTACTGTGGAAGTCACATCACCAAGCTCACAGACTATATCTGAATTCTATCACTGAGGATTGTGTTTGGATTCAAGTAACAGAATAGTCAAATAATAATAGCTTAAACAAATAAGTACAGACATGACTATGGGTTGACATAATGACATTTTGGTCACAACGTCGTAAGAGTGCATTACTCACTTTTGTGTTTGTGGCATTGTTGGTGTAAACTACCCATTGCACTGCCACTTGGTAAAAGTATATATAGTACCTAATAATTTATAATAATAATAATAGACACCTCTGTTACTGCTTTACATTTTTACTGTATTATAATTTTATCATTATTTTAGAGTGTGTGCCTTCTGTTTACTAAAAAAAAAAAAAAAGAATTTTCACTGTAAAACTATCTTCTGGGATATGCTATCAACACCTATTACATCTCAGGTTTACCATGACTCCTGATTATATAAAGAAGCCATGCCAAGTGAGTGACCTATGCCATCTAGGTTCCTTTAATGACACTTTTGATGTTTGCACAAAAAAATTGCCTAATAGCATATCTCTGGGAATGTGTCTCATCATTCAACAAGGGTTAATTGCATTTATTTTCTTAGTGAGAGAAAGACATGGAACATGCTGGCGAGCTACCTCAAAAATGCTATGAAAGGCCCCGGCATTTCCTGTCTTCCCACTTTCCATGCTTCTCATTGGCTTTTCACCTCTGATGGCAAAGGTAGTGTCTTAGTCCACTTCCTAGTTCTGTAACCAAATACCTCAGACTGCATAAATTCTTTTCTTTTTTTTTTTGCACTTTAAAATATAAAGAGTTTAATTATTTAAATTTGTACACAGGGACTGAAGGTTTATCAACATGATTGAATAATAAGCCCTAATGCTGAGCTTGTGGAAAAGTTAGGTTAATTTTTTTTTTTTATTGGTTGTTCAAAACATTACAAAGCTCTTGAATACAACAGTCACTAGTATGGCACTATGTAAAAACGTGGATGTGTAACCGATATGATTCTGCAATCTGTATATGGGGTAAAAATGGGAGTTCATAACCCACTTGAATCAAATGTATGAAATATGATATGCATAAATTCTTAGGGGAGAAATTAACTTGTCAGAGTGGTGAAAGCTGGGAGATTCCAAGCATGGCCTTTGTGCTGTTAGTGTTTCCATGCTGCATAGGCTTGGTGAAAAGCAAATGAACAAACAGGTGACAGGAAATCAGTAGATCTCACCCTCTTGTCCACTCCCTCCCTCAGTCACTTACCCCCACCCCAACAAGTTGATCCTTTTCATGAGGATGACTTGATCCACATTGCCTCAGTACCTCTTAAAGGTCCCCCTCTTAATGCCGTTACAATGGCAATTACATTTCCAGATAAGTTTTGGAGAGGACATCCAAACCATAGCAGGTTCTATATCAGAACATCATTTCTTCAGTATATGAACAAGAGTAAGCAGAAGGAAAGGGGTAGCAAAATATTTCTCTGCTTCAAGTTTTATAGTTTCTTTTGAAATCAAAATTTCTCCCCAGCATATTTTTGTTTCAGTATAATTAGCCATAACTAGTTAGTTATGTTCCTAACCCCAAGTAAAGTGTAATGGGATTTCCAGGACTGCTTTAGACCAACCATAATCCATAATTCAGCTACTGGAATATGGGCTGTCCGCGAGTTCACAAGACTTTCAACTGAATAATGTAAGATTTCCATTAGCAGGAAGATGGTAGAACAGAAGGATTGCTGAGGGAATGTGCAGTTCATCATTTCCCACAATAAGTTTTGTGGTCTGACTAGATTGTGCATGTTTGTCTGCCTTTCAATTTAGACACACTGTTCTCACAGAATCGTTTACGGTGCACCTTTGGCCCTTTGAAGGAAGGGGGATGCAAACTCTAAGAGGTTTGCAGAAACTTGCCATCTTCAGGTGTCAACTCAAAAATGGCACTCTCACATTGGCTGGTATTCTACCAGTCAGAGTAAGTCATATAGCCAAGGTCAAAGTTTATGGGCTAAGGACAGATATTCTACATATTGTTGGAAAATCTCTACAGTCAAATCACAAAAAGCAAATAAATTTCCAATAGAATAGCAAAAAGTTGCAAACGCAAAGGGTGGATCCATTTCTCCTCTGCACAAGCCTAAAAAGCAAATGTGGGTTCTTGAATGAGTGGGTGAATAACTTAACTGTAAAAGTTTGCTACTGATATTTCAGTAAAGGAGGTAAGATACATGAGTAGTACATTTTCCAAATGTAAGATGAGTAATGAAGTTGGTGTTTCACTAAATTATTGAATGTCTAAATAGCCATTTTAAAAACTACAAATAATTGTAATACATCATTTAACTCTGTAATAAAGTTGTACGAATTTTAAAATATACAATCTGGTCATTCTATCCTAACCAATAAAGCAATTTATAACCCAGGGAGTAAAATAAATGCATGTAAAATTATTTAAATTAATTACTGACTATGCTGAATTATTTACCTTACCATTTTATTTTTAGAATAATTATTTTAGGCTATAAGAAACCTTTGGAAAGAGAGGATCTTTTTGAACTAAATGAAAGTGATTCTCCCTACATTGTGTGTCCCATCTTTGAAAAGCAATGGAGGAAGGAAGTTTTAAGGAATCAAGACAGGCAAAAGGTAAGGGTAATTAATTATTAAATTTTATTAATTACTCAAGAAGTCGACTACTATGTAAAGCTAGATAAAGATTTTTCTAAATGTGAGATATTATTGTTATTAATACAAAAATCCCCTAAATTATTTGCAGTGACAAACCATTTTCATAAGCACAATTTCTATACTCAAATTTTTCAGCATCTCTTCCCTTTATGTATATTTGGTTTGTTAGTCATGGTGGCAAAGATGGTTCCTATATCTCATAGTATACATCTATTGGTCAAAGTAAGTCACATGGTGACCACAGCAAGTTTTACTTACCACAAAGTAAGTCACATGGTGACCACACAAATATTCCATATATAGCATCACATATATACACATATATCCTTGTTTAACATCCCTAAAAAAAAATGTAACTTGGAGATAAGGAAGTATTGGTATTAATGAAATAATTTCAAAAAGTGATGAGTAAATGAAGTTGTTTTTCACTAAATACAGCTATTGCTCCTTTTCTCCCATGTGATGTAATTAACACCTGTGCATCTGGATACCAATGATATGCGTCACATTTTCAACTTAACTGAATTTATTCTTTCCCTGTTGCCTTAGTAACTTTGGAATGCATTGCTATTTTTGTAGTAATATTGTATGTATATTTTACTTTTACTTATATTAGTTCTGTCCAATTTTCTCATTGTTTCCATTCTCTTTAATTACATAGGCATCTTTTCATAGAGAGGACCATACCAGGAAGCCATCTCTACTCTCTGCATTGTGGAATACATTTAAGTCCTCCCTGATTCATGTTGCTTTATTCAAAATGTTTGCTGATATTTTGTCCTTCACTAGCCCAATCATAATGAAGTAAGTTAAAAGCTTATTGTTTTTTTCTTTATTTTCTCCTCACAGGTAAATGCTAAGCAAGTATTCCACTATAAAATTTCTCCTAGAAAAGAGTAGGAAAGTTTCTTTTTTTGTGAATTTTATTTACTGTATGAACACTGTATTGGGATTATCTGTGATGTGAATATAAATTGTGATGCTATAGTCAGTGTTTACTGAGGCCAACAATGTAGTAAGTGATACTATAAAATCTTTGTATTAATGGTATTGTCAGAGTTGTCTGGAGAAACAGACCAAATAGACAAACAGACAGATTTATAAGAGGGGAATTAATTATGACAATTGGCTCATGAAATTATGGAAACCAAGAAATTTCCACAATCTGCAGTCAATAAACTGGAAAGCCAGTGTGAAATTCAGTACAAGTCTAAAGACCTGAGAATCTGGAAGTAAGACACTCAAGGGCAGGAAATGGGAATTATAGTAATTTTTACTCAGAAAACAAAACAAACTTGCCCTTTTCTGATTTTCGTTTTTTATCCAGGCCACCAATTGACTGGATGACACACTAGGCCTTCCAATATCAGTCTACAAACTAAAATGCTAATCTCTTCTAGGAACTCCCTCATGGAAAATTGTATCATCAGCTATCTGGGTTTTTCTTCACCAAGTCAAGTTAAAGCATAAAATGAAAATTCTATTAATTAGCTTACTTAACCTTTACAACATCCAACAAGGAAGTAGCATATATTTTTACACCTAGGATTACAATATAGAAACAGAGAGGTTTAACTAATTTGCCTAGTCCACATAGCTAAAAACTACCAGTTTAATGATTAAATTCTTTTAATGATTAAACTCTTGAAAAATTGTTTGTATGTTTATAAAATGCAGTGATAGATGCTTTTGATATTTGTTTTTAGCTGTGGTCTTTTGAGAATTCAACTTTATCAACCAAGGTACTAATATATAATGACTATGTCAGATTACATATTTAATAATAATATATAGTAGTGATGTATATACACACACACATATATATACATCACTACTAATTAACATATACATATTTGTAGATATATCTTTGTATATATATTTTTTCTCAAAGAGTTTTTATAATATCTATCTTAAAGCATTTCTATAATATCTGCCTACAAGGGATTAAAGGCAATGAATTTGAAGCCTTGATTGCGTACCACATTTTTAAAGGAGTCTACCTTACTTCTGTTATTTGAAGAAAACATTTCTTGTTAACCTGTGATTTTATTTTAGCATTGAAGATACATAGTTTTTAAACTAGTTAAAGTTTTAAAAAAACAATTTAGTCATTAATTCATGAAAATATAATTAATCATGAGTTACCTGAATTTCAGATAATTTCCAGGAGCATATTTATCCAATATTAATTGAGTATCTGTTATATGCCAAACACTGTTCTACGTAGACTATAGGGATAGAACAAAAATCAAAACAAAGTTCCATTCTGACACTGAGGATGATTTGAGAATAAACAAATTAATAAATATAAACAATATTTAGAAATAATCAGTGCTTAGGAAAGTAAAAGAACAAAGCCAAATGAGGGACTGTAAATTTCTATTTGATTTATTAGGTGATTGAAGATGACATTGGTGATAAGGTGACATTTGAGCAAAGTCCTGAAAGAAGTTAGAAAGTTAACCAAGACAATATCTGTTGTAATTTGAGGTTACATGAAGGTAAGAGCTAAGGACATAGTTTGTATCTTTGAGAGCTTGTAAGGTGACAAGTGACACTGGAGCAGAAGAAGGCTGAGAGGAAAAGTGATAAGATTGAGGTCAGAAAGGCTCAGAGTGATTCAGGAGATCTTGAAGGGCCTTGTGAAAAGATGATGGAGAGAGTTAGAAGAGAGGCCTTTGGAAGATTTCAAAGGCGGAATGTGATTAGACTCAAGTTTTTCTGTGATTGCTCTGGCTGCTGTGTGGAGAATCAAGTAAGGAAGAGCAAGAGTATCAGAAGGAACACCAGTTAAGTATCCGTTGATGTGATGCAGGGAAAAGTGAGTGGTGGCTTCAAATAGGCTGTGGTGATGAAGGTAATAAAAAGGGTCAGAGTCTGGCTCTGGTTTAGAAGTGGAGACAGAAGAGGACACACTGATGGTTAGAATGTAGGATGAAGGAGAAGGAGAGTATCAAGAATGCCTTCAGAGTATTTTTTTTTTAACTTAAGTCAGAAGGTAACAAAGTCCCTGTGTATTATGAATACTCAGGAAAGACTAGAATAGGGAATTGAGTTTGCTTTTGGACTTTCTAAATTTGAAATATCTATTAACCACTGTGCAAGAAAGAATTGACATAGCAGGCCTGACTGTGCACTCCAGAGGCCTGCTTATGGGAGTGGTCTATGGCTGACATCTGGAGCTGAGATTTCAAGAGGGTTGTCACTACCTGAACGGATAGAGAGGGGTTCAATTATATCCAAACTGTTGATATAGTTAATTGTGCCAAACACCTGCTGTCCTTCTAGGAGTCTAGAATTTTGATATGGATTAAGGAAAAGGAAAAATATTGGGCCAACCACCCTACATACTGGTTTTCCACCAAATTTGCCTGGTAGAAAATATTTCACACCAGTCACTAGTTGCTGGGGGAATTAAGTGTGTTCTTTGTGATTTTGCTGAAAGAGAAAAAGGAACTTTGGAAGCTTGTGCCTGTTTCCCCCTGGACTTCAACTCATGCACATTTTTTCTCATTGCTGATTTTGCTTTGTATTCTTTCACCATAATAAATCAGCTGTGTTTATGACTGTATGCCAAGCGCTGTAAGTTCTCCTAATGAATCATTGAATGGTCTGGGGTATTCCTGACACAGCAATTTAGATTAAAAGGTTGAGTAAGAAACTCTCTATACAAGTCTGGAATAGAGAAAGGTGGAGGCACCAGTGATTAAACTGGGATTATTCTGAATTGGACTGGGGTGGGGGTCCAGCCACTCTTCTGGATGAGGCTATGTTAGCATACGTGTCGAGAAGTAAAGATGTCCATGGACAAAGCCATCAGCTATTCCAATGCGTAGAGTTGGTGAAGATGAAGAAATCTATCAGAGGATATTGAGAAGGAATGACTAGTGTAGAAAGTAGAGAACCAAGAAAGAATGGTGTCAATATTGTGTGCATGTACACATATGTAACAGCGAATCCCATCAATATGTACAACTGTAACACACCAATAAAAAATGAAGAAATAAAAAATATAAATAAAAGAAAGAAAGAATGGCTTCAGGAAGCCCAAGAAGAAGGTGTGCATTGCTGTCAGAAAACTGTTCCTATGGTATCCCCCTAAAATTCTCTGATTCACTTCCTTTTATTTAGAAATATAAACCAAATGTACCCTGGATTAAACCACTCACCCCCAGACACAATAAAAGATGTCTTCCTTCCACTGTCTTTGTTCCTACCTCAGTATATGCCAAGAGTGATCCTACAGTTTCCCTGTGTGTGAAGAGAAAGCTACTTATCACAGGCATTTAGCACCATCTTCTTCCTCTCCTGCCCTGCTTTGGTTATCTAATGTGGCAAAATCAGCCATGTCAAAACTTAATGGCATAACACAGAAGTTTCATTAATCTAATAATTTGGAGGGTCAGAACTTCAGGCAAGTATAGCTTTTCTCTACTTCACAGCTCAGTGTCTTGAACAGCTGGACAAATGGAGATGTTATGTCTGGTGTCCTGGTTCTGGGTGTTGGCTGGGTGACCTTGTTTCTTCTCCCTCTTTGCTGGTACTGGAATGTCCCAGATAGCTGCCTACCTTCTTAACTCAGACACCTGGGCTAAGATGGCTGGGAATGGCCAGTTATCCATCTCTTTCTTCCCATTTACCAATGACTTCTGCTCAAGAAAGTCATTAGAGAATCTCACTATGGCCACAGTCTCTCCTAAAATAATAATGTGTTATAGCATGCCAGTGTCTCTGTATTCTCCCAAAATTTGTACTATGAAAGAAGGCCTGTGAGATAGAGAATGTTCTAATTTTGTGACACATTCTTGCAACACACGTACTTGACCACACTTGCAAAACAGAAATTTTAATATTGCATTGAAATGAGTCAGCCTTTGTCCCTGCCTAGACAACAGGCTCCTCCAGGTGTTATTCACTCCTCAGCCACTGCCATAAACCTGGCACATAGAGCCCCAACACATTTCCTGAATTGCATACTGAATAAATGGACATCGGCAAAGTTAGTTACACTTTTCCCAGAGATTCTCATTCTACAGTAACTGAATAACCTTAAAATTTCTACACTGAGGAGCAACTCAGTTATCAGAAAGAATGAGTTTTTATGAGTTTGCATGAATATGATTTAGACTCAGCAGAGCTGAATTTGTGAGCTAGTTTTGAGATATATATATATTTTTTCTGTTGATAAGGAAAAGTTATGGAGAGGACTATTTTTAAAGATGAGGGCACTCTGTCATATGATTATGACACATGTGTGTGACCAAGCATATAAAATAATGCTTTTGTTAATTTGCTAGTAGAAGAGATGTTTTTCTTTTTGGATTATTGTATTTTCTCTTTATGGAATTTATTCTAACATAGCCAAACATAAAATGAATGTTTATATCTAATATCACAAATAGTTTTATGGATTTTACCATATCTAGAGCACAGAATATTTTTAATATTTCATAATTAATGTGTAGAATCTGTGTGGTACCTGGTGATAAACATTTAGTTGTTTGATTTTTATGAAAAAATTAAAAGGTTAATGAGAGCTATGTTTATAATAGGAATACTAGAGCTCTTCTTTCAGGGAATCTTATTCAGAGACCCAAAAGGCATTTTGTTAAATTACCTTTGCAAAAATAATTTATTGTTCTAGTAGATGGCACCCAATAGAGATCAGTTAAGAAATTCAGTTAAGAGATCAGTTAAGAAACTCCCATTATTAGTATGTCCCTCTGGGAAATGGAATAATTTAATAATGTCACTGAGAATATATAATGCCCCAAATAATTTTCAAGAAGTTTTAATATTAGTTTTAGAGACACACATACACATATATACATATATATTATTCTAAAAGCTGATTTTAATAATGTTAATATTTGAAGTCCTTGTTTATAAAGCAATTTGAGCAATACATCCACTAGCAGTTCAAACTGTCAATATAAGAGATCAACTCTTAGAAATTTATTTTTATCTACCACCTTAATTGTTAAGCTATATAAAGAGTGAGTTTTTAAGTTCATTATTCTTTTAGAAATATTTAGATATGATCTTACCTAATTACATATGCTTTATTTTTCTGGTTATATAACTTACAAATTCACTCAAGATAGCTATTGGATGATAAGGATCATTTTTGTATCTTCAGAGTTCACAATGAAAAAAATATATTTATGCAACTTCTAATCTTATGCATTTTACCTATGAATTAGAAGGGACCACTTAAATAAACCAAGAACTGAGGGTCTGCAAAATAAATGATGTACTAATTTATACTATCTCATTCTATACGCCCAAGTTGTTTTCACAGTTATATGGAATATATGTAGTCTTTTAAACTTATTATCTTCAGTCATGTAGATGCTATGAAACAGGGTAAGACCACATGTAAATGTTATCAACAGTGGACATAAGGCACTCTGTGTCTTAATTAATATTTACAAATGAAAGACAAAAGCCAATCGAGATAGTTACAAGATAGTTACGATTAGAACCGTCCCCACTGTTTCACCATCTCCTTGACAGTAATGATCATGACTAAGTTTTGGTCACAATCAAACTTGAGAAAGTGAGAAAATGTAGAGAAGAGAGAAACTGGATATGGATAAAAGTAACAATAAAAGGTGAGACATAAACCAAATCTTTAATACAGGTGTCTGTGGCTGGGCATGGTGGTGCATGCCTGTGGTTCTGGAAAATCAGGAGGCTGAGGAAGAAGGATCACAAGTTTGAGACCCTATCTCAAAATAAAAAGAAATAGGGATGTTGCTCAGTAGTAAAGGGACTCTGGGTTCTATCCCCATTACCAAAAATAAATAAACAAATAAATAAGACATCTGTGTTTCATCCTAAAATACCACTTCTTGAGTTCTAATTTTCGTGTTTTCCTACATTTGGCAAAATGCATCATTTTGAAGAAAAAAAAAAGTTTGCTTTCTAATGTATCTGTTTCAACATTCTGATGAAGTCATATTAGAAGAGTTAATTATTTGATGACATTATCATATGAAAACCAGAAAATAACCTCATATCCACCAGCCTGTGATAGTAATTGATGATTTTATTTACTTTGTCATCTAATGCACAAGTTTAAAAAACAAAGAAAGAGAAGGACACCAAATTGAGCAGGTACAGAAGAACATACAGGTGTGTGTGTGTGTGTGTGTGTGTGTGTGTGTGTGTGGTGTTAACAATACCTAACTCTCACAAGCATTTAACTACTTCAGGTATTTAACATTTCTTCCCTTTTCTCAATTTTTATGACATCCAGGCAAATGATCATTTTCTGTGAACACAGCCCAGATTCCAGCTGGACTGGCTATGGTTATGCAGTTGCACTTTTTGCTGTAGCCTTTTCCCAAACCTTGATTCTTCAGCAGTATCAACGTTTTAGCTTGCTCACCTCAGCAAAAATAAAAACAGCTGTAACTGGACTGATCTACAAAAAGGTAAAAATATTCAAGGATTTCCCAATTTTAAGTGGATTGCTCTCTTGTTATGCTTTAAAATAATGGAACTGGGAAAGTAATGGAATATATTAAAAAGTGCTTAAGGTGTCCTTTACATGAACATTTGTTTTACTCCAATACAGAACTGACTCATGAATCTGGTTGCATTAATTTCCCTAGGGGATTCTCTCCCTCTCCCTATTGTCCCTAAAACTTCTAGACAGCCTTCAACTGGGAAACTAAATGGTTTCTTTGTCTACTGTTATGTCACTTAACTCCTCCTTCAAAAGCAAATGTAATTGAATGTTTTCCTGATTGTATATTTGAGCATTGATAAAATTTCTTCTTTTCACATTCTTTCTACTTTTGTCTGATTCCACTGCTCAATTGTTTATGCAACAAATCTATCCTGCTTTGTGCAATAATTGTTTCCTTCTCTTTGATCCTAAGTTCCATCCCTCAGATTTAAAGTTTGATTTGTCCTTTTTATAAAATACTGTTTTAAACACCAACTCATTTCTATACAGAGCCTTTTATTTATATCATAATTATCAACAAAGAGTTTCCTCCCTCCCCTAGTTATCAGACATTTATTCAATCAGCGGTTGTGTTTTGTTCTTTCTTTGTGCTCCTCCTGTAAATTCTGGGTGCTTCAAGATCTGGAACAGAAATGCATCTGCCTGTTGTGTCCTTATCATCTAAGATATGATTTTTTAATATTTTTATAAATGCTGGATGGCTCAGTAAATGAATGAATAAATGAATGAACAAAGAAGCCTTCAAGAAATTGGAAAGAAATGTTAGCATACATAGTATGTGGAACTAAATAGATCAAGTAAGCAGAAAATCTACAAGGGTTGTATATAGTTAAGGAAATTTTCACATAGAGTCTTGAAAGAGTCTTTTAGAGACCTATAGAACTTGTGTAAGTAGAAGGAAACATTAGAATTTAGATTGAGCTGAGCAAGAGGCATTATAGACTATTTCATCCTGTTGGGTCAAATGGGGACATAGAGTGATTTTAGACATCCTAGAATAACCCAGGACCCATTGAGTCAATAAATGTTAAATAAACTTGTAGCAGAGCTATATAGCTCATCCTAAAACTGGGGTCAGAGAGACTGTCCTATTCCAGAGGAATTCAACATGCAGGAGAGTACAAAAGAATCTAGGGATCTGTTTAAATGCTGCCACTTGTCTTTTGATGTACAATCTCTACTGAACAGGATTTTATTCAGTGACTAAAGCCTTAGTATTTGGATGTGGGTTGTGAGTAGATTTACAAGCATAAAAGTATCAACTGCCCTGAAAGAGCAGAAGCAAAAGAGGGTGGATTTATAAGCAGAAAAGTTTTAGGCAATGAAGCTACTCTTTATGACATTATACTGGTGACTGTGTCACACATTTGTCCTAGCCCATAGCATGCACAACACAAGATTGAAACTGAATGTAAACCAGGGGCTTTGGTGATAATGATGTGTCAGTGTGTGTTCATCATTCACACCTCATGTCCTACTCCAGAAATGTTGATAATAGGAAAGCCCATGCCTGTGTGGGGAGAGGCACTCTATCAGAACTACCTTCTTCTCAGTTTTGCTATGAACCTAATATTTCTCTAAAAAATAGTCTTTAATTGAGGGGGAGTGTAGTAGAAATTAAAGCAAAGTGTCCAAAATAAAAAGGGAAATCAAGTATCCTAGATGAGTCCATTTCAAGGACAGAAAGTCTGTGGAAGTAAGTGGGAACAGTGACTCCAAGGGAAATCCCTTATGGCTCCTATGAGACTGTTAAAGAATAAAGATCACTGAAGGATCCAAGTAGTACAATATGCCTCTTCAGGAGATTCTCTGTAGTGACTAAGTTTGGTAGGAAACACAAATCTCTCTCCTTGGGGTTAATTGGAATAGATAAATTTCCTTTCTTCTTTACAGGTTTTGGGATTGTGATTTATTTCATATTTAGATATCTTCAAGTGACTGTCCTAGCAGACCCCAGATGACCTATATTAACTTGAAACTGGATCTATTTCATTAGGATCTTGTTAATAGAGTTGAGTAAAGCTGGTCTCAGATCCTTTGCTTGACAAAAAGTGGAGTTGGCAGGACTCACTTGTTCTGTGTCATTCACATAACTATTCTTTGTTTGAAATATAGTTCAGGGAATATTATTTTTAGGTTCTCAGTGAAGAACATGAGTCTCCTTACATTGGTCATTTTAAGAATCTATGGGTCTCTGAACTCAGATTTTTTTTTTATTCTTTGGTTTATAGGTGCAGGTTCCATGAGAATTCATAAAGACTCAGAAAAAGACATGACTCAAAAGCAGCGTCAATTAGTCCTGGGCTTAGTGTGGGCACTCTGGGTATATTCCTTCATTAAGCACCATCCAATAGAAATTTCTGTGTTTCTAAAATTGTCCTACATTTACACTGTGCAATGTGGTAGCTACTAGTCACATATGGATATCGAAGATTTGAAAGTGACTGGTATAACTAAGGAAGTGAATTTTTAATTTTAATTAATTTAACTTTAAATTTCCTAACCATACCTGGCTAGTGGCTACCATTTTGGAAAGTAAAATATTTAGAATGTCTCCCTGTGTAGCTTAAAGTTTTTATCTTACTTTATTTATAGAAGTTATAAAATACAAATAAAACTGATAAAATTCAGTTGCACTCTGTAAAGTAGAGATATTGCATTTAAGCGTGGACAAGAAGAGAGCCACAATCCAAACCCTGCACTTTGAGTCAAGAGAATCCTGGCATAGTTTTGGGCATATAAAGGAACTGAAAAAGAACAAATTCCCATAAATGCTAAGGTTACCCTTTTAAGTTCATACCTCATACTTGCATTTGAGGATCATGGGAATATGGGCCCCTTTCAGCTTTGCATGATATGTATGGCTTCCAGCCAGCAAAGTCAGAAAAAGTTTCATGGTCAATATACAAATGTAGGTCAGTAGGATGAATGTCATGAGGTAAAGTCTTTTATATAGCAATAACATGAAAAAAGGTTGGAAACAAATATAAGACTTGCTCAGAAAATGGTAAGTAGGTTAATTTGGGTTGACACTTTTCCTATATAGTATGATGGGGAGAGATAATATTGACAGAAAGAAGGGATTGTTTGTTGAAACAAAATTGAAGAACCTTGATGACTATATTGTGAAAATGTATTTGCATTATATAAGAACTTAGGATACAGTTGAACCACAGGGGGATACTTAAGACAAAAAGATTCAAAACAGATAGGGTAGAGAGAAGAAAAACCATAGAACTATTGCAATAGTTAAAGATTTGAAGAAGGGCCTTGGCAATGAATACAGCAAAAAACAGTAAAGGGAGAGGTGAAATTGCAAAACAAATTTTATCATAAATGGATAAAATTAAATATTAGTGAATTGAACTCATCGATAATGAAGATATTTCCAGTTGGTTAGGAGGGGTTTGGGAAGCTTAAAACTCTATCTAGTTCATCTGGATCGTCTTCTATTGTAATAATAGGTGGAATAAATGAAGTTTTGAGATGACCCACACAATTATGCTTCTGTGTGTGTGTGTGTGTGTGTGTGTGTGTGTGTATGGATTAGAAACCTAAAACTTGGGGAGCTTGGAGGAACTTTCTTAGAAAAAAGTAATTATCAAAAGTACATACAAGAGGAAGTGAGGGGAAAGGGAAAAATAATACAAGGGGGACAAATGAATGACAGTAGAGGGGGCAGAGAGAGAAGAGGGGAGGGGAGGGGAGGGGAGGGGGGATAGTAGAGGATAGGAAAGGCAGCAGAACACAACAGACACTAGTATGGCAATATGTAAATCAATGGATGTGTAACTGATATGATTCTGCAATCTGTATATGGGGTAAAAATGGGAGCTCATAACCCACTTGAATCAAAGGTTGAAATATGATATATCAAGAACTATGTAATGTTTTGAATAACCAACAATAAAAAATTAAAAAAAAAGAAAAAAAGTAATTATGATACAAATATATGTTGGCTAATTTCAATTTTGACTTTAAGGATATTTATAAATGTCCTGAATTTTCAAATTATTTTAGATTTTAAAGATGAGATCTTTTCTTTTTATCTCAATCACACTTTCTCTTTTTCATTAGATTAAATTCTACCAGACAATTCTAGAAATATTGCACGATCTACTGTAATTGTGGTGCATATTGCAGTATTCTTTCAAATTGTTTCCTGTAACACAAAGGCAGTTTTGATTGTATAATTTAGCAATAAATGGTAACTGAATTGTCCTTCATGGCCTGTGAATTTTGTCCCTTACAGAAATGTGAAGGTTTATTTGTCAGAATAAAAGATCTTGAAAGAAAAATCAGTTCTCCTAATGTTAGAAATGCCATGCAAATAACATTAAATTATATGGTGCCCTTTAGTCTTTTCTTTAATATTCTGAAAACAATTATTTAATTTAATTTTGTCAGAGTATTTAATATGAATGCTATCATCTTAACCTATTTTAAGTATAAAATGCATCCTTTTTTGCTTATTTATTACATTGCTGTCTATATAATATTGCATAGCAGATCTCTATAACTTATTCCTCTTACTACACTGAAACTTTGTTAAGTATTCCCCAGTTTTTCCTCCCTTCTGCCTCTGGTAAACACCACGCCAGTCTTTGATTTTATGAATGTGACTCTTTTAGATACAGTATTTAAGTGGAATCAACACATATCTTTCTGTGTTTGGTTTATTTCATTTTGCATAATATCCACAAGATTCATGTGTGTTGCCATATATTTCCTTCTTTTTTAAGAAGATACACAGAGCCCAAACAATATTTTAAAATGCTTATCTTCCTTAACATGAGAGCATACTAATCAAAACCATGTCAATACCTTTCTTCATACCTGACAAAATGACTACTACCAAAATATCAAAAAGCAAAAATACAGACAAGATTTGGCAAAAATGTGGGGAAAGCAGAACCCTGGTACACTGTTGTGGAAATGCAAAATGGTGCAGGCACTATGGAAAATAATTGGAGGTTCTTCCAAAGATTTAAAAAGGAGCTGTGCCTGTAACCCCAGTGGTTCAGGAGGCTGAGACAGGAGGATCTGGAGTTCAAAGCCAACCTCAGCAACATGGAGCTGCTAAGCAACTCAGTGAGCCCTTTCTCTAAATAAAACACAAAATAGGGCTGGGGATGTGGTTCAATGGTTGACTGCCCCTGAGTTCAGTCCCTGGTATTCCCTTACCCCCTCCCCCCTAAAAAAAGAGGTGCCATGCCACCCAGCAATCTGACTCCTACTTCTGGATATATATATATATATATATATATATATATATATATATATATAGAATTAAAATCAATATCTCAAAGACATATTTATATCTGTATTCATTAGACAACTATTCATCATAACCAAAATGTAGAAACAAACTAAATGACATACAAGACATAAATGATAAAGAAAATGTAAAATGCAGCTGAACACTATTTATCAATTAATTTTTAAAGATTATTTTGTTCATTGAAGAAAGTACATAAATATGAAAGAGAAAACAGCATCTATTCTAACTCCAAAAAATAATCACTGATATATTTTCTTTCAATATTTATTTTTTAATCTTGTTTACTTAGTAATATATGATTCACTTAATAATAGTTCATGAGCAAAAGTATTGAAAAAATACACCATCAATACAAGTTGTTTGTGATTCAAAGTATGATTTCTCTAATTTCTGGGGAAAGTTTTTTAACTTCTTTAACATTTACAAATTCCATTTTAAAGTATTATCTATTTGGACTTTGGATGCTTCCATTATGTTTTTATAAAATTTGATAGTTGTACTCCAGATATGGAAAAATTTCATGTTCTTACTCATTTTTGCTGGGTATCCTATTTTTTTCTACAAAGATAATAAGGAGATAGTCAACTATTTTCTTATGTTTATCATAATATCTTTTCCCAGTAGCAGGACATTTATTTGATTCCTTGGATAATTTACTTGTTTTGAACTACAAACTTATAATATCTTCATAAACACTAAGTGAGTATTTAAGAAAAACAGGGAGAAAAAGAGCCTATGTTTGTTTATAATTGTAAATTTTGGGAGGATTCTATTCAAGATCAATGGATTGAGCTTATAAATTATTATGCTCTTATTCAAATGAGTAGTGTGCTTGGATTTCTACTGTTTTACTTGTCCACATTAGTCAGTAACTTACTAGAGGGGAGTTAAAAAGCAATATTTGGAATAAATATAACTGGAAGTTTAACTGGTAAATAATGACTTCCGTTTTCTTCTCATGTGGCAATAGTCATGTTATCTTGAATACAACAGTCCTCCCTTTAATAGTCAGTAGTAAAAATGTCTCCAATTTGTAGTGCAGGATTGGAGATATTTTTGCTACTGACTAGTAAAGAGGACAGTCATAGAGCCCAAGCCTGTGTGGGGATGCTGGAGCCTTGTGAAAGTCCCAGGGCTGTGTAGTCCCTCTGGCCCCCTACCCAACCCCACCTTGCATTTAATCCCTCTGCTTGAAGGTAGGTAATGTTGGGTAAGTTTCACTGTGAGTCCTACCAGGTGGGCTTTCCTTTTGTATTATTAACTTACTAAAAAAATGTATTTTGCTTGCTTCTTGTACCCCATTATTCTTGGTAGCCTCAACTCTCAGTCTTGTTTCTTTTAAATCAATGTAGTGAAAATTTCATAAAATATTAGGTATGTAAATGGGCCTCTGCCTGGTTTCCAGTGCAAATACAAATCTTCCATTATTTTTAGTTATTTATGTATCTCACTGGAAATTTTAAGTGAGTGGGAATTAAATAAATGCATTTCTACTAGAATCCTTAAAAATGGTACCAATAAATTTGCTTGGGAATATTGAATTTGTTATACAAATATTAAATAGTATACACAGGTGAAAATTAAAAATTGGGCCTTGGAAGAAAAGATGTATCTGCTCCATGAAGTCTTTTTAGTCATCTTATACCTCTTTGTTTCCATAACCCTTTCCAGTTGCCTTTATACTTAGAATTGGCCTATGTGGATGTGTATATATGAATACAGTTCCCCAACTAGATTGTAATCATCTTAATAATTGGGATTATGTTTTTTTTAGTTTTTTCACAACTTCGGTAATAATACTGCTCACCAGTATTCATTAGATATTCATTGATTTATGTGTGTATTTTTTATCATTTACATTTAGCTTTATGGAGGTGGCACGAAATGGAAGAGAGTACAATATATTCAGAACAGATTTCTTTTTCAGTTTTGTAATTAAAGAAAATAGTTGTCTTATGAACCAGATGTTACTCTCTACCATTATGCAGTTGATTCCAAAACTATGTATTTAATCAAAATTATAATTCCTCACTTAAAAGTCATGTTTTCTTAAATATATTAATGACTGATAAATAAAACTTACCATTGTTTGATAACAAGATGTTCCATAACTTAAAGAATTCTAAAATAGTTTATTTCTTATATTACAGGCCCTACATTTATCAAATGTTTCTCACAAAAAGTTTTCCACTGGGGAAATTATCAACTTGATGTCATCAGATGCCCAGCAACTCATGGACTTGACAGCCAACCTCAGTGTCCTCTGGTCAGCCCCTTTCCAAATCCTGATGGCCGTCTTTCTTCTTTGGCAAGAACTGGGTCCTGCAGTGTTAGCAGGAGTGGCAGTCCTTTTTCTTGTATTACCAATAAATGCTTTTGTTGCCATTAGAATAAAAAAGCTGAAGGTAAGAAAATCACTGCCTCGTGTTATGTGTGCTGAACAGAAGCTGAGTTTTCTGACTTGAGTTGACAATAGTCATCTGGCTAATTCTATAATTATGAAAAGTAAAGGTTATCAATGGAAACCACTCAGATTTATCATTCACTAATTCATTTAACCCATATTGATGAGGTACCTATTCTGTGCCACTCACCACTCTAGACACAGAAAGGGCAGTCGTGAGAGGAACTGACAAGTTCCAACTCTCATGAGGCTTGTAGGGGGAGACAGACATCAAGTGGGTATTAAATAGATACACAGTAAGATGTATATGCATAAAAATAGTCAAGATAAAGTGATAGAGGAGCAAAGAGACCTCCATATATGCATAAGGAGGAAAGTTCTCAGGAAGGACATAGTATATCAACATATGGTAGGACATCTGTGTGGATGTCTCAGAAAAAGATAAACCAAGTGAAGGGGACAATAAGTGCAAAGGCTGGAGGTGGGTATTCTTGTTTGTCTGAAGCGTAGAAAGGGCCCACGTGCTCGAATGAGCAAAGAGTGAATGAACAGTAAATTTTTCACAGAACTAATTTTGACACTCTTTCCTTACAGTCAATTTTTCATCTTTCTATCAATATCCATATATTGATAGAAAGTCTATTGACACCCATGGGGTGTCAGACAGTGTGTACTATTATGCTGTACTACAGGAATAGAGAAACAGCATAGTTCACTCTGCTGAAGGAAATCACACTGCAATGAGAGAGAAAGATGATTCCATGCATTAAAGAAGGTTACCTGAACATGAACACAGCTAGTGTTTGACAGGCAAACTGATAATGAGAAGGCTACCAAGAGACTAACAGGCATGTGGTATACAAAGCTTGGATATGTTGGACAAAGCGAGGATTCACATCCCAACAGGACAGAATGTATGAGAACAAGAGGTTTTGTCATGTTGCTCTGAGTTTAAGGCTTATGAATTATTTCATTCTGGAATTTTCCATTTAATATCTTTAGACCTCTGTTGACCATTGGTAATCAAAATCACTCAAAGAGAAATCACTGATACAAAGTTGGGGACTACTATATACATATGCATACATATGTCTATATAATGCTACTCCAGTATTTACAACATGAATATACTCATGCACATGTGTGTGATAGAAATAAGTAAATGAAGATATATAACTACATATTTATTTGTTTAACTATAAAATTATCTAGAGAAAAAGGAAGAGTCTCTTATTACCCATAGAGTAGAATTAGATATATGGGAGAGGGAAATGTTTTACTTACTTAAATAATTTAAGTGATGGAAAGTTGAATATTTTTTGTTTTTCTAAAATTTTCAAATAAAGGATGGCTAATTATAAAGATGAAAACTAGAAAATAGGATATAATTCTGAAGTATTAAACACAATGTTTTGAATAATGCTTGCTCATAATAATAATATATTTTAATTATTTTTTAAAATGTAACAAATTTTTTATATTTTAAAAAATTTTATTGATTCTTTTTAGTTATATGTGACAATAGGATTCATTCTGACATAATTATAAAAACATGGAATATAGTTTGTTCTAATTCCATCCCCAGTACTTCCCCTTCCCCTCCTACCCTCCCTCCTCCTGTTTCCTTCACTCTGCTATACTGATTTAGTTTACTTTTTTTTTAAGTTAGTGACTTGTGGAGGTGCATGATGGTGAGATTCTGTTTATATTCATATATGTACATAGGAATGTTAGATCAGATTCATTCTACTGTCTTTCCCTAGCCCATCCCTCCATTTCTTCTCCCTTCCTTTCATTCCCCTTTGTCTACTCCATTGATCTTTCTTCTTTTTTTTACATGCCCCCCCTTATTTTTAATTAGCTTCTGGATATCAGAGGACATATTCAACCTTTGACTTTTGGGGACTGGCTCATTTCACTTAGCATAATAGTCTCCAGTTCCATCCATTGACTGGCAAATGCCATAAATTCATTTTTATTTATGGCTGAGTAATACTCCATTGTGCATATATACCACATTTTCTAGTTTGTATTTCAGAGACTTCAGCTATATACTCTGTCCTTGAGGTCTGAAAACCTATCTTCAAAGTAGTTTAATCTATTGGTGATGCTTTCCATTGGATTTTTAATTTGATTTATTGATTACTTCATTTTGAGGATTTTTGTTTGGTTCTTTTTTAAGAATCTCTACCTCTTTATTTGAAGTGATCTTTCACTTCCTATAATTTCTCTCTGATTTTATTCCTTACATCTTCTTTTAGTTCATACAACAGCTTAACTATGAACTTTCTAAAGTACTTCTCTGGCATATTTTCCACTATGGTGTCAATGAAGTCTGCTGTTAAAGCATTATGGACTATTTGGGATGTTTTTCCCCCTTGGTTTTTCATATTGTTTATATTTCTACTCATCTATCAATATAGTTCTGACTTCTTTTAAGTGAAGGACTACTTTGTGAGCCTCTTTTTCTCAAGAGCCCTGGGTTGGATAAATATTCAGATTACAATATTTTAAGTCAATGTGTGACCTCTGCTGATACCAATATCAGTACCACTTTAAGAGATTCCACTGAGTCCTATTTACTGTAATCACTTCTGAGCCAAGCCTCATTCTATTCAACTTCATAAGAAACAAACAAACAAAAAAACTCATTGCAATTGTTTCCTGCAGTTCCCCAAATTCAGGTATAAACCTATTTTATAGGTTTATATAAATTCTGGAACAGGTCAAAAAATAAATTTTTAAATTTAGTAACTTACTAAAACCTTAAGTTAGGGCTAAAAGGGAGGAGGAAGAATTATCCGGCAAATGGGAGAGAGAAAAGAAGAGACAGAGAGAAGAAAAAACTATAAAAAGAGAATTTATATCAATGTCCAAAATGAGAAATAGATAATGGGTGTTATTTGAGGTAGTAGCAGATAACATAAAAGGATGAGTAGAGGGTAAGAAAAGCAGGTATAAACTAGAGCTAGGAAAACAAAGATAGAAAGATTGATTCCAACTCATGATTTAAACCATAATATGAAATACATTCAAATGGTTTGAAGGTACAATGTTAGCTATTGGGTTAATAATTATTGTTCAAGTTAAGAAGTTGTTTATATGATCAAAGTTGACATTAGAGTTGTTTATAGTATCCCATTTCAAGATGAAGAAAAATTTTTTTTGAATCTTGGTTCCCAAACAATAATAAATATAAGTTATTTTAATCATTACATATTTGAAGAAGTATACAATATTCAAATAATTATACATAGTATTTAAAAAAATAAACAGCTCATATTTGAAAATATGCATTGTAAGTACTCAAATTCTCCCAAAACTTCTCAAACTTATAGAGAGTTTTGCTTTTATTTCTGGAACTTTTGATTTGATAGAGTTTTGGGAAATTTATTCCATTTTTAATACAATGCAGGTGTTACTTCATTATTAAATTCTGAATTACTCACATTTAAATAATTTTTTTCTACAATTTTATTCTGCTTTTATTCTATTAGTGACTGCATATAGTTTACCTATTTATAACTATCTTCTAACATTAGCAATAGAAGAATGTTGTTCAAGTATTGGTAAGATGCTTTTCTCAAATAAAATTTACATAAAACACAGGAAATAGAATGTATTTTTAAAATAGCTGTGGCCATATCAGCAAAAGTTTAAACAACCTTTTTCCTGTATGATTTTTTTTCCATTAAACAGAAAAACCAAACAAAGAACAAAGATACACAGATAAAACTACTCAAGGAAATCTTACATGGAATTAAGGTAATATAAACAAGATTTACATTCAGTTTGACTATTTATGATATACCAACATGCTAACTGATAAATAAAGTTTGTAATGTTCTCTGTGTCTCACAGTGATGACATATGTGTGTAATTACTTGGAGTAGATTTCAGATTTGAGGTACATGGAAATATTTGTGCTAAAATAGCATTAAAATGAAAAGTCAAATAATATGCAGGTATTTTTGTTTCTCAACAACTAAATGTAAGTATTATAAGATACAGAATATTACTTATTTTAAAGAATTATGTGAAAAAAACGGGTTGAAACAAGCTATATCACTCATGCCACCAACATTTTCTTCACAAAATAATGAGTGAATCCTTATGAAGTTATTTAAGTTCATAAGGTTTCATTTATTTTTTATAAAGTTATATATATATATATACTTGTAGATGGACATAATATCATTATTTATTTATTTTTATGTGGTGCTGAGGATAGAACTCAGTGCCTCACACATGCAAGTCAAGTGCTCTACCACTGAGCTACAGCCCCAACCCTATTATTTTTATAGAATTTTAATGAACACACACACACATACACACAACATTTTAATTTATTATGACATAGGTTATGCTTTACAGAATTCTCTAAAAGACAAAATTTGCAAAGCCAATATGGAATTTCTTTCTGGCCTTAATAATCACATATGGGAGTCCCTCTGTAATACATTTAGTTTTAAAATTTTAAATTAAATTTATTTTTTGGCTGACACATAAACACATAAATTTATATGTATTTAATACAGTACCATGTGATGTTTTGATACATGTATACATCATATACTATATAAGTCAGGTAAAACATATATATCTCAATGCTTAAATATTGATACTTTTTTTAGTAATAACATGCAAAATCTTTTTTTCCTAGGTTTTTGAAAGATGAAGTACACAATTGTTGTCTATAGTCATCCTATTGTGGGATAGCATACTTGAACTTATTGTTCCCATCTAAGTGTAACATAGTAGCCACGGTCAACCTTTCCCCATCCCTCTCTCCCTGCTACTCACCCCAGGCTCTGGTAACCATCATTCTACTCTCAACTTCCATGAAACCAACTTTTTAAAAGATTCCGCATATGAGTAAGATCAGAAGGCACTAGTTTTTCTATGCCTGACTTTTTTCATTTAACATAATGATCTTCAATTCCATTCATGTTGTCACAAATAACAGAATTTCATTCTTTTTATGACTGAGTAGTATTCTATTGTGTATATGTACCACATTTTAAAACCTATTCATCAGTAGTTGGGTAGATAGGTCTTTTTCCACTTCTTAGCTATTATAACTAATGCTGCAATGAGCATGGGAATGCAGATGTCTCTTTGACATACTGATTTCATTTCCTTTGGATATATACCCAGTAATGGAATTGCTGGATCATATGGTAGTTCTATTTTCAATTTTTTCAGAAACCTCCATACTGTTTTCCGTAATAACTATTCAAATTTATATTCCCAGCAGTGTGCAAGAGTTCCCTTTCTCTCCATTCTCCCCACCAGTTACTGATGTTTAATTTTCAAATACTTTCTCCCGTTCTGTAGCTTCTCTTTACTCTGTTGATTGTTCACTTTGCTGCACAGAAGCTTTTTAGTTTGATGTAATCTCATTTGTCTATTGTTGCTTTGTGTGTGCTGTGCTTTGCATCTTGATGAAGAATCCTTGGAATACCTATTTTCTGTTTTTATGTGCACAGTATATATCCATTATATGTACATGTAGATTCACCTTAGAATCAGTAAGTGATCTGCTGTAGCGTTCTGTGGAGAACTTACACAAAATGGTAAATTACCAAGGTGAAAGAAATTGTTAGATTGAATATACCTTGAAGAGGGAGTGATATTTACCTACTTGGCTGAAATTAAGAGAAGCCTTAAGTATCTCTGAAATTTAACTAACATTTTTAATAAGATCACATACTGTAAAGTGATATGATCTGAATGCAATTCTCAGTACATTGATTGATAGTCTTTGCATCCAAAGAAAAAGTATACCAGCATTTGTTCACAGGTGTTAATATTTATATTCACAAAGGGATATTTGCATTATCAGTAGAATTAGTACAGTGTAGGTAAAATAGATGAACATTTCTCCAAGATCTGAGCAAAATTCAAGACTTGAAGTAGCATCCACAGCAGGAAATAAACATGAAAATTAGTGGAAGTCCCAATAGCAATCAAGTAGTATGGTCTAAAATTGTGAGCAGTTGGATTCCATGGGGTCGGATAACAGGTGCCATAAAGCCTCTCTCCGATAATCTAAGAAGAGCTGCCATTTACTAAACATCTTCTATGTGCCAAGTGCTGATAAGTTTATTTCCATTTCCTCATGTAATTCCTATAAACCTTGAGTAAAATATTTCTTATGCCCAATTTACAAATTACACAACAAAGACACTGGTCAGTTAAGTGTCATGTCTAAGTTTACAGAACAAATGAGAGTGTTTCAGGGTTCTCCAGTGAAATAGAAGCAAAAGGAAAATAGAGAACACGTGTGTGTGTGTGTGTGTGTGTGTGTGTGTGTGTGTGTGTGTATTTAGAGAGAGAGCAAAGGGAAGGGAAGGGAAAGGGAGAGAGAGAAAGAGGAAAAGCGAATTTAACAAACTGGCTCATGAGGCATTGGGAATGCAGCTTAGTTTTAGAGTGCTTCCCTAGTATGTGTGAAGTCCCTGGCTTTAATTCCTAGAGCTACAAAAAATAAAATTAAGAATTTGACTCATGATGGTGGGGGCTGGTGAGTCTGAAATCTGTAGAACAGGCTGGCAGTTAGTATTGGGTCATAGGCAGTGAGAATGCACAATGTTTTCCTCCTTGGATGACCTCAATCTTTTTCCTTAAGGCCTTCAATTGATTGAATGAGGTTCACCCATAATCTAGAAATTAATCTCATTTACTCAAAGTTACTGATTTAGATCTTAATCATATATGAAAATGTATTTGTAACAATATCCTGTCTAGCATTGAATCAAACAATTAGGCATCATAGTCCAGTCAAATAGACACAAAATAAAGCATCTCAAAGAGAACTGGAATTTGAACGTAGGTCTCTCACTTTAAAATGTGTACAGTGAGTCAGTATATGATCCTGCTTCCCCACATTTTCTGTCTTAGGAAGTAGTTTACAATGGGAAAATATCAATCATTTTTTAGAGAATGGCTTTAAGTTCCAAGACATCAGTCTTAAAGAAATTGGGACGCCAGAAAAAAATAGGCTGGCTATGAAGAAGTGAGAATTGGACCAGCAGGAATAGTGACAGAATTGAGTGAGACAGAAACTGCTATGGAGTTCATTCATAGAGCTGGGATTTCATCAGAACTGGCTCAGAAATAAGTTGCTGGTGCATAAAAGAAAGATAAGGCTGATTGTGACCCTGTCCCCCAGACCCCCTCTTTAAGGCCACATAATTCAAGGAAATCTTTATATTCAGTCAAAAATAGGAGCATTTTTTTTTAAATTTTTTTTATTGGTTGTTAAAAACATTATAAAGCTCTTGACATATCATATTTCATACATTAGATTCAAGTTGGTTATGAACTCCCAATTTTACCCCAAATACAGATTGCAGAATCACATCGGTTACACATCCACATTTTTACATAATGCCCTATTAGTAACTGTTGTATTCTGCTACCTTTCCTATCCTCTACCATCCCCCCTCCCTCCCCTCCCATCTTCTCTCTCTACCCCATCCACTGTAATTCATATCTCTCCTTGTTTATTTTCCCATTCCCCTCACAACCTCTTATATGTAATTTTGTATAACAATGAGGGTCTCCCTCCATTACCATGCAATTTCCCTTTTCTCTCCCTTTCCATCCCACCTCATCTATCTGTTTAATGTTAATCTTTTCTTCCTGCTCTTCCTCCCTGCTCTGTTCTTAGTTGCTCTCATTATATCAATGAAGACATTTGGTATTTGTTTTTTAGGGATTGGCTAGCTTCACTAAGCATAATCTGCTCTAGTGCCATCCATTTCCCTGCAAATTCCATGATTTTGTCATTTTTTAGTGCTGCGTAATACTCCATGGTGTATAAATGCCACATTTTTTTTATCCATTCATCTGTTGAAGGGCATCTGGGTTGGTTCCACAGTCTAGCAATTGTGAATTGTGCTGCTATGAACATCGATGTAGCAGTATCCCTGTAGTACGCTCTTTTAAGGTCTTCAGGGAAAAGTCCAAGAAGGGCAATAGCTGGGTCAAATGGTGGTTCCATTCCCAGCTTTCCCAGGAATCTCCATACTGCTTTCCAGATTGGCCGCACCAGTTTACAGTCCCACCAGCAATGTACAAGAGTACCCTTTTCCCCACATCCTCTCCAGCACTTGTTGTTGTTTGACTTCATAGTGGCTGCCAATCTTACTGGAGTGAGATGGTATCTTAGTGTGGTTTTGATTTGCATTTCTCTGACTGCTAGAGATGGTGAGCATTTTTTCATGTACTTGTTGATTGATTGTATGTCCTCCTCTGAGAAGTGTCTGTTCAGGTCTTTGGCCCATTTGTTGATTGGGTTATTTGTTTTCTTATTGTTTAATTTTTTGAGTTCTTTGTATACTCTGGATATTAGGGCTCTATCTGAAGTGTGAGGAGTAAAAATTTGTTCCCATGATGTAGGCTCCCTATTTACCTCTTTTATTGTTTCTCTTGCTGAGAGAAAACTTTTCAGTTTAAGTAAGTCCCATTTGTTGATTTTTGTTATCAACTTTTGTGCTATGGGTGTCCTATTAAGGAATTTGGAGCCCGACCCTACAATATGTAGATCGGAGCCAACTTTTTCTTCTATCAGACGCAGAGTCTCTGATTTGATATCTAGCTCCTTGATCCACTTTGAGTTAACTTTTGTGCATGGCGAGAGGAGGGGATTCAGTTTCATTTTGTTGCATATGGATTTCCAGTTTTCCCAGCACCATTTGTTGAAGATGCTATCCTCCCTCCATTGCATGCTTTTAGCTCCTTTATCAAATATAAGATAGTTGTAGCTTTGTGGATTAGTCTCTGTGTCCTCTATTCTGTACCATTGGTCCACCCTCCTGTTTTGGTACCAGTACCATGCTGTTTTTGTTACTATTGCTCTGTAATATAGTTTTAAGTCTGGTATCGCTATACCGCCTGATTCGCACTTCCTACTTAGAATTGCTTTTGCTATTCTGGGTCTTTTATTCTTCCATATGAATTTCATGATTGCTTTATCCATTTCTACAAGAAATGCCATTGGGATTTTGATTGGCATTGCATTAAACCTATAGAGAACTTTTGGTAGTATCGCCATTTTGATGATGTTAGTTCTGCCTATCCATGAACAGGGTATATTTTTCCATCTTCTAAGATCTTCTTCTACTTCTCTTTTTAGGGTTTTGTAGTTTTCATTATATAAATCTTTCACCTCTTTTGTTAGGTTGATTCCCAAGTATTTTATTTTTTTTGAGGATATTGTGAATGGAGTGTTTTTCCTCATTTCCGTTTCAGAAGTTTTGTCGCTGATATACAGAAATGCCTTTGATTTATGCGTGTTGATTTTATATCCTGCCACTTTGCTGAATTCATTTATTAGTTCTAGTAGTTTTTTTGTAGACCCTTTTGGGTCTTCTAGGTATAGAATCATGTCATCTGCAAATAGTGATAATTTAAGTTCTTCCTTTCCTATTTTTATGCCTTTAATTTCTTTCGTCTGTCTAATTGCTCTGGCCAGTGTTTCAAGAACTATATTGAATAGAAGTGGTGATAGAGGGCATCCCTGTCTTGTTCCAGATTTTAGGGGGAATGCCTTCAATTTTTCTCCATTGAGAATGATGCTAGCCTGAGGCTTAGCATAGATAGCTTTTACAATGTCGAGGTAAGTTCCTGTTATCCCTAGTTTTTCTAATGTTTTGAACATAAAGGGATGCTGTACTTTGTCGAATGCTTTTTCTGCGTCTATTGAGATGATCATATGGTTCTTATTTTTAAGTCTATTGATGTGGTGAATAACATTTATTGATTTCCGTATATTGAACCATCCTTGCATCCCAGGGATGAATCCTACTTGATCATGGTGCACAATTTTTTTGATGTGCCTTTGTATCCGATTCGCCAGAATTTTATTGAGAATTTTTGCATCTAGGTTCATCAGAGATATTGGTCTGTAGTTTTCTTTCTTTGAGGTGTCTTTGTCTGGTTTCGGAATCAGGGTGATGTTGGCCTCATAGAATGAGTTTGGCAGAGCTCCTTCTTTTTCTATTTCCTGAAATAACTTGAAAAGTATTGGCATTAATTCTTCCTTAAAGGTTTTGTAAAACTCCGCTGTATACCCATCCAGTCCCGGGCTTTTCTTGGTTGGAAGTTTTTTGATTGCTTCTTCTATTTCATCTATTGTTATTGGTCTGTTTAAGTTGTGAGTATCCTCCTGACTCAGTCTGGGTAAATCATATGACTTAAGGAATTTATCGATGTCTTCACTATCTTCTATTTTATTGGAATATAGGTTTTCAAAATAATTTCTAATTGTCTTCTGTATTTCTGTAGTGTCTGTTGTGATATTGCCTTTTCCATGGAGCATTTTTTTTTTACTTTTACCCTCAGTTGTGTGTGTTGTGTGTGTAGTGTGCATTTGTATGCATGCAGTCTTTTCTTCTATAATATTAGTTGTCAAATATTCATTGTCTGACTTCTTTACAGATTCTCAAACTTTATGCATGGGAACCTGCCTATAAAAATAAGATTATTAAAATTCGAGATCAGGAATTGGAGTTTCAAAAATCATCTACATATCTTTCTGTATGTTCTATGCTGATGTTAACTTGCATTCCATTTTTGGTAAGTGTATATATTTCCTCTTTTGATTTTTAATTTAACTTTGTAGGTTTGCTTCCAAATTGCCTGAAATTAAAACATTTAAAGTAAAATTTTATGTTTAAATTAAAAATTTTAATAATTTTAATCATTAATTTTGGGAGATTAGAGAACAAACAGCTCAAAGAAAATGTGTTCCTATTGGTTCGTATTTTTTAAACATTTTGTTCCTTTGAAATTTCTCACATTGAACATATGCCTTTCTAATTCTTAAAAAAAAATCTTCTCTTCAGAGCTTCATTACAGCTCTAAAGTTCCATTTGGCATGATTAATTCCTTTTAAGCAGCAACCAAAGGTACAGTATATGGAGCTAGGAAGGGAATGAGTATTTTTCCTATGAACAAGCCAAGTTATATATGTTGCCTTTTTTTTATTCTCACAATAATATGAATTATTTTTCTCATTTCACAAGGGAAAATGAAAATCTATAGTAGTTTGAAAACGTCAAACTTGTAGAATTAGTCTTCAGAAGTGAATTGATATAAAGTGAAGTATTTTCTTTGTTTCACATCATTTAATCATCAGATATCTCATGCTATTTAAACTAGAGTATAAATTGCCTTGGGAAATGAATCAAAGGGCAAGAAAACAAAGAACAAACAAACCATGTTCAACTGGACTTTAACTTTAATCAAAATGAGTACTCTAGGTAGTGATGAGAATCAGGGAAATTCTATATGTCTCCCATGTTGATAATTTAAAATACTTTTTAATTCAAAAAAACAGATGGGTATCATAGTTGATATTCTTCAGTTAATAGCAAAGGGAAAAGTATTGAAATTTTCTTCCCTAATTTTTAAGACTGTATAACTTATTAGGTTTGCAAGCAATAAATATATTTTTAAATTATGTATCTAATTTTAGGTGTCTCTGGCCACTTTTGGTGTATATTTCTCACTGGATGAAGGAAACATTTTAACAGCCACTAAAGCATTCACATCTATGTCTTTGTTTAATATTCTGAGGATTCCTCTTTTTGATTTACCAACAGTGATCTCAGCTGTGGTTCAGGTACATTCAGAGTATCCTTAAACTAAGAATCATTTCTCTATTAAATCAATGATTTTGTACATTTTATTTTTTTGTCATTTTTTATCATATTTTCCCTTTTTGTGGTTATTTAACACTGCATTCAAAATTTGTTTTCCTGATTTAATGAGTGGTAGAGAACATTGTGACTTTTAAATATTTCAACATGTTATGTTATTTTCATTGTTAGGTGTTGGTTTCTTTTACTTAGCTCCTATGTCATCACAGAGTTCACTTGGTTATAACTGAAGGTTTATAATCAGGTTCTTTGTATGAACCCAGATCTGAAGGTTTCCCCTGGGTTCAGCAACATGTCATCACTACTGAATAAGGAGGACAAGCAGTGAGAAAGTGCAATGATAACACCAGTCTGATTAAAAAAAAAAAAAAAAAAAACTGAGAGCTGGCTCAGCATGCTTTTAGGTTTTGTTTTTTTTTTAGGCTATTTACCTACTACAATGAGTAAAAACTGCAAAAGCCATGGGGCATTCAAAAAAGTGAGTTCCTGTATCCTTCTTTTCCCCCTGAGATTCACTCAGTTAAAATCGTGCTTGGATTCTTCAGGCATCTTCCATTGGAACCATTTCCTCAAGTTTGGGTCCATAAAGTGGGTCTTTGTTTCTTACAATCAGCTCTTTATTCTAAGAATTTTGCTTTTGTTTTATTTTATTTTTTTTTGAATGAAGAATAACAAATGAATAGTAAATACCAATTAAGTCATTCTTGTTACAGCCTATCTTCTTCATATTATCTTCCTTAGAATAACCAACAGAGGGCATAGACGTACCTTGGATGTGATGCTTTTAACTCTTATTTCCACAGCACACTTCACTTGAAGAAAATGTTAGTTCTTAAAGTAATGGTTTGGATTTGCTTTTAAAACTGGAATCTAGCTAAAGGTCTGATATCTCAAAGTGTTAAAGATCTAGTGGCTTACTGCTGCCTTCATTTAAATTTAAAAAAATTGTCTAAAGGAAAGAAAAAGCTGCAGCAGCAGTGTGTATTGATATGATGTACTTGATAAAGGAAACCATAGCCCAGTTACATCTTTGATGTTAACAATAGATGTCTTCTAATTCAAAATAAAAATGTACTGGAGATTTCATGTACTCAGTTTCGGTGGGGGGGGGTTATTTATCTTAATAGTAGCTCAATATTTTATAATTCTTTTCCTATAATTGATTGCTTTTATTGCCAAAACCATGGATTTGTTTATTGTTGGAAGCCCAATTGATACATCAACCTGAAGTTTCTTTTAAAATCTAATCTTTCTAAATCATTGTGAGTTATCACCTCATGCCTGTTAAGATGGTTATCATCAAAGAGTCAAAAGATAACAAAAAATGCTGATGAGGATATGGAAAAAGGGGATGCTGGCACACTGTTAATGGGAATGTACATTGGTACAGTCATTATGGAAAGTGGCATGGAAATTTCCTAAAAAAAAATAAAAATAGAACCACCATATGATCTAGCAGTCTCCCTTTTGGTACTTATTTTTATTTATCTAAAGGAAATAAAATTACTATCTTGAGAAAATGTTTGTACGTCCATATTAATTACAGTATTATCCACAGCCACATAAAAACAAGCTGAGTGTCCAATGATAGATGAATGTATAAGAAAAAGTGGTACACACACATACTCTCTCTCTCTCACACATACACACACACACACACACACACACACACACACACACACACACATACACAGAGGAATTATTGTTCAACCATGAAAAAGAAGGATATCCTGCCATTTTTGAAAACATGGAAGAACATTATGCTAAGTGAAATAAGCCAGACACATAAATACAAATACTGCATTATCTCCCCTACATGTGAAATCTAAAAAAGTTGTAGAAACACAGAGTAGAAGAGTGGTTACAAGAGGTTGGGAGGTGCCAGGGAAAAAATGGAGAGATGTTGATCAAACTGTACAAACTTGTAAGATGAATGAGTTTTGGAGAGTTGATATTCAGCATGGTGATTCTGATTAATAATAATGTATTTTATATTTTTTAAATTTGCTGAGAGATTAGATGTTAAATATTCTCACTACATACAGAAAAAAATAGCTGTGTGAGGTGATGGATATGTTAATTAGTTTTAATGTGATAATCATTTAAAAAGTATAGGTATATTAAAGCATGCTGTTATACATTTTAAATATATGTAATTTTATCAATTTTACCTCAGCAAGGGTAGAAAATTAATATTTCCATAATTATTGATTAATTATGTTTTTATACAATAAAAGAGAGGAATATTTACTGCTGCTTTTCTTGCCTTCCTTCAAAGATGATGTGTGTTTTGATCTTTGACCCTTGAAACTGCTCTTTAAGGATGAACTTGTTTATATCATTAAAACAATTCAAACTATGCTTGCTCTATTTGTATCAATATTTTGAAATTGCATCTAAAATATTTATTCAGTCTGTATGTTACAGTAAGAGCTTTTTAGTTTACATTTTGCTTCAACAACAGATAGATCCTGTGTATGTCTGTTTTGATAGACAAGGATATCATTGTGTCGTTTGGAAGAATTTCTCAACTCTGAGGAGCTTTCTCTTCGAAATATTGAAACAAACTACATAGGAGGTCAGCACTTACTCATTACCTTCAATATTTATTAGACTTCTGGGTTCAAGGTAATCAGTTCTAATCCAAAATGCATTATTGGATTTATTTATTTTTTCCTAGATCATGCCATTGGGTTTACTAATGCCTCTTTCTCCTGGGATAAAACAGGGATTCCAGTACTAAAAGAGTAAGTCTTGATTTGAGGCACATTTGAAAAATTATTTTAGTATTGGATTCTATAATTATGTCAACTTTCATTTTTTAGAGTTTAACAAATTAATATAGTGAATAAGATTTTTTAACCCTTCATTGTACCTTTCATTTTCTTAGTGATTTTTTTCTGTTTGTTTCCTCTCTCAGGACTTTACAGTTCACCTGTTCTTTGCAATTTGGAAGCCTAAGTGTTTGTAGAAAAATGTGAAAAATCCCTCCATCATCTCTCCCCTTTTTTCATCATACAGCTTGAACATGAAGATTCCTGAAGGAGCTTTGGTGGCAATTGTAGGGCAGGTTGGGTCTGGGAAGTCCTCTGTGCTGTCTGCCATCCTGGGGGAAATGCAGAAGCTTACAGGAGTCGTCCAGAGAAAGGTAGCACTGACGTGTTCTTTCAAAATCTTGTAGAAGTGGCCATAACCAATTTGTCATTAGTTTCAATAAGAATTTATCAAATTAAATTGAAGATTCGAGAATTTAATGGGTATTTCTAGTTTATAACAAACATTTCAATATCCATAAAAATCGATTAGCTATGGATAGATTAGTAACCGAGATCTGTCCTCTAAGTTCTTCAGCAAATCATTTATAAATGCTTATAGTAATTGTTTGATGACATTAACCAAATTGCAACCAATTATAAAGAAATGAATTTGATTTATACTGTAATTTGATTAGTTTTCTAATTACCATTCATTACAAGTTTCCGTAAGTAATTATGGCCATTCCATTTCTAAGAAGTCTTCTAGCTAGTTGCTCATGGGTGGTATCTGTGGCCTAAAAGAAACCTCAGAAAAAATAATAAATAATATTAATAGCTTATATTAAATATTCAGTCACTGAATTATAGAGAATCTATTCTCAGATATTTATTCTACTCTTAGAAGTAGATAAAAATTCAAATTAGGGCCTGGCTAAGTTGTTGAGGCTGTGATCTTAAACCTGTGATCCTACTGTCTCAGCCTCCTGAGTCTCTAGGATTACACATATGCACCATCACACTGTCTCAACAAGTTCTTAATGGTTTTGAAATATTAGACTACCCTGTGAGTTTTTCCTTGAACCTAATTAACCCTCAGGTAAAAATTAGCCCAGTTCCTCCTTCTCACCTCTAACAAGGAAGAAACTTTATGCATCTGAGACCAGTTCCTCTTTATCCTTACTTTTTTTTCCTCCCTGGAAAAAATCAACTCTATCAACTCCTTTTTTCTTTCCTCATAACATATATTTCCTCATATCCTTATAACTTTATTGATCCTAGTCTTTATGACTTAACTTGTATTATTCTGTTTTCTCTAAGCTTTATTGTTACCTAGTGTAGGATCAAATATAATCCCTATAATTTTTTCAGATAAGATTACACTTAATAAGTACTACTATTTTTTTTTCAGAAAATTTACCCATTTTATTGATGCATTATAATTGCTCTACATTTTACCATATTATGTAGAAAATACTGAAAATACAAGCTACTTTGTAAAACCAAAGACAAACATTGAATCCAAAGATAAACTATGTTTTACACAATGGACCCTTTTCCCGGAGTTAGTATTAAATTTTAAATATCTATTTCTTTTGTTAAAATGATTATTTTACATACTCCCTAAGTACATTTGCATCACAAACAGCTCAGTAATTCTCAGAGACTATCTGTTTCTAGAGGCTTGTTGTAAAAGGAAGTGCACGACCAGAAAAGGGAGAAAGCAAAAAAAAGTTTAAAATCGCGCACAATAACTAGCATATCAAATACATTTAATAAAGTAGGAATTCCATTGCAATATCAAGGATTCAAAGCAGAAATACTAACATCACATATAATGTACATATAATGTACTGCTACATGTAGTGAGATTATTTTTCAAGCTGAATTGAAACCACACATTATATAAAGTTTAACAACAAACAACCATGTAGACATGCTGCACCATCCATCAGTTTAAAAGAAAAATCAAAATAGGATTTTGAACTTTAAGTATACCATCTTTTAGCCCTGAGTTCTTCGTAATGATTGCAATCAGCTCTTTCCATATAGTTCAAGATATCTATAACTTTTCCAATGAATGTTCTTTGCAAACATAATGAGGATCATAGTAATTTCATTTTCATTTAGTATTTTCAAAAAGCAGCTATTTTCAAAAAACGCATCTATAGCATAGTACTAGAGTAACAAACATGAACAAGATATGTTTCTCTTTTTTCAGAGATCATAGTCAACTGAGGTAAATACCAAAGTCAGTTATGACAAGTTATTAAAAATGAATGAAAGCACACACATAACAACAACGACAAAAAAAAACAAAACAAAGGATTCTGTTTTGAAGGGTAAGAAAAAGAATCAGAGAAGAGGTAGTCTTTATTTGATCTTGAAAAGAATTAGGAATTGATAAACATAAAAATGATATCAATTCTAGGTTTTACATAATGCATTAATAATGACAATGAGCAAAAGGCCCGGGGTAATGATTAAAATGAGAGGATATACCAAGACCTAGTTAGTTTATGGTACAGTCAGCTGGCTCCCTATGAATATTAATAACTAGCATTTTCATTTTGATTGTTGAGGTTTTTATGGTAAGACATAGGGATTCTTTCTGACATTTTTGAGTGTTTTAAATTAAAAAACGTGTTCATTGTAATAAAATAAACCATATCAATGCCATTGTGAATGGTAAAGCAGAGGGACCCCCACCTGTTTTTTAAACTGTAGGTGTCCAAGATAGAAGCTATAATCTCTCTATATAAGTGGTTGCTTGATCTTCAGAAGTATTTGTTTTGGATCTATCGCAGGATTTGACATATTACACTCTGAATTATTTCCCCAATATTTTATCACAAATGTATAAGTATCATATTGATAAGCACTATATAAATGAAGTGATCATTTTAATGGCATGACCAATTTAACATTTAGAGTTTAAAAAGTTTCTTTGTAGGGCTGGGGATTTAGCTCAGTTGGTAGAGTGTTCTCCTTGAATGCACAAGGCCATGAGTTCAATCCCCAGCACCATGGAGGGAAAAAAAAAAAGTGCTTTTGTGAGCTGGGTATAGTGACTCATGCCCATAATTCCAGGTCCGGGGAGTCTGAAGCCAGAGGATTATAAATTCAAGGGCAGCCTCAGAACCTTAGCAAGACCCTAAGCAATTTAGCAAGACCCTATCTCAAAATAAAAACTAAAAAGGTCTGGGGATTTGGCTCAGTAGCTAAGTGCCCCTGGGTTCAAACCCTAGTACAAAAAATAAAATAAAAAAGTGCTTTTCTGTGTGTAGCATTCAGAGTATGATTACTTTTTTGAGGCATATTTTATATCATAATAGTCAAACTCTAAGACTCTCTAGGATCCCCTATTCTGTATCAAGGGCTCACATCAGATGTCATTCATATAGAATATTCAGTATTCAGTGTTCTTTGATAGAATATTAGAGATCTGAAGATCATTTTGCATTACCAAAAATTCAATTGTAGTTTCATTATTATGTATGAAGCAAAATGCATTTCCCTTTGTGGGAGGCCAATAATAATTATAATAACAATAAAAGAAAATATTTACATCTTTTTAAAAACTGATTATCCAGTTTTAATCCCTGCAATAGCAATGTGAGACCATGTAGTTTTTGTTTTAAATTATGTTTTTTTTCATATTCTTCAATCTTTTCTTCTATGTTCTTTAATTTATTCTCTTTTCTGCTTAACTTGCTTAATATGCCACAAGCATTCAAAATATTTTTCACCTGTGGGTTGATTTCATAGGCTATTCTAATCAAAGTTCAGATTATTCCCTTCACAATGCAATTCCAGAGCAATTACTCTTGTGTTCAAGATCAGGTCAGATCAGAACTATACTGTTTTTGATCAAAAGCCATTCTGTGTCTTACATGCTCAACAAAGAAGAATTAAACGTTAATCTTTGATCTTTAAAGTGGTTGGTTGAAATCAAAAGGCTAATAGTTGCATATATGCCTATCTCAGAAAGTACTTTAAACATTTGCTGTTGTTATAAAGCAGACAGTATTTAAGATACTCCAAAATCAATGTTTGGATAGAATCCAGGGGTCAGAATGAAAGGTGGGTCTCTGGTTCAAATATTATAGATTCTTTTCCAGAAAAGAAGGGTTAGTTAAAAGGACATTTGATGGAGTAAATTGCCACATGTTTAGGGATCATTTCAAGCCATAAATAATCAAAAAATGAATTCAGGAGTAATAATCAATGTATAAGACATGGATGTGTGCTGTCAGGACACCCTTTTAAAAAGAACTTGCTGCCAGTTGTGGAAATACATGGTCAGCATGTCAGCTCCATCAGGGTTGGCCTTGACCCAGCCCAAGATCCTACTCTTTTTCAGTCTAACATGGGACAACTAATGGACAACATTCCTCCAAAGCTCTGGAAGGTTGGCCACAGCTTTATCAGGCCTGAATCACAGTATGACGTTTCCCTCTACCTACTGTTCTGTTCTCCTTTCTTTCCATGGGGTTGAGCCCCAATATACAATATACAATATGCACCTCAAATTCTGTCTCTGTTATAGAGTGAATTGTGTGCCCCCCAAATTGTATGTTGATGTTCTAATCCTCAGTAATTTAAAATATGATAGCATTTGGACACAGGATTTTTGAAGAGTTGATCAAGTTAAAATAATTTCATTAGGTTGGACCCTAACTGAATATGACGGAAGTTCTTTTAGGAAGAGGAGATTAGAATGCAGACACATACACAAAGTGAATGTCATGTAAAGAAGGGAAAAGGCCATCATCCACAACCCAAGTGAAAGGCCTCAGAAGGGACAACCCTGCTGACACTTTGATGTTGAATTTCTAGCCTCCAGGATTGTGAGAAGATAAATTTCTATTATTTAAGCCACTCAGTCAATGGTACCTTGTTATTGGTAGCCCTAGAAAATAACACATTTAGCATCTGCTTCCAGAAAATCTTAATAAAGACATATAAGTGTGATGGAAGCTAAAGTGAAAGTAAGTAAAAAGCACAAATTAACTTATTTGAAGGGACTATTAATAAACAGATATAATCTTAAAATAGGATACAATGATCTGTATGTTTACATGTAGGGAAATAACCTAGATTTAAAATTGTATGTGTGTGTACATACTTGTGTCCATGCACAGAACCCATGGACTGTGTATACTTTAATGTGGTGCATGCAAATTCTCCTCTTTCCTTGTTAAGAATATTCCTTTACTTCTTTCTTTCTTTAGGGCTCTGTGGCGTATGTTTCCCAGCAGGCCTGGATTCAGAATTGCATTTTGCAAGAAAACATTCTCTTTGGCTCCATCATGCAGAAGCAGTTTTATGAGCGAATATTGGAAGCCTGTGCTCTCCTTCCTGACTTGGAGCAGTTACCAAACGGAGATCAAACTGAGATTGGAGAAAGAGTAAGGAAAATATAATTTATCATATGCAGGAATAAAATAGCATTCAGCTATACTAATAAAATGTTAATAGTCTTTTTATTGAGGTCTTGGAGAGTTACCCAACTACAATTTTTAAAAACTCATTATAGAATTCCTGTGAAGAAGATGGCAGTATTAAAGGCAAAAAATTATTTATAATTAGCTACATAGAAAACAGATTAAAAAACAATTCATTTGTTAGTATCCATGGGGGTGGAATTAAAATCCGCCAACTAGATTGTCAACATTTTTGTTTTAGTTCCTAGCACAATGCTGTTCTCCTTCTGAAGAGTTTTTTTTTTTTTTTTTTTTCTTTTTCTCTGTATAAGGCCAATCAGGAAAGGAGCATCAGAGCACCAAGCTCTGGTTCTATGGAGGTTCTGAGATGACATTTGTTAATGTGCCTGCTCTACATTGGCTTATTCCTGCTTAAAAGGGACTTGTTTCCCAGTCATCTCACTGTTTGTTCTATTTTATTTACATTGTGTTAATGAATAATCATTACTCTGCTCAGTATTTCAGACTTTATATATATATATATATATATATATATATATATATATATATATATATATATCACTAAGTATGAACCCCTAAATAATTTATTATCCCTGACCAGTAACAAAAATCTTCATTTAAGCATGAATGTGGAAGTATCCTTGAGGTCTACAATCCATGTGGATATAAGGATGAATAAATAGTCTTTACTGAGTACTTCAAATATCTGAAAAGGAAGCAGGCATAGGCAATTTTATACATTGATAAATAAAATATGTTATGCAACAAAATTGTAGGAAGTAGAAATCTATAAAATCCAGAAGGAACCAAAACTGACTTTCTAAATAAGACTGGCTTCCTTCATAGTCTGCTATTTTGTAGATTTAATTTTTCAATAACATTAAATAGATTTATTATTTTTTTCAAACCCCTGGATTTTTCTGGGCATCTTCATTATCCCTGATCAAAATGATGCCATAGCTAAAATCATGCAGAAATGTGATTTCTTCAAACTTGTTAGTGCATACTAAAAAACACCCTGAGAAAACTGTCTCTAAAAATATGAATATCTGATTGTATGTAACAATAAAGAATTTAAAAAGGAAAAAAAAATCAAAATTGGATATACTGATTTAGTATAGGAACTAAATGATATTACTATTTATAATTCCTGCTTCATTTAATTAGCTTTTTTTCAATGTGATATGATGTATTTTAAAACAAACATGGAATTGAATACTTCATAAGGAAATCTATTTGCAGCTGTTTATGAGATAACCAAGACAATGACTATAGAGTTTTCCTTTTCTTTCAATGATCTTTTCCTTTGACATTTTTTAATTAAACACAAACATTTATGAATTTATTATATACTCTGATTCTGCTTTGGGGTATAAGATGGTAAGTGAGAGAGCTGTCACCCTGCCTTCAAGTAATTTGTAATCTAGCCGAACACTACCAACAGTTTTAATCAATTGTCTTTACCAATATTTATTCATTATCTGGTGTCATACACTAAGTATTTGGAATAAAGGATGAACTAGGTGGGAGCTGATAGGCTCATGAGAGACTATGAGACTGGGCTGAATAAACAATGTTCTGCAAAATGGGAAGGGAGGGAAGACATCATTATACTCAATACACTGAGAGAGAGGTTGCTGTCCAAGAGAACTTTTTAGGGTATCCTTCAAATTGAAAAGAAAAACTGTGGGCTCCCCAGCAGAATGAACATCCTTGGGTCTACTATGAAAGGGTAGGTCAATCTGCTCAGTCAATCATATTCACTTGAGGGCATCATTGGGATAGAGGTAGAAGGGGGGTATTAATACCATAATAAAAGCACTTAGACTGAGAAAGATGCTTTTGCTCATGGATGATGGAAGAGTGAGATGTGGGAATCCAAGGTATTTAAGCAAGATGGTAATATAATTACAGGATAAGTGGTGACATGTCAGAAGATGAATTAGAGGAGGAGTAATTGGGTAATAATACCAAATGCCAACGGTGTCCACACTCAGTGTTGGATTTAGGAATATTTTTACACACTTTATTGAATTCTCCCAAAATATGAGTCAGGGGCTACCATAATTACATGCAAACAAATGCACACATCATACACACATGTGAACCACATTCCTTAATATATACATTTTCATGCTCAACTCCCTTATTATCTTTGAGTCTGAAGGGCTAGCATAGCCCCCAGAATATAATCATATTGAGAAGATATCTGTTGAGTAACAGGACGATTGTTAAATGCAAAGAAGCAATATCATTTTGCAATTGTAGGCCGTTGGCTAAGTTCTGCGTTGCATTGAGAGCTTTAAAATAAGATCAGTAAACACTAAACATAAATGAATCAAGTGAATTGGGTGCCTTACCCCATAATTCTCTATACATAGCTGTATGTGTCAACTTTAATTTTCATATAGTGATGTATATTCCTTACTTTTGCTTCTTGGAGTTGTCCTTTTGCCAACAAGACTTGCACTAATCTTTCTACAGGAGAAAATAGGACATGTTGATTACAGCTTTGGTAATTTAGCCATTATTCTCGATTTCCTATGTGTCAATTTAAAAATGATCACTTAGTGTCAGTATATAGTTGGCAGCCAGATATCTTGTTTAATATTCTACAGGCATAACTTTTCAGACATAGAGCTTTGAAAATTCTTCTTTCCTTAATTGGTAGCCTCTTCTTTTGAGAGTAAGTAGTTAAAAGGAGGTAGACATAATTGTTAATTTTCCCAAGTTAGTAGAACTAGGAAATGGGATGGAGATAAGACTAGGAAATAATTGATAAAGTTTTGAGTGTTCATATTGGGTTGTTATCTTGTCCTTGCTATGAAAGAGCACTTAGATGTAGCTTCTATTCCATACTCAGGGTGTGAATATAAGTGGAGGTCAGAAGCAACGAGTAAGTCTGGCCAGAGCTGTCTACAGTGGGGCTGACATCTACCTCCTGGATGATCCCTTGTCTGCTGTGGATGTTCACGTCGGAAAACAGCTCTTTGAAAAAGTAATAGGGTCCTCGGGCCTTTTGAAAAACAAGGTACTCATAGTATCATTTTTGCCTTGGAGGGAGTCAAAGGGAGGATAATCTGCTTAGCACTGTGCCTACTATTCCAATTATCTTGCCCATTTGTTTAAGCAAAATAGTCGACTTTCACATGAAAAGATAAGATATTTGTATTGCCCTTTAAGAGGTAAATTTCAATGATCATTTTTGCATAACTTTATATCAGTAATAAGTATGTACATAAGGTAGTTACCTCATTAACAATTACCTTACTCTAAGGGGAAGTATGAATTATAATTAGTTTAGTTAACTTTATTTGAAAAATGGTATTTTGGTATGTACTACTTTTTAAAAAAATAGAATCATTTTACTTAAAATTTGGTATTACAAACATAGCAATAATAATGATTCCATCATTTTGTAATGGGGCCAAGAAAATAGAAATTAATATTTACCAAGTGCATTATATGTTTGACTCTTTAAATTAGTGTCTTCAGTTCTTATAGCAATTCTCTAAGATAGGTATTATCATTACTCCTATTTTACATATGAAGGAAATCATACTCTAAATTGACCTGATTTAGGTTTCTCAACTTAAAAGTAGCAAACATTTTTCAAAGTCTGTCTGACCACATAATCACAATCATTCCATGATAATATGTTTGTAGATTTGTTAATATGTAGCATTCTGGAAAATATATGTAAAATTCTAAAATATTTATCTCAGTAAATAATGTAAAAATTTCTTGATTTACTGAGATGAACCCAAGATAAAAACTTCTCATTCACTTGTATTTATATGTGTATAATAATATGAAAGATTAAAACATAAAATTTATTAATTGTAATTTGAACAAAACACATTTTTTAACGGTGGCATATTTTTTTAAAAGGCAAATGTTTTAGTCAGGTTTTTGCTACTGTGACTAAAAGATCGGACAAGAACAATTTTAAGAAGTAGAAGTTTATTTGGGGTCTCATGGTTTCAGAGGTCTCAGTCAATAGCCAACTCCATTCCTCATGGTTTGAGGTGAAGCAAAACATCATGATGGAGGATTGTGGTGGAGGGAAGAAGCTCATATGGCAATCAGAAAGCTGAGAGAAATTCCACTCACCAATACAAAATATATACCCCAAAGGCACATCCCCACTGACCCACCTCCTCCAGCCACACCCTGCCTGATTTCAGTTAATTCCCATCAGGAGATTCATTCACTGATTGGGTCAAGGCTCTCATAACCCAATCATTTCACCTCTGAATCTGCTTGCATTTTCTCACACATGAACTTTTGGGGACACCCAATCTAAACCCTAACATTAAGCAGAAGTGACAGATATGAAATTATTTTAAATTTGCTATGAAATCAATTAATTTCTAATGACTGAACAGTACCCTAATCAAAGGATTAAAATTACATTTGTAAGATATTTTCTGATCTAGCAGTATGTCTAGGAGACAGTATGGATGCTGTGTTCAATTGTCACCTACAAAAATTACACTCACGAATACTAAAGACCAAAAAAAGTGACTTTAGTAAAAAAAAAAAAATTGTGCCTTTGTTTGTTTGTTTGTTTTTCAGTTTTTTCTGGAGATCTAACCCAGAGCCTCACACATGCCAGGAAAACGGTCCACCACTGAGCTACATCCCCAGCCCTATTTATGCCATGTTTTGTAACCTATAGAATAAAATACTTTGTGTTTCAGACTCGTATTTTAGTTACACACAACCTCACGCTTCTGCCACACGTGGATTTTATTGTCGTGATGGAAAGTGGCAGGGTAGCACAAATGGGAACATACCAGGAGCTGCTATCGAAAACCCAAAACATCCATAATTTGCTTCAGATTTTCAGTGGACAAGAAGAAGGTAAGGATACAATAAAAAATAAGCCTAAGACATAATATGCCTACGCATTTTGAATTAATTATTAATTAATAATAGTCTATTAATTACCTAATTTCTTGCTGTACATTTCTTTTTTATTGATCCTGCTAAAGTCAAGGGCGGGGCTCCTTTATTTCGATAGGAAAGAAACAAAGACAATGAGATAGACCAGTTAAACATCAACTCCTTTATGGCTTTTAATAATAAATATAAATGCACCAGTGTCTGTTTCTTCATCTATAAAGAGATTAGATGATTTATAAATTCTAGTCTAGTCTAGAATATAATGGGTCAAAACATTCTGTCTTTAACATTTAGAACACAAAGTTTAAAGCATAAATCCACAAGGAACAAAAAGTAATTATTTGAAACATTTCAGGTAAATTATTGGATGCACAAAAAATAATAATACAGGGAAACATATCAGCTTAACTTTGAAGAGTTAGAAATTGGTTTTATTCACTAATTTTTGTAACTATAGTCATGGAATTTGAAAATCAGATTCATAGACTTTTTAAAATAAAAGAAGTGGTTCCATCCCCATTGAATGCTTAGGACACAGGGATGTTTGAAATCCAGCTTTATTTTAATATTTCACAGAAATCAGTCCTTGCCTGCTCTGAAAGTGGGATGTCACATCATCTCTTTTTAAAGCTTTAGTTGGTTTTTCATGTAGACCATCAGAGCCTGATCATTTTCCTGGGCTTTTTCTGGATTATTTTGTAATTTCATGACATACAGTGATATGTCTCTGTATTTTCTAAATGACTCAATATCTAGTCTAAACTCACTTTACCCTTGACCTGTATATAAATGCCATAGAATATGAAACTGGTTTAAAACAAGATCAATTATTATTTTAATGTCATGAAATCCAAAAATAAAGTCATTTTTCAGTTGTCTTTTTTTTTTTTGAACCTTAGCTAAGACACACAAATTGAGTTCTATTTTTTTTAATTCCCTGATTTTACTTCTCATATTATAAATATTCTATTTGTGCATATATTTAAAAATACACAGTGCATCTCCAGAAGGACTGAGTCTTATCATTTTCTCTGTCCTCACCACTGAGGAAGCCACAAGCAAACAAATGACAAGTGCCAGCTAGATGTTTATTAAATAACTGCATCAAAATGTGTGTCTCTTCAGAAGTAAACAGGATGATTTACAACACTATGAGCCAGTGTCTTTTTTTTGCCATTTATTGAAAGTCACATAAAGTATAGATTATATTATATTGGAAAAGATATCTCCAGAATCAAACAGAATATGTTTTTAATTCCATAGTTAATTTACTACAAAGTATGAACAGTGGACCATTTAAAAATTGTGGGTTTGCTATTTTGCAAATCTCTTTTGGCATACAAATGCCACACCTTCTCTGCATTTGTATGTTTTTTTATGTATTTATGTGTCCTCTACAGTAACAGGTTAAAAGCAATGTTATTCTTAGAATTATCCTAACAGATACTACCAATTCTCCAGAAATATGCCATTAGAAATGTATAATTTGAACTTTTTTTTCCTAATGACTTCAATATTTTTGCATTTTGTGTTAGAATTCAGGAAGATAGAAAGTAAAGAGAGTTTGGGTACTAGGAATAGAATATGTTTGAAATTGAATATTTCTGGGATTTTAATTTATTTGGATACTAGATGAAAATATAAAGGCTTTTTTAAAATCTAGTATCTAGTATTTTTATCTAGTAAAAACCCATAAAAATACTTTACTCATAATAAATAGATAGATAGATAACCTGCGAAGGTTAGCCATATATGGTATGATTTCTTTTGCTTACTGTGAAAGCAGGGCAGAAATAGATTTCAATGATATGAAATTCCTCATTAAATAATAGCTTCAAACTCAGTTACATCCAGTGTGATATTCCTGCAGTACTACCTTTACACTTAGGTCAGTACTTGATGCCTTATAGAGTCTCTGTTCTGCCTTTCGTGCCTGACTTTCTGGTGGAGAGATTGCATCCACCACCTGAGCCCTCTCCACTTGCTGTTTCTTAACCGCTCTTCATTTGTCTTCAAATTCCAGAATTCTTTGCTCCTAGGACCAGGACAATTGTATCTGCCTTGGGTCTGCTCGCGCAAAGAACCAGCTGTTGTGCAGGCGTGCACAACTTTTTGACCTGAGAATTTTCCCCCCCTGGGGATGGTGGTGATGGGTAGAGCCTGAACATGTGGACTGAACATGTGTGCAGCTCTCCTGTTTTAGGGTGGAACTGGAGTGGGAAAGATTGAGAGCTAAGGGACTACCTCACCAAAGACTGCTATGTACACAGTAGGGAAAAGTGTCAAGAATCCAAACATCTCCCCTGACCTTTTCTTCCAAGTGTTTGGGGAGGCATATTTGTTATGGTAAGCAGTAGAACTTATTTAAGAGTCTGCTAGTTCTATCTATAACTTTAAAATGATTAGAGGGTATGTGGACCTTCATTTGAACTATTGCCCTGGTTCATACAGATGTTAGATATAGGCCTGTCTGTGAAGATTTATTTGCATAAGTGATAAGGAAAAGTCAAATTCTATCTGAGGGCTTTTTTTGGCCAAGATTTAGGAGAAGAGAACTATTTGGCAGGGAGTGCAGTTTGAGAAATGTGATCCCCAGTTTTAAAATCACCCTGTGAATCGCTTCTCGGCCTTTTGGCTAAGATCAAGTGTAAAATCACCCTGTGATCTGTCTTCATCTATTATAATTCATCATTTTTGGTTTTGAACCTATTCAGAAATTCCTTTAAATGATACATAATTCTTCATTTTAAATTAAGTTATATGACATTATAATTGGGGTATAAGTTAGCACAACATTGTGGGGAAATACAGTGTTCTGAAGTCAGGAGCTCTTCAGATTTAGTCCTTGCACTGAAACACTATGTTGGTCTTCACAGAAATGAACTCTTTTGGTTCTTCCTATTTATGAAATATAGGGCTTGAACTAGCTGTTTTTCCTGGTGGCTGATGTGAAACTGAACAATGTGTGTTCTCCTTCCTACCTACCTACTTAATTTCTTTCTTTCTTTCTTTCTTTCTTTCTTTCTTTCTTTCTTTCTTTCTTTCTTTCTTTCTTTCTTTCTTTCTCTCTCTCTCTTTCTTTCTTTCTTTTCTTCCTTCCTTTCTCTCTCTCTCTCTCTCTCTCTCTCTCTCTCTCTCTCTCTCTCTCTCCCCTACCCTTAAGAGACTGCTTGTGACTCACACTTTATTTTTTCTAGAACATTCTCATTTTTTGCTGAAGTTGGTAACAGATAACTTAGTAAGTAAACAATAAAAAGTCTGTTTAGTGTAAATTGGGTTTGGAGATATATTAGGTCTTTAAGATTTCATCTAGCAGCCGGGTGCAGTGGCGCATACCTGTAATCCCAGCGACTTGAAAGGCTGAAACAGGAGGAGCATGAGTTCAAAGCCATCCCAGCAATGGCCAGGCACTAAGCAACTCAGTGAGATCCTGTCTCTAAATTAAATACAAAAAAAAAAAAATGTAGGGCTGGGCACATCAATGTTTATAGCAGCACAATTCACAATAGCTAGACTGTGGAACCAACCTAGATGCCCTTCAATGATGAATGGATAAAAAATATATGTGGCATATATACACAATAGAATATTACTCAGCACTAAAAAATAACAAGACCATAGCATTTGCAGGGAAATGGATAGCATTAAAGCAGATTATGCTAAGTGAAGTTAGCCAATCCCTAAAAAACAAATGCAAAATCTCTTCTCTGATGTAAGGGGGGTGATTCAAAATGGGGGAGGGAGGAAGAGCATGAGAAGAAGATTATCACTAAATAGGGAAGGCAGGTGGGAGGGAAAGGAAGGGAGAAGGGGAATTACACAGAAGATGGAAGGAGACCCTCATCGTTATACAGAATACATGTATGACAATGTGAGGAAAAAGAAAAAAAAAGAAGTGGGTCACATTAGATGGGGTAGAGAGAAGTAATGGGAGGGGAGAGGGAGGGAAGGGGGAAAGGAAGGACAGCAGAATAAAATAGATATTATTATTGCTGTATATATATACGTGACTGTGACTGTATAACCAATGTGATTCTGCAACCTGTACATCCAGAAAAATGAGAAATTATACCCCATCTGATTCAAATATATCATATGTCAAGATCATTGTATTGTCATGTGTAACTAATTAAAACAAATTTTTAAAAAAGTAGGGTTGGGGACGTGGTTCAGTGGTTGAGTGCCCCTGAGTTCAATCCTCAGTATACAAAAAAAAAAAAAAAAAAAAAAAAAAAAGATTTAGCTCTGAAAAATCTATGCATCTCACTTTATAGGGATTATGAGAAGTTGGTGTATGATGAAAGATGTAAGAGAATATATTTTACATATTTACAAGTCTAGTCTTGGTTAATTCTTGTGCATACTAATGATACTGGTGAAAGTTGGTACATCTTGAGTATTAACTATATTAGTATATTTATGTGTTTTGCATTGACTTAATCCCAAAAAAACCTCCTAAGGCTGAATGATCTTGATTATACAAAGAGATTAGGTATCTTGTTTAAATTAAGACAGATTGGAAGAGAATCCAATGTTGCCTCTGTTTCATGCCAGAGAGCCTATCAATTCTTAAACATATATCAACATGTAGGAATAAGCACAAGACACTGACTTAGTGTGAAAAGACAGGGCCGAAGGCCCAGCTCACCCTTCCTTGTGTAGCTTGCATCCCTCTCTGTGTCTTTCTGACAAATCTGGGTTTCAGGCAAGTTGCTTATCCTCTCTCGGTTTTATTTTCCCTCTTGCAAACTAACTACAAGTAACTTTCCCAGTTCTTTTTACCTTATCAGCTTGTTTGGCACTTAGTATATACGATGCATGTGATACACATTAGAAACTGTAAATATATAAATTTAAATATTTTTATTAGAAGATATAAGAATGATAATGCATATTGGGAAGAAAGGCTGAAACATCTTCAAACTGAATTGTCTTTCTTTAAGCCTGGGGATCCTGTGTTTCTAGAGGTAGTCAAGATAAATCAGATTCTCTCCTGCTGGGCTAGGCCCTTACTTCTATAAAAAAACAAAGCATAGAATTTACATACTGACCTTGAAGACCTCCAAGTCTATTTCTTTTCTTTTAGAGATTGGAAATTTAAGGAGTTTAAGTATCATAATGCTGTGTATGTGTGTGTGGGGTGGGGGGGGGGGGGTGGAAAAAATTTTTTTTTGCTACCTCTGAGGTGTTTACCAGCAAATTCACTAACAGTTACTTGAACTTCATTCTCTATTAATTATAGGTATGTGACCTGCATCACCCCTCTGGGCCATGGTCTTTTTAAGCTGTAAAACAAGGACAGCTATAGGAGCTTCCCTTTAGGGTAGCTGTGAAGATGAAAAAAAATTGTAGATACATATCCCTTAGAATAGTGTCTGCTGCATGGGAAGTGACTATTGGTATTGGTAACATATCAGCAGATGACAGATTTGGAGGATTTACCCTCTGGTTTTCTCTAATCTTGACAGTAATCGCACTCATACATAAGGCTTGGTGGAGTTTTATTGTTCTTTTAAAGGCTACAGTTGGGAGTTGGGTTCCTCTGGCAAATACTTGGTTCTTCTATAAAAGATCCAAAATAAGTTAGCACCCCCTCCAAAAAAAAAAGAAAAAAAAAAAAAAAGAAAACCCACTTTCTCTCTAGGGTTTTTGATTATGGAGTCTTAAATTTATTTTTAAAAATTGCAAAACATATTAGGTGAAATGGAAATAATGAGTAAAATGAAAAGGCTCCCTATACACCTTGGGAGCCAATCTGTGTGGTCTTTCATCTTAGTTCTATTTAATGAATTGTTTGGTATATGGACATATAAGACACCCTCTTCCTCTCCAGGTCCTGCTTTAAAGCAAGTGAGTGCAATCAACTCCAGAAATGTACTGAAGGACCAAATCCTGGAACAAGAAAATAGGTAAGTATCAGGAGAATTCCAGGCTCTTTGGGAATGTGGACTGATTAATTACTTTTTTAGTATTTGATATTCAGCTTATAAAAGGATCCTCACATTAAAATAAATATAAAATGTACTTTGTTGTTTCCAACTTGAAGCTCTAAGTTAGATGAATGTGTTTAATTTTTTAAGTGAGATGGATGTGACTTCATTTGGGAAACATATACTCATTAGACTTGCAGCTATTTCTAGCCAAAGTCCGGTAGTAGAAAGCTAATTTAATTAGACTGATGTCAAAACCATCCCCATTTCATAGCATTTATACACTATAATGATGCGAATGTGAAGATAATCTTTGGACATGAAAATTCCACAGTGGTCTGGGATGATTATTGGTCCAGAGTATGTGACATATAAATAGTGACTAAGTGTAGGATCCAAATAACCTGTTTTAAAAACAAAAGCAAAGAATAAAGCAAAGAAGGGAAGAAAACATGAAAGAAGAGAGGGAAGAGATGGGAGGGATAAAATAACTTTGTCAACGATTAGATTTTATTATATTTTAGGTGGGTTTATTTGTCTTTGTTTTTGTTTTTGCTTTTTGTACATAACTAAAATGATCAATGACTGAAGCAAATTAACCTAATAAATTCTGTCCCTTAAAATTTCCATCAGAAGTTGCCCAAACTGGAAGCTGAATGATAAAAATGAAATAATAGGAATAAGGAGATTAAAAAAATAAGTGACTAGAGTTATAGGGAGCATTGAAATAGATTCCAGGAAGCAACATTGCAGTATCCAGTAGTTCAGAATTTTCTAGAATTTGAGCCAGATAAATGACATTGTTTTTTAGAAGGATTGGATATGCCGAAGGATGTGTGTATAATGCAGATGTGGCAGGTTGGAGCTTTGCATATGTCCCAGATTTAGCTGACTGCATAGGTCAATGGAATCATTCTCTTTATGGGCTCTCTTAGTGTTGTCAATCTATGGGGTTGTCATCTAGTCCCATGACTTTAAATACCTTTGATACACTAGCACCTCCAATTTTAAAAAAAATCTCTAGTCTGGTTCTCTTCTCTGAACTTTAGAGTTGGATGACTAGGTGATGCTCTCAGCCTGCCTTTAATGTCTAAATAACACCTCCAACTTATAAATCCAAATAAGAATTTCTGATTTTCCCATACCATACACAATTTGCCCCATATGCAACTTTCTTGATCTCAGCTAATGACAATGCCTTTCTTACAGTTGCTTAGGAAAAATAATATATATAGGATAGTTATCCTTGACCTCTATTATGTGATACCCAATCATCATCAAATCTCAGCAGCCCTACCTTAAATATATACCCAGTAATCCAGAATTCAGCCACTATTCCTCATTTTACAGCTGCCACCTTTATCTAATCACTATCATTTCTCACCTGGATTATTATAATTGCCATCTTTCACGATTTTCTGCTGCCATCCCTGCCCCAACATACAGGCTGTTAGCAATGTACCATCCAGATTGTTTCCTCTGCCAGTATAAGTCAGATCATATCAATCTTCTGCTTTAAATTTACAGAGGATTACCATTTCTGAAAATGCCAGATCTTTTATAATAAACTGTACAGCTGTACAGAGACCTGGACTTGTCTGCCTTTCTGATCTCAGAACCTTCTGGAGCTTACCTCTCACTGTTTTGTTCCAGAAATACAGAACCTCTGTTCCTGAAACAGTCACGCATGCCCCTACCTTCATACCCTTGCACTTCCTGCTCCATTGCTTAAAGCATAGTTTCCCATATAACCATATGGCTTCCTCGCCCACGTTCTTTTAGTCTTTGCTCAACATCGATGAAAACTTGCTTAGATACCCTATTTCATATAACAATACTTCCCACTTCCTTCCCACTTTAAGTTTTTTCATAAGTCTTATTAACCTCCAACACACTGGAAAATGTCCTGATTTACTTTTATTTATTTTTTCTTGCTTCTATCTATAGGTTGTAAGTCTTATCAGGGCAGGAAGTTTTTTGTGTGTGCTCATTATTGTATTGTCATCAACTAGAACACTGAATAGCATATAAATCAGTGCTTAATAAATATATGTCAAATGAATGAATAAATTGCTATAAATTGAAAGAATACCACAAGATCTTCTAATCCATCATTTATTTCATATTATTGGACATCATAACTTAGTATCTTTCATTTAAGTATCATTTTTGTAAAAATAACTTTTTTTAGTTGTAGATGGACACAGTACCTTTATTTATTTATTTTTATGTGATGTTGAGGATCGAACCCAATGCCTAACATGTGCTAGGCAAGCGCTCTACAACTGAGCCACAACCCTAGCCCCAAGGATCATTTTTTAAAGGAAGTCCTAGAAAAAAATAATGTAGAAGTGTTGAAAGAGACTCTGAAAGTTGTGTGCTAGGGCTCATATATTCTCTAAATTATAAAGTTTCCATCTAGGTATAGGCTCATCATGCACTCGGTAAGTAGCTTGACAAAGCTTGAAACTTAAAAACCAATAAATATTTTTGCACTTTTAGTCAGAACCTTCCCTCTAAAATCAATTTTCTTATGTACAAAACTCATTGTTGATCATTATATAAAAATGGAACCCCTTGAAGTTCTGTCAACCACTCTTGGAACTATTTACCCTTTTCTTCATTGAACAAAGAACACAAATCCCAATAAAGATTTGTTTACAAATTGGTTTCTATGTATTTCTAAGTTACAGAGGCTCAAACTGGAGTCAGACTTCTGAAACTGACTTCTAATTTCTTTTCAGTGAAAACTATATTGGGAAGATCACATTAGTTTCAGTGCATCATATTCTTAACATTACCCAGAGTCAAGCTTAACTTTTAAGGACTATGATAAAAAGTAATTGGTTCCGAACTCTACTACAAGCTCTTGAGTCCATTCCTGGGCTGGGGATGTGGTTCAAGCGGTAGCGTGCTCCCCTGGCATGCGCAGGGCGCTGGGTTCGATCCTCAACACCACACGGAAAGTAAAATATTGTGTCCACCTTAAAAATAAATAAATAAAAAATAAATATTAAAAAAAACAAGTTCTTGAATTCCGCCCCCCCCACCCAGTGCTGATTTTTCTTATTTTTTCAAGCAAGAAATTTCAAACAAAAAATAAATTGATTATCTTTTATTTAATATATTTTTAACTTTATTCAAGACATCAGTTTTAATTTAAGTATTTGGCTCCATGGTTTATTTTTTTTCCATTTGTTTTCTATTCTCCCTTTATTTTTAATCTTTGATAAATAAAATTACATGAAGAGAACTTTCTTGACTTTTTAGCCTAGTTTTTTTGCTGTCCAGAATTACTGGATTATTCCCAATATGGAACAGGGACAACTAACATGGACCAGGATTGGAAGATACAGCAGGAGAAACTTGTCAACAGTTCTAGCATCTCCCCAATGGGATGTATTGATATAAAATACAAAGAGTTTTCCTCAAGGAAAGGTTCATGGTAAATGTGGTTAACTGTCTTTTAGGAATAAGGAAAAGAAAGAGGGTTAAAGGGAATAATGTCTGAAAATTTCCCCCTTCAAAATTTAAGAATGAGTTAGTTAATAATTTTGGTCCCATTTTCTAATCAGGGCTAAAGTATCTTTAACTATTTCCATATTTTTTTCTTTTTCTATCTAGATTTGTATAGTATATTTTAATTACTTCCTTAACTCTCTGGTACTACCTACTCTGAATAAAATAAAACTGAATGTAATCTTAGTATCTAGACTGCCCCCTCCTGGCTTTCCAGCCGCTCTTTCTTAATCACCAGTCTTCTAATACTTACTCTATCCTTTGAAATTGTGTGCTCTACTCAGGGATAATGGTTTCAATGTGTGAATTTTATATCTTTTATACAAAAATACATAGATGAGTATTGTGCCAAATTTTCAGAGGTTTTTCTGAAGGACAGAAAAAGACACATTTTAAAAACTTCTATACCAACATTAAGTAATTTGTTCTTGTAAAAGACTCAAACAAAACCGGTTATTGACAACAAAGTGGCCAGAACCAAATACAGTATTTTTTTGTGGAAAAATAATGAAAAACATTTCAGTTTAGATAAGCAATGCCCTTCTGTATAGTGTCCAATAAATTATTGGTCTTTGTTAGTTATGTCTAATTAGAAAGCTTTAATTCCCTTTTAACAGTTGGATTTCATGGCATTTTATGTCCAGCTACATTAAGAATTAATTTTTTGGCTTGGCACCAATGCTAAATTTGCTTATTCAAACAGAAGCCATGCCAAGGGTTTGAAGGATGATGACAGTAATTAACCCAAATCATATACCAGGAGCTATTCCAAAGCAAGTGTCTCTAAAAGAGTGTGTCTTTCTCTGATGGTGAAGCTGATCTACAGAGGACATGTACAGCAGCCTCCCACAAAATGCTTCTTGATGTTATTGCCAAAGGCAGGAAAGGAAGAACTAACAGACTGATCAAATAAGGCATTTCTTATTCTGATCAATAAAACAAAAAATAAGGAGAAACTGAAGCTTCTCATGATCTGCTTATGGGTGTGTACATCAGATCCATTATTTCTAGAGGTCATATTAATATCAAATATATCAAAGGACTTAGAACTTAGCATACCTATGCTTCTACATATAGAATTTATTACAAGGGACAATCTATGTTTTTTTTAAAAAAGCTCATTTTAGCAATAATTACATCAGGAGAAAATAACAACCAGAATAAGTATTGCCTGTTATACCACATTATGGTAGAATTATAAAATAATATTATATTATAAAATATGATGCTGTTATAAGACACAATTCTGTTATAGAAGACTATTGAATATTCATCATATATTGAGTTACAAAGACCATATACAAATTAAAAAAAAAATAAAGACCAGTTTTAGAACATGTGTGTTATCATACCACACATATAGAAACTACAATATTAACAAACATCTTAGCACAGATTATCTGAAATATAGGATTATGAATCTTTTTTCTTCTCTATCTCCCTTCTTCCTCCTCCTTTTCTTTCCTCTTCCCTTTCTCCTCCTCTACTTCCACTTCTTCTTCCTTCTCTTCCTCTTATCTTCCTGTTTCTCTTCCTTCTCTTTTCTCTGCCTCCCTTCTCCTTAATCTTCTTTATGTTTTTTGACATTTACCAAATACTTCCCTAATAATATAAGTTCAGAGATCATTTGAAGATGCAATTGACAAGTACTTGGGAATGGTTGGAAATGTCCCATGATTGAGACAGAAGTTGTACTGCAACTCTTTGCAAAGTTAAAAAATTTTGGAGAAGGCAGAAAAATAACTAGTTCATTTTAGGGTGTGTATGAGAAATGCAAAGAAATAAATTATATGGCAAGTAGGAGTTTGACATATGAAACTGGAGCTCAGAAAAGTGATGTGGACTTAATATACCAATATGAGAGTTATCCACGAGAAAGAGGGTCATTAAAATTATGAGAGTGGATGAGATTATTTAGGAGGTGTGGATTATCCAAAGAAAATAATGGCTAGAACTGAGCCCCAGGAATATAAACATTAAAGAGAAAGGAGCTTGAAGAGAAACTAATAGTACTCCAGAGAGGTACGAAGCACATACAGCAGAAAGAGTCCCTCAAACAAAGTGGTCAAAGTACCCAATGAAATTCTCATAGAAATTTTCAAAAGTGTGGAGTAGATAAAGTCATAAGTAGTTGGCTAGCGCCCATGATGAAAACTGTTTAAGGAAGATTCCAGAAAGTTTGAGAAGGAAAAGGTGGTTAGGCAGGAAAATATTTGACAACAAAAGGAAAGCAAGAAGTGGGATGTGCGATGGTAAGGAGGGAACACGTAGTTTGGAGTGTATTTTTTTTTTTTTTGGTGGTGATGTTACTGGTTTCAAAATGAGAAGCACATGTTCTCTGTAGGCTGATGGGAAGGCATCAGTAGAAAGGGAGAAGGTGATGATTAGAAAAGGGAGTAGAGTTGTTTTTCCAACTTGTCTTAAGATGAGAATCTCTTGAATCATTTGTTTAAATGACAGATTTCTGGAGGAGAAATTTCACAGTCTGTGTTTTTAACAAATACTATCAGGAGACTCATTAGCAGGAAAGTATAGAAACACTATAATTAATAAATGTATTTTGAGAAAGTGGGACAGAGTAGAACTCCGGCCATGAGTTATCCTTGGATCTAAGGAGCGAAATCTCTGTGATTGTTAAAAGAGAAAATGAAAAAAGACTGGGTGGAAATGCAGATACCTATAAAGATTTGGTGGTTGTTCTCCTGTCTGCTTCCATTTTTTTCATAAAGCAGGATAAAAGGCCTCCTTCTGAGAGTGATGCAAACTCTTTGGTCATATTAGGAGCCCAAGTGCAAGAAAGGCATCATTTATGGTGGAACCAATTTACAGGGTTACATGATGTTTTGGAGCAGCATTCTGCAGGGTAGGTGTGGGGAGAACTGATAAGTGAGTTCTGATGAGGTTTAAGGGAAAGAAAGCAGGTCTGGGAGTTTAACATATTACCACAGTTTGGATAAAATTAAATCATGGAGGATATGCAGGGTAATGAAGCAACTAGAGAGAGGGCATAGTTTTTCTTTTGACTAAAATGTTTTTTTTAGAATGTGAAATAATCAATGCTAAAAACCAGGGAAATCCCAGGTAATGTAGGATCATTGATCATTGAAGAGGGAAAACATTATAGAAAAGTGGATTTGGGAATTGGAAATCTAGGTGTGATGGAAGTAACTAAATTTACAACTGAAATAGAAAAGGTTATGACCAGAGATTGAAATATTTAGACTTGGGTTTTTAGAGGTGAGTTGATTCTATATTATACAATTTATGGTTTAAAGTCATGAAATGTAATGATCAAAGTAAAATAAAGATGAAGGACCTGAAACTATGGAGGTCATGAGGTTGGGAAAGGGCTGAGTTTGACATAGTTGTTCATGGACACTATGATTTTACCAGGATGGTGGAACAACAAGGTGGAAAGAATATGGATTTGGGGAGCCTTCTGATACCAGGAAGTGAGTCAAGAAGGAGTGGTAGGGTACAATGCACCCAGTGACTTGATTCAGTTTTGAAAAATAATTATTTAGAAGAAATAAAGAAGCAGACAACATGCCCTGACCCTGAACTATATGAAGAATGAGAGAGAAAAACTTTCCTTTGGATAAAACTGAAGGAACAATGTCATCATCAAGGCAATTCAGATTGCTATCAAGATAAGGAAGTAGAAGAAAAAAACGTAAAAAATGGTTCAGAGTACATATTTTTAAAAAATGTTAAGTTATCTAAAACCTAAAAACTAAACATTGTCTTGGTTTATCAGGCCTTCAATGGACCATGGAAAACAGTTCTCAATGAAAAAAGAAAAGATCCCTGTTGGTGGGGTAAGAATCAGAACATATGTTATTAATCATCCAAATATAAAATGTTATATTTCATTATTAATAAATGCTACATTTACCATTTAATTTATATGTAATAGTTTGTAAAAATTAAATTAAATGGAATTGTTGGATATGTTACTTGTGTTTAGTAATGATTACCTGTATTTAGTTATGTATAGTCTTTTACTAATGATAGTAACTAAGATTAATTTACCACTTTTAAGTATTCAGGACTGTTATTTTTGCTTGGGGTGTTCTTTAAGATGGCTACTTGTTCTTATTCTAATTTGCAGATGAGTAATATTGGAGTTAGACAAGGTAGTAATTTGATCACCATTCCAAAGTTTAGGAAACACCAGAATAGGATTTACATCTGTCTTGACTGACTCTAAATTACAACTTTGAGGCTTTTTATCATGGTATTTATGTAATTGATACTAATCATAAATGATCAGTAATGAAACATTCAAAGCTAGCATGTCACATTTTAGTGTTCTCAGCAATCTAATTTTAGACCAATTTTACCTTAGGTGAAGTTCTCAATCATTCTGAAGTATCTCCAAGCCTTTGGCTGGCCCTGGGTGTGGCTGATATTAGCCAGTTGCCTAGGACAGAATTTGGTGAGCATTGGACAGAATCTATGGCTTAGTTTCTGGGCAAAAGAAGCAAAACACTTGAATGATTTCACAGAATGGAAGCAAATAAGAAGCAATAAACTTAATATCTATGGATTATTGGGATTAATTCAAGGTAAAAAAGAAATGTCTATTTGCTTTTCTCTTTTTATACTGACTCAAAGTTAATTCAAGCATAAGCATATGGCATCATGATATCTCAAAATAAAGCCATAATTTTCAAATATATGGAGATAACCAAATGCATATATTGCCAATTTACCACATTTGAGAGAGTATACCAAAGCTTGTCAGTGTCAGCTACATGGCTCACATCAATAACTTGCATATTTATCTCATTTAGTCTTGGCAGTAGTTATCTAGAAAGATGCCATTGTCACCATTGTACAGCTGAACACTGAGACTTATATATTAAGCCATGCAGCATTCAAAAGTTCTGATTAGGTATCACTCTATATGTGTGAGTGTTGGGAGTGATGTGAAAATCAATAGGAAAGTCTGTTAAGGAATTAAAGCCTAATGAATATAGGTCAGGTTCACAATCAAACTGCATGGTAAGCAATCAGTGCTATACAGGTATAAAAGAAAGCTCTATGAGGATTCAGGGCAGGAAGGTCATATTTGGTTGAGGTATTAATGTGACTTCTAAAGAATACCTGGAGTTTGAGATGATACTAAGAGGATATATGGAATTTTTTTACATTGAGGTGACAGAACAGAGTACGTAAGAGGCAGAAAGGTATTTTGGCAAGAATGAGGGTGTCAGTTTGAGTGATCCTCAGGCTGCTATAAAGGCAGAAGGGAAGCAAAGATGGTAAGGTAGTTTGGAGACATGTTGGAGACCATATTTGAAAAAGCAAGTGGAAAACTTTGGGAATTGGAGAGAAATAGTTACATATTTGAAGTTACATTTCAAAAAAAAGAAAAAATCAGCAGCAATGATTAAAAATATACATTTTTCTTATTGTGAGGATAAGAGTCGGATGGACCAGGGAGAACTTGAAGTTGATAGAAAATAAATACGCAAGGGTATTTAAGAGTATAAGGGGATGGTAATCTAATGTGGAAAGTTTTCTTGTCTGATACATCTGTGTATCACCCAGAGCCTCTAGTCCAGTGCTGACTCATGAGTACAGGGCAGAAGAGTATTGAAAAAATACAGAATGAATGAATGACCAAAGAAAGAATGGATAGAGAGCTGCCACTGGATTGTTTAAACAGGATGGATGGGAAAGATATTGCAGTGAAAATGTACATAAGAATTGAGGGTGCGTGAGGAAAAGACATCCATTCATCATGATTTTAAGGTTTAGATTAGGTAACTAGAAAAGCAATGATGGCAAAAATAAAGAAAGAGGGCGGGATCCTTAATTGGTGGGGCAGACAAATGGTAAATTCAGTTTCGGACACATTTAATGGAAAGTGTTGATAACTATTTCCACCATTTTTATTCCATTAGACCGATTAAAATGCATATCTGAAAGTTTAAACAAACAGTTTTCTTTGTAAAATGAGAGACTTAGACTAGATGATTTCTGTATTTCCTCCGAATTCTAATATTCTATACTTCTGTGGTTCTACTTAGACTTGGAATCGTTCTACACAGAGAATAAATGAAGCCACGCAAGCATATGTGACCATTATAAATGAAAATTAAGGGCCATAAGGGTGAATGAGGACTTTGTCTATAGAGTTACCTGGTGGACCAGCTTCATAGAAGCTGAGCTGAGATTATTCCACAGTCAGTGAAATAGGGATAAAACAAATACAATAATGTGAATGTTTGGTCTGTTTTGGGAAGAACAAAGTATTTTAGCTATAGAGATTTAGCCAAGTGAGATTTGGCTCTCTCTAACTCACAAAAATGGCCATTTCATTCTATTTAAACTACTAGATTAGTTAACTTAGCATATATATCCTAAAGAGAAACTCATTAAACTTGGGGATGTTACTTAACCTTTCACTTTTAATGCTCATACAATGTAGATATTCTCACACAGACATTTTTCCTCATGATTAAATTAGACAATATGGGTAGAGTAGGTAGAAAAATACTGAGCATACAGCAGTAGTGCAATAAATGTTGGGTATTATTAGCAATGGAGAAACTAAATCATATGATCAACATTCTGTGATAGCATATTTTGGAGCTAACTTTTGAATCCATGTTTGCCTGACTCCCAAGTGCTTGTTCTTAAACATTAAATTAGACATTCCAAAAGGATTTTACATGAAACTTTCAGTATGCTTCACAAACTGAGTTCTATATTTCAACAGGTTAGGAAAAGTGGAAACTGTATTCTTCTGAGTCTGAAATTTTCTTTCTGGATTTCATTAAAGGTTTTAGGTTATTAAATGATAAACTGACCTGTTTAATTGTTTGACTTGATATTTCTCAAATCTATTGACTATGGATATTTAAAAAATGTTCTTTCCCATTAACATCTTGAAAAACATTCCTTTTATAGAATATACTTTGGAAAACTTCAGGCTGTGATACACTGCTTTCAAAGTGGGACATAAAATCATGATATAGCAAAACCAAACTTAGAAATAAAAAGTTAGTGTTTCAAAGTTCTCAATGATTGTGAAATGTGAAGGAGAAAGAAAACTAAGAAAAGAATCCTGATTATAGCCAAGATACATCTTGGAGAGAAAGATGGGGAAAGAACACATTGTAGGAAATTATGCAATTGTTAGAGAATGAAGGAGTATATCATATATATATATATATATATATATATATATATACACATATATATACACACACATGTATATACAATATATATACATGTATATACAACATATATACATATATACACACCTACACACATACATGTTATATATATAGTATAATTATATTACATGTACATGTACTATATAATCCTTCAAAGATTTTAGGCAATTTGAAAGAACAAGGATACTTAAAAGCATAGTATAAATATAAGGAAATTTAAAAAATAAATGCAACTAGTTTCATTTATAAGAAAGGAAGCCAACTTGAGAGACAGTAATATCAAATCAGAAAAAAAATAACAGAGCCTTCTACATGGACATTGTAGTCTTTAAGAATATGAAGGGAAAATAGACATGCGTAAGAGAGAGGGGCAGGATTTTTCTTCTTCCTTTTTAGTATTTCTTTTCAGCGAGTGCTGAGAGTTAAATTGATATAAGATAGATCAACAAGAAAAAAAGCATATTAATTTATTTAATCGAAGTTTGGAAACCTTCATAAAGAAATAAAAACCCAGAGAAACAGAATGAATCACTTATATACTCAATTGTATGAAGAATCAGTAAGTTGTGAACTAAATAACTTGGAAAGGCTTAGTAGCAACCAAATAACTTGCGAAAGCTTAGTAGATCAGAGCTATTTGAATGGCTTACGTAAAGAACTCTCTGGGTCCTGAATCACATTCTTTTTTTTTTTTTTTCCTGTGCTAGGGTTTGAATGCAGGGCCTTGTGCAGGCTATACTCACATTATCTTCATTTAAATTATCTTAGCTCAAAACAATTTTTTTAACTTAAAGGCAAAAACAGTACTTTTACATGTTAATTCTAGATCTGTTATAAATAATATAGAAGGCTAATATTTGAACAGAACCTGAGTACTGAGGCAGAAAACTTTATATTTTGTAAAAATATTAAAGATCTTCCTTCATTTTCTAAAAATATAAATCGCTCTGAGCATTTTTCCTTGGGTCTCAGCTATTTGCTTTAAAATCTGTAGGATACTCTGCACATCCCTAATCTATTGTGTTTTATGTCTCACTATTAGGGACTTTATTTCCTGATCTAAGGTATAAAACATAGATATCTTATTTCCCAAAATGTAATGTTTAAAGAGTATACTGTTACTTCCACTTTAAAATCACTGAATGGACCATTTACTTACCACACAAAACTTCACTGAAATGATAGTGAATAAATATAAAAGGAAAGGCTTCAGGGAATTTCAAAGTGACAAATTTCTACATAAACCATTATACCTGTAGAAAATCAAGGGTAGAACCTGTAGCCAGGAGTAAATACTGGAGAAACTCTAAAAGAAGAGGGAGATGCTTGGTAGAGCCGTGGAAAAACACTAGTTTTTATGGTTGCAAAGAATAAAATCAAATTATATGGAAGTCATTAAAAATAACTCACTAAGGCATTATTCCACTAGCCCATCAGCATCTCCTGCAACACCCACCACCACTGCCATCACAACCAAAGTAAGCACTAACACAGGAACAGTGCAATGAAACCAGAAAGATGATGTTTATAGAGGAAAGTAGGAATAGTAGAGTGTGTGGCAAATATAGAGGAAAGCTTTCTTATTGTGGCTTTTGAAGCCTCAGCCTGCTGGGTCATATTCCAAATTGAAGATTTCTGGTGTCATATACTCCGACTTAAGTGAACCTCGAAGTAAGCCCTCACATTCAAGGGAGAGAAATGTTTGGGGAAATAAATGTGAACAATGGCAAAAGAAAGCCCCATCAAATATGTTTTTCCTTTAGTTGTTTAAAATGATCCTGTATTTCAGTCATACCAATGGTATAAAAAAACAGTCAGCAAATTAGAGCAGCTAAATCCAGAAAACAATCATATTTAAATTAGAAGAGAACCTTCAAATGTCTAATTAGTATCTTCAGAGATTCAAATATTGCATTCATAAAGTAAATGCAGAATGTGTTGAACTAAACACAATCTGAGAACAAGATAGCTCTTAAACAATTTAAAGAATTTTAAAAGATTGTACAGGTGTGAGAAGATAAATTATAAGAAATTATCCCAAATATACAACCAACTGAAAAGCCTCGATCTTTAAACACACTTTAACCAAAGGATCAAAGGAAGTGTCCACAACCCTTTTAACTTATTATCTCTATTATTTTCCTCATTGTTTTCCCTCTCAGTTTTCACATGGTAATGGAAATGTGTTTTCAAAGAACTTCCTCCTATAGATGTACTTGAATTACTCTGCATGAAACAATTTGGGTCACAAAGTAATTCCTGAACATTGTAACCCAACATTTCCGTTCAAGCCCTACTAGTTCTTCAAGCTGAGGACTCTCATTTCTTCTCATACATTGGTTAGCTCTTTTCTGAGCTTGTCTTTTGTTATACGTTGTCAAAATCAACATTGTATTGGTACTAATAACTGTTTTCTAACCTCTTTCACTAAAGTTTCCCATTTATTTCATATAAATGAACTTTTTAGTTATTATAAAAATAACCCTCCCACCAACTAAATCTAAGTACCTTATGACATCAAAAAAATGTTTATTCCTCTCTCATACCCTGTGTCCACTGAGTTGAGAAAGGGACTTTCTTTCTTTTTTTTTTTTTAATTTTTTTTATTGGTTGTTAAAAACATTATAAAGCTCTTGACATATCATATTTCATACATTGGATTCAAGTTGGTTATGAACTCCCAATTTTACCCCAAATACAGATTGCAGAATCACATCGGTTACACATAAGGATAGGAAAGGTAGCAGAATACAACAGTTACTAATAGGGCATTATGTAAAAATGTGAAAGGGACTTTCTTGTCCAAGGGACTCAAACTGAAGGAGCAATTCAGTCACCATTTCAATGTTAGAAGGCACTGAATAAAGGAAATTAGAACTGTAACAGGGATGGCATCTGCAATTAAATACTCTAACCTGGAAGTGTCGTGTGGTAATGTCACAATTCATTGTTCAGAACTATGTGCTTAGTATTATCAATCACAAAGGGGCCAGTGGGTACAAATGCACCATGTACCTAGAAGCTGAGAGAACTTGGAACGGTTTGGCTGACAACACTAGTGACAACCACATTTTCCCACAGGACATTATAAACTTAATAGGATGCTAACATTCTGTGAACCAGATTGATCTCTTATTAACTTTCGTGCATTTTGTATGGAATCTTTAACCACAAACCTATGGTAGCATGCAAACCATCAGACTGTCTGCTTCTAATGCACCAAGTACATTTACATTTACATTTGCTTTGGTCCACAATTGTACATTTTTTAAGTATGACACTTAGATTTTCTATTTTTAAAAATGTCATTATAAGCAGACTTTTGAGAATTAAAACACAAAATTCCTTTAAGATGTGAACCTGATCCTAACAACGTTTGTGATTAGGTCTCTTTGTCTGCTTTGGAGCCTGTGTACTCACCAGAGGATCCTTGACTGCTTCTAGAACCTTATATGCTCAGCTCTTGAGTAATGTGTTACACCTCCCACTCCAGTATTTTGAAACCAATCCCATTGGTCAAATCATCAATCGGTTCACCAAGGTAAGGAAAGACTTTCCTTGTCAAGTATCATACTTAAAGTGATAACCTATGTGTAGTTCTTTGCAGTAATATCATTTGTAAAAATGTTATTATAAAATTCTGGGAATGTGTTTAGTGTAGATTTTATTGTCAAATTTATTAAGAAATTTGTAATTGATGTGTAAGAGTGTCATACTTTAAGCATTTAATTAAAATTACCTTGAAGATTGCTTAAATAATTAAAGAACAACATATACTTTGGTATCTACAACTCTTTTTTCTCACATACATAAAGTTGACAGTCACTGGTTTAAGGCTAAGATGGGAAAGAAAATGTAAGTACATGTGGAGATATCTGGGAACTCCTATGGTGAGTGGGGGATGGACAGAGATGATCCATGTCCCTGCTTCCCTGGAGGGTTTCTCGATGTGTTACATACTATTAAGCACTTAAAATTGCATGTTTAATAGCTAGAATGCAAATCACATGTATTTTTAAGCTTCCACATAGACACAATAAAAAAGTGAAAAGCAATCAACATAATTAATTATAATAATATATTTTAATCAACACAGTATATTCAAAACATTATTCCAAACAATAATCAATATATAACTAATGATTAAAAAATAAATTAAAAATCTTAAGATCTGGTCTATATTATATTCTTTTTAAAAATGTATTTATTTTAATTAGGTATATATGACAGCAGAAGGCATTTTGATTCATTGCACACAATTGCAGCCCAACTTTTCATTTTTGTACATGATGCACTATGGCACCATATGTGCAATCATACATATAATATACCTGGGGTAATGATGACTATCTCATTCCACCATCTTTCCTGCCCCCATTTCCCCTCCTCGCCTCTCCCTCTCCTTTGCCCAAAGTTCCTCCATTTTTCCCATTCCCCCACCACTTATAGATCAGCATCCATTTTTCTGAGAAAACATTCAGCCTTTAGTTTTTTGGGATTGGCTTACTTTGCATAGCATGATATTCCCAAACTCCATCCATTTACCTGCAAATGCCATAAATTCATTCCCTTTTAATGCTGAGTAATATTCCATAGTGTATATACACCACATTTTCTTTCTCCATTTGTCTATTGAAGGGCATCTAGGTTGCTTCCACAGTTTAGCTATTGTGAATTGAGCTGCTATAATTATTGATGTGGCAGCGTTGCTACAGTATGCTGACTTTAAGTCCTTGGGTATAGGTGGGGAAGTGGGATAGCTGGGTCAAATGGTGGTTCCATTCCAAGTTTTCTAAGGATCTCCATACTACTTCCATATTGGTTGCATCAGTCCCACCAGCAATGTATGAGTGTTCCTTTCCCCTCACATCCTTGTCAACACTTATTATTGTCTGTATTCTTGATAACTGCCATTCTGACTGGTGTGAGATGAAATCTTAGAGTAGTTTTGTTTTGTATTTCTCTAATTACTAGAGATGTTGAATATTTGTTGATCAAATGTATATCTTCTTATGAGAAGTGTCTGTTCATCTACTTAGTCTATTTATTGATTGAGTTTTTTTGTGTGTGTGTTGAATTTTTTTAGGTTTTTATGTATTCTGGAGATGACTCCTCTTTCTGATGTGAGGGTAGCAAAAATCTGCTCCCAAAATGTAGGCTTTCTGTTCACTTCATTGATGTTTCTTTTGCTGAGAAGAAGCTCTTCAGTTTCAGTCCATCCCATTTATTAATTCTTGATTTTATTTCTTGTGCTTTAGCAGTCTTGTTACGGAAGTTGGGGCCTAATCTGATGTGATAAAGATTTGGCCTACTTTTTCCTCTATTAGATGCAGGGTCCCTGGTGTAATTCCTAGGTCCTTTATCTCTGTCTTGTTCCAGTATATATAAGGAATGCTTCCAATGTTTCCCCATTTAGAAAGATGTTGGCCTTGGGTTAAGCATAGATAGCTTTTACAATGTTGAGGTATTTTCCTACTATCCTTAGTTTTTCTAGAGTTTTGAACATGAAAGGGTGCTATATTTTGTCAAATGCTTTTTCTGCATCAATTGATATAATCATGATTCTTATCTTAATTCTATTGATGTGATGAATTATATTTATTGATTTCCACATGTTGAACCACACTTCCATCCCTGGAATGAACCCCACTTGATCATGGTGCACTGTTTTTTAAATGTTTTTGTATGTGGTTTGCCAGAATTTTTCTGAGAATTTTTGCATCAGTGTTCCTTAGGAATATTGAAAATCTGAAAATTGGAAATCTGAAATTTTCTTTCCTTAATGTGTGTCTGCCTGGTTTTGGTAACAGGATACTAGCTTCATAGAATGAGTTTGGAAGAGTTCCTTCCTTTTCTATTTCATGAAATAATTTGGAGAATATTGGTATTAGTTCTTCTTTGTGGGTCTTGTAGAACTCAACTGTGAATTCATCTGCTCCTGAGCTTTTCTTGGTTGATAGGGTTTTGATGGCATCTTCTATTTCCTTGCTTGAAATTCATCTGTTTAAATTGTGTATGTCCTCTTGACTCAGTTTGGATTGATCACATGCCTCTAGAAATTTCAATAGTGTCTGTCATGATATTTCCTTTTTCATCACACAAATTTTAGTAATTAGAGTTTTCTCAACCTCCTTCTTAAAGGTTTTTCGGTTTTATTACTTTTTTTCAAAGAACTAGATTTTTGATGTTGTCAATTTTTTAAATTGTTTCTTCAGTTTCAATGTCATTGATTTCCACCCTGATTTTAATTATTTCCTGTCTTCTGCTACTTTTGGTGTTGGTTTGTTCTTCTTTTTCTAGGGCTTTGAAATGTAATGTCAAGTTGTTTACTTGTTGACTTTTTCTTCTTTAAATGAATGAACTCCATGCAATGAACTTTCCTTTTAGCACTGCCTTCATAGTGTCCCAGAGATTTTGATACATTGAATCAAAGTTATAAATCAAAGGCATTCCTGTATATCAGTGACAAATCCTCTAAAATGGAAATGAGGACAACCACCCCATTCACAATATCCTCAAAAAAAAAAAAAAAATACTTGGGAACCAACCTAACAAAAGAGGTGAAAGACCTATACAATGATAACTACAGAATCCTAAAGAGAGAAATAGAAGAAGACCTTAGAAGATGGAAAGATATACCCTGTTCATGGATAGGCAGAACTAACATCATTAAAATGACAATATTACCAAAAGTACTCTATAGGTTTAATGCAATATCAATCAAAATCCCCACAGCATTTCTCGCAGTAATAGAAAAAGCAATCATGAAATTCATCTGGAAAGATAAAAGACCCAGAATAGCAAAAGCAATTCTAAGCAATACCAGACTTTAAACTATACTACAGAACAATAGTAACAAAAACAGCATGGTACTGGTAACAAAACAGGTGGGTAGACCAATGGTACAGAATAGAAGACACAGAGACCAATCCACAAAATTACAACTACCTTATATTAGACAAAGGTGCTAAAAGCATGCAATAGAGAAAGGATAACATCTTCAATAAATGGTGCTGGGAGAACTGGAAATCCATATGCAACAAAATGAAACTGAATCCCTTTCTCTCACCATGCACAAAAGTTAATGCAAAATGGATCAAGGAGCTAGGGATCAAACCAGAAACTCTGCGTCTGATAGAAGAAAAAGTTGGCTCTAATCTCCATCTTCTGGGGTCGGGCTCCAAATTTGATATCTTCTGTTATCCATGCATCATTCAATAACATATTGTTTAGTCTCCAAGTGTTGGAGTAGCTTGTCTTTTTTTTGTCATCAATTTCAAATTTCATTCCATTATGGTCAGATAGAATGCTGTGTAATATCTCTATTTTTTTGTATTTGTGAAGACTTGCTTTGTGGCATAGCCTATGGACTGTAAGAAAAATGTATAGTGGTGGGAAAAGAGTGTAGTTAGACTTGCTTAGTCATCTAATTGTAACATTTTGGTAAATTCTTTTTCATTTTCCATTAAAGGATATATTTCTTCTTTCTCTATTCTAAGCCATGTCATAGTTCAAAATAAAGTGATCTGGTATCAATTTTTATTTCAGGATATGTTTATAATTGATATACGTTTCCATTACTATTTACGGACCTGGTTGAATTATACACTAGATGTTATCGGAACAATTTTGGTCATCCTGGGAGCTTTCCCACTCTTCATTCTTGGGATTATTCCCTTGGTTTTCTTATATTTCACAATACAAGTAAGTATTTGGGTTTTTATTTATATTAATAGCATGCATCTATAGTCCAATATAGTTTTACACCCACTTAAACTTACTATTAGTTCAGATTCTCCAAAAAGCAGGGTCCTAGAAGTGAATTATACTATAGATATACTTTGGGAAATGCATGTCAAAATAAAGAAGAGGAAATAGGAAAAGGCTTAGCTGGGAGAACTCTTGGACTGCAATGTATGTGTGATACCTGTGAGGGAAAAAGAGCTAGAAGAATTGGGGAGGAAAAGTCTGTCATTGCAGAGCATTTTTATTAAAGGTGCATTCAATTCAAAGGGAAGATCTCAACCAAGGTCACCACTGGTGGGTCCCATGTGACTTCTGAATGAGTCTGCTTTCACACTCTCTCTCATATCCAGTCATTGGCTGGGAGCCATCCATGAAAAAGTAGTCTCAATAGTCATAGTGCAGTAAATCTAGAAGAGCAGCAGTCCATGCTGTCTCTAAGCTATGCTAATTTGCCTGCATAATCAAGACAGAAACAGATAGTACCTTTTGTCCTATTATCCTAGATATCAGCAAATTTTTGCTGGAAGAACTAAATATGTCTCTCATGTTATTCATATGTTAAAATACAATGAACCAATTTGAACTCCAAAATTATGTCACTGTGAGGCTACAGTAAGTAAACACAATTTACTAATATATTTTTTAAATTGAATATCAAAATATTCTAAAGCTTTTCTCACAAAAGGATACCATCTTTGTAGTTCAAATCCTTTCCAAAAACTCAACTTTTTAAATTCATATTAGAATTTAGTCTGCTCAAGACAGAATGTTAATCATTTTCTTATTTCTGAACATGTGCTATTATTATTCCACCTACTTCACATGTTTTCTCTATTCTCTCTATGTAGATCTTACTCTCTGCATGGCCTATGTTATATTCCACTTTCTGTGTGGATCATTTGCACTATTTTGGTAGAAAATAGTGCAAAATCACCTATGTACTATGGATGTATTATATTACTAGTATTATAAGTTACTTTTTAGGAGACCACATGTTGTCTTTTTGATCATGTTTCCAAAGGCCAGAGACTATTATGTCTTATTTTTTAAAAAAAAATCAATCTGGAAACAGAAGAATGCTACTGAGGGTCAATTTTATCCACTTAAAAAAAATACACACACACACACACACACACACGTCATGAATGAAGTTTTATGTGATGATCTCATGGTTGGTAAACTCTACTAGGGTGACCAGGATTGAAAGAATCTAGAACCCCCTAGGAAGTTGAATAAGGTGATACTTGAATTTGGATTCAGGAGCCTTGTGTTCTTGTCACCTTCTTGTTTTCTGTACCAAGAATATAACTTCCCTTTCTGGGCTCTACTTCTCTTCCCTGTGCAATCATCAGTTTCACTTGACATGTGCTATTCAAAGTATGGTAAACCCAGGCCTACTGAATTAGAATATCTCAGTATGGGACCCAGAGGTCTGCATTTTAACAAACCTCCAGTTCATATACAAGATAAGGAAGCTGTATTTTTAACAGCCATTGGGTCAATTTTGGCTTCTTGCAGAAATGTAATTTTCATTGTTATTAGTATTGTTACCTCTAGATATGAGAAACTGCACCTGAATAAAAAGTTAGGTTTCATTTTTCTGAGTAATTATATTTTCCTCCATTGTTTTCTTGAATTATACTTGTTCATTGTGGAAAATCGGCCAATACAAAAATAAAAACCACAAAAAAAAAAAAAAAAAAAAAAAAAAAAAAAAAAAAAAAAAAAACCTCCCAGGTGATTTCTACTAGAGTATGAGAAACTGATCTAGATTATTGGTTCTTAAACTAGATTCCCTGGAGAGTTCCATGGAAGAACTGCATGGCTTCTATAGATCAATGAATTTAAAAAAAAAAACTCTAAGGATATATAGTATTCATATATACATATACCTAGGGATAAGTGTCTCACCCTTAATCAGCTACTCTCAGGGTCTATGTCTCCAAAAATAGCATCCATGAACTAGACAGTCTGGTAAGTCCCTTTGCAGTCTCTAGAATGTGATAATCCTTTGTATTTTCCAGAGCATTTAGTACAGAGCAGAGTTTATGAACTATGAACTGATAGTTTTATAAATGGCTTGAGATACATGTTTGTTTTGCTTGATCAGCGTTTTTACCAAAATAAAGACATTAAAATCAGGGATTTTACATGAAATTCCAGATATGGAGATTTTTCTGAAAAAAAAAAAGTAAAAGATCTGTAATCCCTGATTTTCATTTGCAATTGGTAGCAATTTTCTGTAGATGGTTAATGATATTTCAGTTAATTTAGGACATAGTCCTTCCAAACTCTTCATAATCCCTAAGGCTAAGGGGGAGTAACTCAATCATAATTCTGGTTATACTATATCTTTTTCATGGAGGAAAAAATAAATTGATTTGCTTTTTGTTTTGCAATTTTGTTCAGGTAAAAAAATATCATAGGTACCCTTGGTCAGCTTCCCTCACTTAATGGGTTAACTGCCTGGTCATGTTTTCAGCATGTGACACAGAGCTTTTCCTATTGTAGGTACTCAATAATGGTCACTTAAGAGCACCAAGCAAGTGAAATTTTTTTCTAATTATGTCCTAGTTCTACTGTCCATAATTTGGGGTTTTCACTGTTATAAAGGGGTATTAGTTTTCTAAGACTCCTGTAACAAAAAAAAAAGCTGGGTGGCTTAAAAATGAGAGAAATTTATCCTCTGTTAATTCTGGAGGCCAGAAGTCCAAGATAAAAATGCAGGCAGGGTTGTTCCTCCTGGGGACTCCAAGGATAAGTTGTTTCATGCTTTATGCTTACTTTTCTGGGCTGTTGGCAATCCTGGCATTTTTCTTATCTTGTAGACATATCCCTCTAAGTTCTGCCATTCACCACAATGGCATTCTCTCTCTGTTTTGAGTCCTTTATCAAGACTTGTAGAGACACTCAGCATTGGATTAAGGGCCTACCACAAATCCAGAATGATTTTATCTTGAGATCCTTAAATTATGTACATCTGCAAAGGTTCTAATTCCAAATAAGATGATGCTTACAGATACAGACAGAGGTGTTAGAATTTGGATGCAAGCTTTTTTTTTTTTCGGGGGGGGGGGGTCACTTTAAGTCACAACATAAGGTTCTTGTAGTTTTTAAGTCACTGAAGCAACTTCTGCTACATCTTTCCAACTACTTCTTTCTGTCTTCTGATTAGAGATACTACATAGCCAGCTCTCGACAGATTCGACGGTTGTCAGGAGCGTCCCGTTCCCCTGTCATTTCTCACTTCAGTGAGACTTTATTGGGAGTGTCCACTATTAGAGCATTCGGACATGAACAGAGGTTTATCCAGCAAAACAGAGAGGTAGTGAATGAGAACTTGGTCTGTTTCTACAATAATGTAATTTCAAACAGGTACGTTTCATCAATAAATCTAGCATAGAATTTGTCTATTCTTAGATACTTTGTTCACTGACTTTTAAATGAAAGAATGTTTTCTAGCCAGGTGCAGTGGTGCACTCCTATAATCCCAGTGGCTTGGGAGGCTGAAGCCGGAGGATCGAGAGTTCAAAGCCAGCCTCAGCAAAATCAAGGCACTAAGCAACTCACTGAGACCCTGTATCTAAAGAGAAAAAATACAAAATAGGGCTAGGGATGTGTCTTAGTGGAGTGCCCCTGAGTTCAATCCAGAATACCAAAAAAAAAAAAAAAAAGTGTTTTCTAATGCCATTTCATCAAATTAGTATACATTAATTAGTTACATATGTATTTATATACACACACATATAAATATGTAAATCCTGAATATTTTCTAGTGTTTAATATGCATTTAAGTTAAATCATATCTACATATATACCATATAAAAGACACATACTTACTACTTTATATGAAAACAAAGTTCTGTTTTTTGAAGAGATTATAGGATGCTATTAGAATGAGTAATATGATTCTTTCTGTTGTACTCAGTGTTTGTAGAATATATTTTGTTTGTGTATACTTTTCTATGGTAGTTTTAATTTCAAGTTATAATCTTATAAGGAGGTAATAATAAAATAATAAATAGTAGTTGGGCATATTTTAATTTTTAGAGAATAATTTAATCAGTATGAAATGCATCTGATTTTACAGTGTATGTAATTGGAGAAGTAACTTATTTGCCAGTAACTCATCTTAGCTAAAGTTCTTGTCTTTTGCTTTTTAATTCTGATTAAGTTTTAAAGCAAACTTCTGCAAAAGTAATGTGAACTTTTATGCAGAGGAATGAATCCTTTATTTAAGCTAGCATCATTGTCATGATCCTGGGTTTAATTGAGTTCCTAACTGAGTTCCAAGTAAGGACGGGGGTAGGGGGCAGGCAAAGAAAGTAGTCATTGATGTTTTCTTCCCAATTTCCCAGAGTAGAGTGAGTGTTAACTGCACCAAAACTTTTTCATCTCAGTTCTCAGGAACATTCCATTTATTACAGGTGGCTGTCCATTAGGCTTGAATTTCTTGGCAACTTAATGCTGTTCTTTACTGCTCTGCTTGCTGTGCTGGCTGGCAATTCCATAGATTCAGCAATAGTTGGTTTGTCTATATCCTATGCCCTAAATGTAAGTAATAATGATTTTGTGGTACATGACATGTTTATAATGCAATTGATTAAACACTCTTCTCCTTTGCCTGTCTGAATTATAGATTGTATTAACTAAGTAATGAGAGGCAAATCTGGATTACCCTGGAGGCTCATTTCTTCCTCTCTTTTGGTAGTAGCCAGGAGCTGGCTCAGCAATTTTCAGTTAGCTCCCAGAAAGAATGGGCTGAGCCCTGGAGGAACAGGAACCTTCCATAATGACCCACAAGTCTCTTGCTCCCCATCCTTATAATTACAGAGGGTTATGGGGTATGGTCTCTCCCCACCATAGCTGGTGTGTTCACTTTGCCCTGCTGAAGCAAGCAGATACGTGCAAGCTCTGGGGGCAGTATACACTCCACTTCTCTTCTGCTTATGAATTTTCCCCTAAGCCCTATTTTATATTATACTTCAAAGCACTGGTAAGAGTGTGTCCATATCTCCTTTGTGAAAGAGTAAATGCCTTAAACTGGTTAACGAATTACACATTAATTACACAGGTAAGTCTAGATGATTTGGATATGTACGTTAGTCTTATATTCAAAACCCTTGGGGCATTTCAGTATTCTGGACTTAGACTTCTAGAAAGAGAATATAAAATACATATTCAGGGGTTGGGGCAAAATCCCATAATGAAATGTTACTATTTCTTCAGTGAAATGTGTGGATATATATCTCAAGTGGGTTCAAGAAACATTTTAAGGAGCTCCACATCTGTTCAAGACAAATAGGCCATCATATAAGTTGGCACCAAACTGAAGATAAAACAAAAGCCAAAGCTTTTGACTTTCAGAAGTAAACTTGAAGTTACAAGCTGGAGAACCTACATTTGAGGGCACGGTAAAAAACAAAACAAAACAAAACAAACTAGTGTTTACAAACTTTTATTAATTTATTTATTTTAATTAGGTATATATGACAGCAGAATGCATTCTGATTTATTGTACACAATTGCAGCACAACTTTTCATTTCTCTGGTTGTACATGATGTAGCGTCACACCATATGTGCAGTCAGTCATACATGTACTTAGGGTAATAATGTCCATCTCATTCCACCATCTTTCCTGCCCCCATGACCCCGCCCCACTTCTCTCTCCCCTTTGCCTCATCAAAGTTCCTCCATTTTTCCCATGTCTCCCCACTCCCCTTTATGGATCAGCATCCACTTACCAGAGGGAACATTCGGCCTTTGGTTTTGGGGATATTCTCCAACTCCATTCATTTACCCGCAAATACAATAATTTTATTCTCTATTAATGCTACGTAATATTCTATTGAAAAATATCAGACACTTCACGAATATGTGTGTCATCCTTGTGCAGGGACCATCCTAATTTTCTTTGTATTGTTCCAATTTTAGTATATACACTGCCATAGTGAGGACTATAAATTTTTTTTCAAATGAGGAAATAAAATAGTTAGGAGAGTCTTCCTTCTGGTGGAAGGTAGAGAAGAATGCCCCAGTGTCATTAATTATCTTTTATTTGCATTTATGATGTAGATTTTATGAGGCATATCCTATCCATCTTGCTATTCATTATTCCTTACACCAAGTATGGATTTATTTACTATGTATTGAATTCTGGTCATTTTATCATCTTCCAAATCATTCCATTATTTATTATATTGTAGGTCTAACATATTTGAAGGAACACAGATGTGTATATATGTATAAATATGTTCTTCTAGAGTTGTTAAGTAGCAAAAGATAGGAGGCATTTGAAAACTCAGAAAATGAAACCTTATAAAATATAGTATTACTTTTTACATGTAAGATGAAAGAATATGAATTAATCTCTTACTTCCTCTCTTATCCTCATCCCCAAGATTACTCAATCTCTGAATTTTTGGGTAAGGAAGGCATGTGAAATTGAAACCAATGCAGTGTCCATTGAAAGAGTGTGTGAATATGAAGATATTGATAAAGAGGTAGGTACTTATCAATAACCCATAAATGTTGTAGGATTAAGACAGCGTGATGCACCTTCAGTTGACATCTTGAAAACTAAATTTTAAACAAAGCCTTCAATTTCTAAGTTCACATTCTAATATTCAGCATTTCAATGACATTGAAACAAAAAAATACTGTAAAATGCACCATTATTGTATATATCACTAAAATATAAATAGAAACCTTGCTGATTAAATAGACTCTCCACAAATTGTAAGGTGTTTCAACAAGTTATGAGAATGAAATAGGATAACCTGTTTTCAAAAGACATGATGGTTTGTCCTCTACTGATATAGGGTAAAATACACAATTTACAATTATAACTTTGTGGGATATTTAACATTGTGAAAAAAAGTCTTTATATAGTCATCTTATAATTATTTAGAGTCCTCACAGTTTTTAGATTAATTTTGTTTGTAGTGATTATACCTTCTGTTTCATTAACTCATCATTAACACCTCAGTGAATGGGAAGGAGAAGGAAAATAAATCTTCCTTTTAATCAACTATAATTTGGGAAGGCAAAAAATTTAACTATTGATAGAGAATAAAATTTAAGTTATCCTTGTATTTTGCTCATCAAGTGACCTCCCTCTCCAAGTTCCATAAATTAATAGGGCAGATAGTGAAGGTGATTTGAGTTTCTTTTTCCTTTTTTGCATATAACTCTCATTTGCTTGGACCCTAAGGAAGAAATACATCTTCTCCACATAACAATCTAACATTTCCAATTATATTTTTTGTTTTATTTCTTCCTGTCTTCTCAAACCTTTCTCCATTAACCACCTCTCTACCTTTTTTTCCTACCTTTCTAATTTCCTACTCCCTTATTTACACAACCTATAAATAAGCTAAAGTATTCTCCACATCCTCCAGCTCCTTCCTAAACTTTGAATTGTCCTCTGCATTCTCTCCTAGCTCTTGCCTTTCCTTCTCATGGACAATTATTCTATATTCATAATCTTTAGGAACTAAATTTCAGTTTGCTTAGTCCATTTACCATCTGATGACTTACATAAAAAATATCATTTTCTTTATTTTATGAAAATTTTCAATAAATATATATTTCTTTCATATTGGAAAAATACAATATAATGCATGTGTAGGTATACACATATTTTAAAAACAAAAACATTTTCATGTAATTTGATGCAAATTGTGACAAATACCCCTGCAAAAACTCTTGATGAAGAAGAAGTATATCTGTTTAGATAACCTTGTTCACCCCCTCCAGAGCCCCCTTTCTCTGCTCCCTTTGTAGAAGAATTCTCTGGAACATTTTCCGGTACTTGCTGTCTCTAGTTCCTTTCTTCTTTAAACAGGCCTCTGATTCCACCACTTCATGGAACCTGTCTTACCTAGATCACAAATGTTCCATATTCAGTTCTCATGTTACCTGAGGTATAACTTGACATTGGCCATCTGTCTCTCTGCCGCGATGGGCAAAAGGTGTGACTTATGCAGTTGAGGAGGAGAAATAAAAAATGTCCATGCGCTTCTGCCCTTTTCAATGATTTTTTCAAATCAGTCAATACATTTCACTCTATAGGTTCTTAATCAAGAAAATGACAATCCTTAATGCTAGGCACTACAATAGACATAATCAATTCACAGCAAACAATTCTAGATTAATTCTAAGCACTGCAAACACACTTAATCATGACAGGCTCATGACAGAGCATGCTAAGCTCAATTGTCAGATCAAAAGTCTCAAGCCTTAGGTTCTGAGTCCAGCAGATGCACACTCACTCAGACCATGGCGATCAGGTCAGGAACCAAGGCAGGCTTCTGGGGTGGAGCTGATGGCTGGCTGAGGAGGTGGTCAGGGAGAAATCCTTTTCTCACCAAAATCGGGAGGCTGCTGTAGAGTTTGAGAGCGGTGAGAATGACACAGAGGATCAAGCAGATGAGAAGAGTTGGGCTGTCAGTCCAGTTCCTCATCAGGCTCCCAGGATTGTGTGCATCCTTGTCTGCTGGCTGAATAGTCTGTTCATTTGCTCCATCATTTATACTAAATTTTGGAGCTTCTGATTGTCTTTTCAATCCCTATCAGCTGCTACTGGATTTCTCAGTGACATCATTCGTCCTGAGGTTAAAGCATCTGGTCTGGTGGTCTCCTCCCTGATTTTCTTGCTTCTCACTTTTATCAGGGCAAGGACAACATGCCAGAGTCTTCACTCTGAGTTTGTCAGGGTGGGGAGAAGTGACTTGTTTGTGCCTGAGGGCCATACTGAAGGGCTCCATAGATGTGCCTGATGAGACTGCAGGTTTCAAACTGGAGTTTTAAAATGGAGTTGCTTAGACTAAGGTCTAAGGCCATCCTTACATCCTCCCATGAAATACTTCATCCAGCCACCCAGGTACACGCAGTCCTGTGTGTTCTACCTCCTGAAGTCTCTCCAGTATTCCAGGCAGGCTTCCATCTCAGGTCCTTGGCACACACAGTTTTCTTTGCCCTGAATCCTCTTCTGCTGACTTTCCTGTGACTTGTTCCCTCTCTGTGTGAGTGTAGCCTTTGCTAATGACCCTGCTCACAATCATGCCCTCTTCCTACCACTTCTACCAAGTGCTTATCCTCCAAAACTTTGTTCATCCAATGCTCCTCCTGTGTTATGTAGTTCTGTCTCCCTCCCTGTTAGCACATATCCTTCAAAAGTGGAAGATCACTTTATCTGTTTTCCTCTTTGCTGAATCTCCAGTAAGTACAATTGGCATTATAAACACTTAGTATTTAGGGAATGAATGAAAGACAAATTGTCCTCCTCTCACCTAAAATTTCAAGTTACCCTAAACCTCTTGATAGGATTTTAGGAAGTTTGTCTTGATAACTTGATAGGTGATGGGAAGCTTTGCTCTCTCTAAAAATTTATTTCTAAAATTTTCTTATAACCTGATGAGAAGTTTTATATTCTTAAGTATTGAAAACTATTTTCAGAAAATCGTATATATAAATGTCTTTTATCATTTTTCCTCACTTTTGGTTGCATGCAGAAGAATTATTTTGGGGGAAGAGAAGGTATTATTTTATTGTAAGTATAACTTAAAGAATATTTCTTTGTTTTAAGGCACCTTGGATTATGTCTAGAAGGCCTCCAGTACAATGGCCCAATAAAGGGGTAGTGGAGTTTATTAATTATCAAGCTCGATATCGAGATGATCTTGGTTTGGCATTACAAGACATCACTTTCCAGACTAATGGGGAAGAGAAGGTATCATATCTAATGCACTTTGTTAAGTATAATATAATATTTATTATAAGATGGTCTTTTAAAGATATTTCATAAATATAAGAGGAATAAAGACATGTGGTTGATAGTAGAAAACAAGTTTTCCCTCTTTTAAGAAAAAATACATTTTAAAATTGTACACTATTATGAAACACAATTTTAGTACATTTTATTTTACTTCCTCTATAAAGCAAATGTCAAAAATAAGTAAATATTCACCTAAAATATGGTAAATCCTTATAATGGGATAATTGGTTCATGATATGATGTTTTCTGATGATTGAGATGAAATTTGGTTTAAAAATGGTTTGAAAAACATTTGGTAGTGTAATGTCAGTTTTGTCTTTTAAAAAGTAAAGAGACACATTAGCAAAAATATAAGAATAGTCATCAAACATAGCTGTTACTTCTGGGTGATATAATTTCTGATGATCTTATACTTTCTTCTGTATTTTTCCTTCATTTTTTTACAATTATATATGAAACATTATTTTCATTAAAAAAAAGATGCGTTACACATAAATGGAAGTGACATAAAAAATAACAATAATGTCCTACTTGGGCTTTATCAGAGATTCATCTTTTGTAACCTTAAACATCTTGTTCCAACACTCTGAACCAGGTCTGCCGCCATGGTAGTTAAAGACTAAAATATTATTGAAACAAGTAAAATCATTCTAGCATTTGGGTTACCCCAGTTAATGCAAGAGATTCTGGTTTGGTTTTGTTTTCTGATGCATTTTGTCAGATTTAAGATCTCTCATTAGGGCAAAACAATTCTTTTCCTAATGTTCTTCTATTAACACCAATATACAAATCAGCAACCAGAAAATATTGTACTAATTTTTATGACTATTGGAATATGTTCAGTCACTGGGGTGCTTATTATTTTGGTCAGAAGTCCAAGACCCTTAACATTACCTGTGGTTCCCTTGATAATTTAATGTGATGTTGTTTTAATACACCTGGGATAATTACAGATATCCCTTCGGATTTTCCAACCAGTTTCCAGTCCCTTTTGTTAATTAGTTTTTTGTTTGTTGTGGGGAGGAAGGGTAGAGAAAATCCTCATTCTGAAAGTTCCAGTTAAACTACCTCGTCCTCAGTGATGCCCATATACTGGATGTTCAAGAATGATTCGGGGATGACCTACTGTCACTGGGGTGACTGGGATTCTCTAGTTAAGTGGCAACTAGTTCACTCAAAGCTAGAGGGAAAACTTAGTATCCAGAGTGTTTTCAGTGGGTAAAGAGGGTCTGCACACAACGGATCTTGGGAAGACACATTATTATCTTCCACACCAGTCAAAGTTAGTCTAGTTGGCAGAATTAGATCCCACTGACCCAAATGTGACAAATAACACATTTGGGTCAGTGGGATCTAATTGTGACAAATAACACATTTGGGTAGAGCAAAGGCTCTGTTCCTTTACAAAATGTACCATGTGAACTGTTTATGATCATTTCATTACAGATCGGAATTGTGGGAAGGACTGGGGCAGGTAAATCAACACTATCAAATAGCTTATTTAGAATTGTGGAGAGATCAGGAGGCAAAATTATTATTGATGGAATAGACATATCAACAATTGGGCTTCACGACCTTCGTGGTAGACTCAATATAATTCCACAGGTAAGACCTGTTTTGAAAGCAGTATCTCTTATCTCATTTCAGGTGAGCTATCTTGCTTCACTCCCTCCCTCATTCTCTCCTCCCTCTCTCTCTCCTTCCCTCCCTCCCTCTCTTGCTTTCTCCTCCTCCTCTTTCTTCTTCTTATTCTTTTTCCTCTCTCTCTTTCTCTCCTTACTTCCAACCATTTTGCTCATGTTCCTTCCTATACATACGATAAGGCTTAGCTTATAAATTAGGTACTATGAGGGATTAATAATAATAACTATCGACCAAACAGTTATAGCCATATTCTCTTAAAAAAATAGTAAGTTTTGAGAATGCACCCCACACTCTCTCTCTCTTTAAATTTGGTTAAATTTTTCTTTATAAACTTTATGAGTTTTTTATGACTTTTTTTTTCCTTTTTTCAGTATAAGGTACAACAGGAAAACTAATACAAATTTCTTTTTCTTTTGTGAGAGTTTCACACAAGATTCATTCTTACTGTTGGTCTTAGGAACCTCAGCAAACAATTATTTTTTCCTTATTGAGCACCATAAATTTTTAAATTTTTTTTCTTCTCATTTTTTTTTGGTCCTGGAGGTTGAACCAGGGCCTCTCATGAGCTAGACAAGCACTATACCACTGAGATATATGCCCAGCCCTCTTTTTGTTTTCTTTTGAAAGAAGGTCTTAATAAGTTGCCCCAGTTGATCTCTCAAGTAGCTGAGATTACAGGCATGTACCCCTGTGCCCTTTTACATTTTTGCTTTAAGGAAACATTTGAGTGTTTCTCTTTGGCATATCAAGTTGCCAGCATTACTTGGCACTTTGAAACTATTAATAAGTAAAATAAATATTTTTTGAACACAAGTACTGCAATACTGAGACAGCTGATATGATAACCAGGATGACTTCTAAGGGACTAACTGGTATGTAGGTTATACAGTGTGGATACACTGACCAAAGAGATGATTCACATTCTGTATAGGACAAAGTGGGATGGTGGGAGATATGATCTCACTACTCAGAATGGCATGCAATTTAAAACTTTTGAATTGTATATTTCTGGACTTTTCTATTTAATATTTTTTTAATCATGATTGGCCATGGGTAACTAAAACCATGGGGAATAGAACAGCAGATTTGGGCGGGAGGGGATACTGTGTAGTTTATTTATTTATGTAAAATGGATTTTATAAATGTAATAGGTTTGATCATTTTGCTTTTTCCCTGTTATTTTTCTGATATGTTTTTTAAAAAGTGTGTTGACTCATATGACCATAAGATCACAGAAGGCTACTTTATTTTTTAGGATCCTGTTTTATTTTCTGGAACTCTTCAAATGAACCTGGACCCCTTAGACAATTATTCTGATAGTGAGCTGTGGGAGGTGCTGGAATTGTGTCACTTAAAAGAATTTGTGCAGTCCCTTCCCAAGAAGCTGCTGCATGAGATCTCAGAAGGTGGTGAAAACCTCAGGTAAGTTGCAAGAACAGAGCTTTCCAAGGGTTTTAGAACTGGCATTGTTTAAAGTATACCCTTGCTGGTTCCCTTCGGGGAAGAGGGACAGGTAATAAAGGGGCAGCGTCAGTAAATGTTGGTATTATTTTCATCTCTGTGTGTTGTCTTAAGACAGCCCCTCTCAGGTGATCAGAGACCCAGGGAAAATGAGCTACCTCCTTTCAGGGTTGCACAGCAGGACTTCCACTTCTTTGATTAATCTCCCTGCTGATCCTGTTTCTGCACAATGACCTCTTGCTGTTTCCTGAGTTTGCCAGGCCAGACCTGCTTGCCTCAAGGGTTTTGCATATGCTATTCCCTTTGCCTGGAATAAGTTTGCACCAGAAATCTGGGGGTTAACTTTTGGCCTTGACTTGAAAGGTAACTCCTTTGGTGAGGGTTTTCTTAGCCTTCCATGTCCACTCCACGCCAACATTTTATAACCCCTCTTCATGCATGTTTGAATTCTTCTTAGCACTTTTTATATACATATTTTTATGAAAATTCTATAATACACTTCTGCTATACTGGTACCCTTACTATTATTATGCACTTACTCAATTATCTCTTTTGTTATTATTTTCTGTGTCCTCCAGGAGAATCCAAACTCTACACAGATTTTTGTCTGTCCTTCATTGCTCCACTTCTAGAAACTAGACAAGTGTTTGGTTTATAGAAGACAATATTTTTTGAATGAATAATGAATGAGGAAAAAAAAGAATAACAATATCAGGGTTTGGGAACAGGAGTCATTACCATAAAGTCCAGTGCTGAAATTATTTTACATTTTTTGTGTTTACATTTACAGTGTTGGACAGCGGCAGCTCGTCTGTCTGGCTCGTGCTTTGCTTCGGAAAACAAAAATTCTCATCTTGGATGAGGCAACAGCCTCTATTGATTTTGAGACTGATAACTTGGTGCAGAACACAATCAGGAAGGAGTTTTCTGATTGCACCATCCTGACCATTGCTCATAGACTACATTCTATCTTTGATTCAGACAGGTATGCTTTGTTTTAAAAAAAATAAACAATATCTATAGGAAACACGTTAATTGTTTGCCTCTAATAAGAAAGTTTACCTGTGTTAGAAATACTATATTTCCCCATATGATATAGAAGATCTTTTCCAAATTAGAGGAAAACTCTAGTGCTAGAAGAATATTAGAAAACTTGATTTATTTCCCGAGTTAATTAGTATCTATATTTTTTGGAATGAAATAGCTCATATGGTAATTTGTTTTTTAAAATTTTTTTATTGTATTTATTCTAATTCATAAGATAATTTAAAAATCTTACCTTTCTAAGATCAGAAAACCTGATTGCAGGTTATTTAACTGGTTTTCTTCTTATTTCAGAGTGCTTGTTCTAGACTCTGGAAGGATTATAGAATTTGGGGCACCACAGAATCTGATACACCAGAAAGGACTCTTCTTTCGAATGACAACAGAAGCTGGAATGACACAGGACTTGGGGACAAAAGATCAATTACTTTAGCTGCGTATTGATGATACTGAATAGAACAATTGTTCAGCATTAGTATTGAAAAAATAAGGATGGGGAGGAATGCTCAAAGGCAAGATCCTGACTGTGAGTTGGCACATACACTAACAAATACCCCAATTTCTCACCATCAGGCACTGCATTCAGGCTTCTCACTTTGTTCATGCCTGCTTTCTCTGCATTCCCCCATGAGCTAAGTATCTCAGGAGTAACTTCCTTAGTGCAGGACCACTCATCTTCATTTGCCTTCCAGTCTGATCTGAGGGCCCCTCATCTGTGCCCTTACTTACCTCTTGTGCATATCTTTATCATGGTAGTGATGGGCTCTACTCTACTTCTTGTCTGTCCCCTTTTAAAAAAAGCTACTTGAGGCAGGTGCTCAGTTTTAGTCTTCTTTATATGATAGGTCCTAGCATAGACCCTTTCATATTACTCAAGCCCAGCAAATGTTTTTATAGAATAATGAACTTGGTGTTAGAGTATGTATATGTGTGTGTTGAATTATTGCATAGTTTATGAAATGATGGAGGAATCAAAGAAAAGTTGAGCTGCTTTTAGGTTTAAAGAAAGGGCAATATTTTTGATAATTATATCTTAACTGAATTTTATGGTCTGATTTATTTGAAAACGTTTGTAGAATTTTTACTATTTGCCTTAAAAATATCTATTTTCTATGGAATATCTGGATCAACCTCAGAAAGATATTTATCAGCTGGTATACATTTGTGGTAATATTGTTGACTTATAGTACAAATCATATTTTGAAGGAATTTTTAATTCAGATTTTTGGAATAAAATCAGCATTGTGTCTGAATTGCCCTTCAGATTTGAAGTGATCAAACTTCAGTGGCATTTTCAACATGATTTTAAACAATTATTTAACATGTTTGCTAAGGCCATCAACCATTTCTTTGTCTTCCCCTTTTTCCTTTCTATGCAACCCCATATGTGTATGTGTGTGTGTGTGTGTGTGTGTGTGTATATATATATATATATATATATATATATATATATAATATATATATATTTGCTTCATTTCCTAAGGGTATTTATGAAAAAAATTGCCTTAATCTATAAAAATAAATATTAACTAAATCTCCTTCTAATAGAATGTAAGATATTTGAAATATTGTCCTGGCTTTACAATCCTTGATGTAATTTATAAACGCTGAATAAATATTTATTTAGAATCCATTAAGGGATATAGGCATTTCAGAAATACCATTAAAACTTGTTTTAGCTTTTGTCTTAGTTCATTATGTATTGCTTTAACAGAATATCACACACTGGGTAAATTACAAAGAACAGAAATTTATTTAGGTTATAGTTCTGGAGTTTGGAAACTCCAATATTGAGGGTTCATTTCTGGCAAGGGCCCTCTTGCTCTGCCATTTCATTGTGGAAGACTTTAAAAGAGAAGAGATAGAGACAGAAAAGGGAAGTAGGCTGAAATCATCTTTTTATTAGGACTCACTCCTGTGATAAGGGTACTGATCCATTCATGAGGGCAGAACCCTCATGAGTGAATCACCCTTAAAAGTCTCAACCTCTCAACACTGTTGATTGGGATTTTTTCCATCCTATGAACTTTGGGGGACAAATTCATACCATAGTGCCTCTTTTTTTAATATATTTTATTGTAGATGGACAACCTTTATCTATTTTTTTTTTATTAGGTGCTGAGGATCAAACACAGTACCTCACACATGCCAGGCAGACGCTCTACCACTGAGCCACAACCCTAGCCCCATAGTGCCTCTCTTTTCCTATAGTTTTAATAAATCAGAGAAGCTGCACAATTTAAAAATCTAAGGTGACATCAACAGTAGCCTGCATAAATGGCGGAACTTTGTGTAGTCATGGGATGAATGTATGACAGCCGCAGATACAATGGATCTCACAAACATAATGCTGAATCAATGAGGCTAGGTACAAAGCAATACCATTGTATGGTTCTATGATTCTATTTATGTTAAAGTTAAAATCAAAACCAAAAAAAATAATCTATAGTATTGAAATTTGGGATATTGGTTATCCTTGGTGTGTGTTTGTGTGAGGGGGTAGTGATGGAGTCTGTAAAGTAAGCTCCTGGGATAATAGCTGTATTCTGTTTTTTAATCTGAGTATTGGTTCAGTATTATTATATATTGTTACATATGATATTTAAGAGTTATACAAAACTAAAATTATTAAAAATGACTAATAGTCAAAATTATTCAAAGATGAGTTCATTGTGTTTTGAGAAATTATTATTTTATTCTCATTTCCACATTATAATCCAATTGTCCACATTAAGCTTGCTAATCAATGAAGTATACCTGAAACAAAGTACAGGGTACTCAAAATGATTAGATTACAAAGAAGTCATACATTTGTATTTAAGAAAAAAGTTTACTCCATGATTATCTAATTTGTTCAAGGATTGTAACTTCAAAATAGATTAAGAATATAATCTCAATATGTAAAATATCTACCTTATCAGATAGAAAGAAAATCCTAAACAGCATGAACTACTTTGAAGAGGAATATTTATTACTGATAGTCCTCAATGCCAGACATTTGAAGATATTTGAAGTATTTGCTACTTTCAGTCCTTACTGAACAGCATATTATCTACCAATTTCACCAAAAATGACACTAAGTTTCCAAGAGAATCTTAGGCAATAAGATTCAAAATCCAGTCCACGTGACTCCATTTTTCCACCAATGTCTCATTCCTGCAAGAAACACTTAAGAGTCTGTAATTCAAGAATGGGGGAGGAAATTGAAACAATAATATTGTAGGTATAGTAAATTAAATTAAATATTGGGATGGGGCTGCTATGCTTCTTTATATATAGTATTAGCTTGAACCTTATACAATAATCATTTTCATAGGTCGATGGAGTAGTGGCAATTACATCTATTTTTAAACACAGTTTGATATCAAACTTAATGGTTAAGAAGATTTAATGTTGTTTTAAAATATGCATACAAATTATAAATAGTTCTACTTGATCCAGAGGGTCTTCTTTCAGGAAAAAGGAATAAAAACAGTTAAAATATGAAAATATTACAGTGGTTAAGGGTTCAGGGTCTTGAGATGGGGGTGCCTTTATTAAACGTCTACTCAAACACTTTAGACTTGTACAAACTTGGGCAAGTTAACTTCTCTGTGCTTATTTGGGAGTAATAATTTTATTTACTTCTGAAGTTGTTTGGAAAACTAAATATTATATAATATAGTATATATAATATATAATCATTAGAACAGTGTCTGCCATATAGAAAACATTGAGTAACATCTCATGTTTACAAAATCACATCATAAGATACACTATTATGTAAATAAAAATAAAACTAAGCCAATGTTTATGAAGGTTTGTTCAATGGACAACAACATTGGGATAACTGGAGATTACAGTGAGGCATGATTCTCAATGATGCATGTTTCCAGTTAGATCAAGAAGAAGGGGTGAGGGCAGATCTCCTAGCTCCTTCCAGCTTTCCCTCTAGTCCCACTTTTCTAGATTTTATTTTTCAGAGGTTTCTGTCATCACATAAGGCAGCACAACATTGGGGCTGAGCATGGACTGGTTTGGGATACTGATACTGCCAATTTATTAGCTGCATAAACCTGGAAAGTTTACCTGATACATTTGTGCCTTAATCGCCCCACTTGAAATTGGGGATACAACACCTACTCATGTTTGCTTGGAGGACGAAACTAAATTGGTTAATACTAGTAAAACATTTGGAGCAATGTCCTGGTTCCTATTAAGAGTTCTATTCTCTATTGCTGGGTAAAATTATTCAAAATTTAGTACTTTAAAACAAAAATGAGTGTTTTTGTGGGTAAAGAATCAGGAAGTCACTTAACTAATGGATGTTTCTGGCTTAAGGTCTCTGATGAAGTTACATTCACATTTTCAATTATGGCTGCAACACCTAAGCCTTGACTAGTATTGAAATCTTTTAAGGAGCTGTGAATTGGTGCTGGCTGTCAGTGGGAATGCCTCTTCCTAGGGCCTTTTCTTTACCAGTATTTACCAACAGAACAGGCTGAACTTTACATGACAGTTGGAATTCCAAGAGAGAGGTAGCCAGCAGCAAGAGGAAACACCTAAGACAGAAGAGTCTTTTTTTAAAAATCCAGTTTTGGAAGAGATATCCCCACACTTCTGCCATGTCATTCATTAGCAGAGTTATTAAATCTCACTCAAACTCAAGGGAAGATGGATTTTTTTGGTATCTTGTGGGGATGGATACCAGAAGGTGGGGTGTTACTGGGAGCCATCCAAATTAGAGGCTGCCTACCTAAAAAAGGCACTGTATTTTTGTTTGTTAAGTAAAATAAATATGTAAGTATCATTATATTTCCTTGTTTGTTTGAGTTCCTCAGTAAGGTAATTTAAATAAGTATGAAGAAATCACAGGAACTAGTCCCAGAAGGGACTGGGACTATCATCTTATAAGGATAATTTAAAAAGCATCAGTTATCCAAAGAATAACACAAACTCTGTTAGAAAATTACTTTTTATAATTACAACATCCTATTTTTGCAAAATTATTACCTATCTAATTAGCTCAGTTTGTGGCTTCATTACATTCTTAAGCAATGAACTCATATTCAGAATTCAAAAGACACTGTTCATATGATGCAGGAACTCTCTTTCCTAAATTAGGGAAATAAGCAAAAAGTCTATTAGAAATCCCAGAGACAGAAGCAGGAAAATGTACATTTCTGGAATGAGACATTGAGACTGAGGTTGAGGGACACCATTAGCATCAGACCACCTCTATCCAACTTTTGAATTTACACACATCAAAACTGTGTTTTAGTAGTTCTTAATAGAAAATAAAGTACACAGTTTAAAAAACAAACTGCAAAATGGTATTTATTTACATTAAAACATGAATTACCTGTACACACACATTTAAGAGGCACAATCTGTTTTGCACAATATTGTAATATTCAGCACACATTACACAGTTATCTGTTGATAAGTTAGTGGTTTGAGTGACAACACAGTACCAAAACATTCCTGATACAAAATAAATTACTCACATACTCTATTTATACAAGACATTTAGAATTTTGTTATGTACTCAAAAAAAAAAAAAAAAAACTAGTCACATGTACAACTAAGAAGTTTGTTTTACGAAAAACAACTTCAGATTGTTATTAATAAATGACCCCTTTCAGGATGCATTCTTATCTTTTAAATAAACTACACTGATGTCAAGACTATGTATAGATAGAGCCCTAAAATATGATTGAAGACAGAAATTCCTTCATTTTTTAAAGGTATAATTATACTAGAGAATATGCTAAACTACTGCCCCCAAATTCCAACACTGCTATTCTATTTTTCAAAGAGTCAAATTATTTTAATTCCAATTTTATTGTGTGATTAGCTGCCCTGTTTTGCACACTGCTTCCTTAAAAAAAAAAAAAAATGTTAACAGGTTAACAGATTGTCATGAACCACATCAAGTATCTGAGAAATTCAAGTTTTTTAATCTTAAAATATTTTAGGTTAAAATTGATACTCTATAGAGATTGAACACTTTTCCCAAAGACCTTCCAAAGATATTTTTCAATTCTAATCTATTAAAATTTATATAAAGTCCAAGAGAACACTTAAATATTTTCATAATGCAGTGGTGGATTCATCTTTGGCATTTCTCAATTAGTTCTAAAATAAGAATTTTGTATTTTCTTTACCTACTACAGGTATTTTCTATATACAAACGTATTTGAAATTTGTTTCAAAATCAATTTCACTGCTAAGAAACGTTTTCTTTTTATATCTGAAAAAATATTAACACTGTTCAATGCCTTGATATTGTTGAAATGTATTTGCTTGGTTCTCATCTTTAGCGATTGGAAACAACATCTTTCAAGTTCGGATAAAGAAGATACACTTTACCTTAAAAAAAATGGTGACTAGGATATAAAATTTTTGAATATTAAAATGAAGTAGGTCTCCACTAAAGACATACATGTATCTTCACATAACATGGAAATCATAGAAATCAAACTGCTATTATTTTCTTACTTGGTCTCTGGGTTTTCTTAATGAAAACAAATAAAATACAACAAAATACCTAAGTTCTACAAATGCTGATTTGTGGAAAATTTTTCCCATATTGCCTTCTATGTTAGATTTATTTCCAGTATTCACAAATTTTATGATCTCATCATACCCCAATTTATGGCTAAAATAATCCAAGTGTAACTATTTAAAAATAATACAGACTAAATAACAGGGTTTTTACAGTTTGATACATTTTCCTCATTTGAAACAAAATATGGGGAAAAAAAATCTCAATGAAACTCAATCAGACTAACTTTTATAGTTCAAATCCATGCTATATTTTCCAGAGCTCACTGAAAATGTAAATTAAGAAATAAACAGAAACACAATAGGTAATTAATGCTATTTACTAATATCTGCACGTCCTGGTTTACAAAAATGAAATAGCAATGACTTTATTGTGACAATAACACATTTTAAGAATGCAACTAATAATTCCCTACTATATTCTAGCCAAGCAGAATCATGGAAATCCAAGCAGAGAATGATGCACAGTAGATGAAGGACCTACAATAAAAATTGGGTATTTCCACTAGCTGATACAGAAAAATTTGAATAAATCTGTACTTATTTTAGAAAGCAAAACTGATTCATGAAATACATTAAGATAATCTGGAAAATGCAGAATATGTGCAAATGACACACAACTGGACATTGAATTTGTAAAAGTAAATTTGTATATGGCCGCTATTGAATATATATGCAGCTTAATAATACTGGTACCTTCCAATGAAAATACCTGACATCAACACTGTCATTCAAGTATAGTTCAAATTTATAGTTAGATGTGATGACCAAGTAAAGAAATTACCAGCTCCTATTAACACAATTTAGTAAGAACTGGGAAATCTTATAATTGGCACTATTTAATGTTTACAGAATACAATGTTAAGTGCATATGGTTATCTAGTTCCAGAATTCAGAAAATATAGCCACCTATGCTCCTCTAATAAGAGTATGCACTGGAATGAGACCTCTCCAAAAAAAAAATATATATATATATATATATGCTATGTAAAATTTTATTTTATCTAAATATTGCCTTCTAGGTAAATCTGTGACATATTTTAGATAGTAATTTTCTTTTTTGGAGGAGGTGCTCTGATAAAGGGGAAGAGCTCACCAGATAAGATCATGTATTTGTATTTGATCACACATCATTACTCCAGAATTCAATTGAAGTTGGTTTTTTGTAAATGCTTATTGGGAATTTCTAAAGCACTGACTTGGAGAGGCCATGAGCCTCCATCAATCCCTGCTTGGATGGCCACGCCTGTCACCACTGCCAGGTCAGGGTCTACAGATGTGTTGGGATCCTTTCCAAAGAACTCTTGAATGACTTGGCGAATTCGAGGAATACGAGTAGAGCCCCCAACTAAAACGACCTCATCAATCTCAGTCTTGTCCAGGTGGCCTTCTTTTAATACTTGCTGAATGGGCACAAGTATTTTCTGGAAGAGATCTTCGTTAAGGCTATCAAAGAGCTTCCGAGATATTTCTGTTTCAAATAAAACCTGACTTTTTCCACTTTTCTTTTCCAAAAGGCCGGGTCCAAACTCTCTGTTTGCATGACCATCTACTGGGTTAAGTTTGTCTTTTGGCAGTTCAGTGTCATTACTCTGAGCTTCCTTTCCATCCTTTTCCTCCACTGTTAGCAATACAGATATCTGGGCAGACTGATGCAGAGTCAGATTTAATTTGACCATTTCCACAGCTTGCCTTAATCTGTGGATTTCCTCTTTCCTAGATGGGAGGAAGCCATATGTTTGGTACACCAGTTTATACAAGTACTGAAGCAACCGCTGATTGAAGTCCTGTCCTCCAAGTTTATTGTTTCCTAAGTAAAAAATCAAAAAAGTTTGTATTATATTCATATATATTCATATATATATTATATTCTAATATAATAAATTTCTTTTAAAATGCATTAAAATTTTATTCAAAGATCATTATTAAATACTGTGTTAAAATTATTTGAACCCTGACCCATACTATTAAAAAACTGTGCACATTAAAGTTAAAATATCTAAATGATGTGAAAGAAGTATCTTAATAATCAGATAATTTTTCAAAACTAGAGATAAAAAAACAGATTGGCTTGCTATAATAACATATGTTAACAAATATAATGAAATTATCCCTTTTTATTTTTCAGGAATTTTTTTCTTCCCACTGTTTCCTTCACCATCACCATGAATGCCTTATTAGCGCAATATGAAAAATTGGAAGTTAATTTGATTTATAGGGTTTCCTATCACTTAAACATAACTTTTTTTATATGCAAATAGTGGCATAAATAACACAGAAAATTATAAGCTGGGGTGGTATATCGCCTATAATCCTAACTACTCAACAGGCTAAAAGAAGAGGATCACAAGTTCAAGGCTGTGTAAACATCTTAGCCAGAGCCTGTCTGATAATAAAAATTTAAAAACAGGTTGCGGATGTAGCTCAGAGGGAGAATGCTCTTTGGTTCAATCCCCAGTACAAAACAACAACAACAACAAAAAAAAAAAACCCACAAACTACATATTAGGTAAGTTAAGTGTTGCTTAAATCTCTTCAATTTTCTATTTTTTCTCACCAGACATTGCTCGAGTTAGAAACATCCCTCCTTGTTTATTCAGTAATGACACATCTAGAGTTCCTCCGCCCAAGTCGATAACCAAGACATGGAAGACATCAGCCTTGTGGAGACCATAGGCCATTGCTGCTGCTGTAGGTTCATTTATTACTCGCAGGATCTTCAGTCCTGTAAAGATTGATTGGAGAAAAGGACAACTGATAAGAGGAAGTTATTAAGAAATTTCTTGTCACTCAGCAAACTAACTTTCAAGAGTAGACTGAAAACTAATATATGTTTCAGGAGCTATAACAACATTCAAAATGAAGAATTCTTTTAAATATCCTAATACCTATTCCTTTATTCCTTTGGTTCTCTATCACTCTGCTCTGGTCACACTAGACAACTTCCTATTCCTTTTTTTGTGGTGGTGGGGGGTACCCAAGTTAGAACTCAGGGACACTCAATCACTGAGCCACACCCCCCACCCCATTTTGCATTTTATTTAGAGACAGGGTCTCACTGAGTTGCTTTAGCACCTCGATTTTGCTGGCTTTGAACTTGCAATCCTCCTGTGTCAGCCTCCCGAGCCACTGGGATTACAGGCGAGCGCCACCACTCTTGTCTTCCTATCCTTATATATCACCAAAATTCTATTTTATGATTGTACTGTTTCCTCCCCCTATAATGAACTTCCTGCATGTGTCTGCATAGCTAACTACCTCACTTCCTTCAAATCTGCTTAAATATCTCCATGAGGCCAACTGATCATCCTACTTAAATGTGTAAGTCCCCTGTTATTTATGGTTTGGGTCTGAAATGTCTCCCCAAGTCTCATGTGCTCAAAGGTAAAGATTTTGGGAATTAATTAGATAATGAGGGCTCTCACTTCATCAGTACATTAATCCACTGATGGCTTGGAGGGACTACTGGAAGGTGGGACCTAGTTGGAGGAAGTAGGTCATGGGAAGCATGCCCTAGAAGTTTTTCTTCTCTGGCTTATCTTTCTCTCCTCCCTGGCTACCATGATCTGAAAGCTTTCTTCTGCATACCTTTCTGCCAAGAGGTTTCTGCCTAGAAGCCAGCTGACCATAAACTGATTGCCCTGAAAACATAAGCCAAAATAAATCTTTCTTCTTGTTCTCATCAGGTACTTTGATCACCATGACTCAAAGCTAACACGCTGCCTCTAATCACTTGACCACCACAAACAATTCTGTCCCTTTATCCTGCTTTTATTTTTCATAGCATGTTACTTTCTGATACACACTGTATCAATGATTTTCAATCAGAGGTGATTTTATCTCCAAGAGATCTATGGAAATGAATGAAAGCATGATTGTCATAACATGCTGCAAAATATTCTTAAATGCACAGGACTGCCACCACCACACCCAAGAATTATTGAGCCCAAAATGTCAATAATGCATATGTTAAACTTAGAGATATGTTTATTCTGTGTTCCTTTCTGTCAAACATAAGCTGCACAAAAACAAGGATGTACCTGTTTATTTTGTGAGACACTCAATATTTGTTTTATTTTTTTAAATTCCATCTGCTTTTATTTTTGTTCTGATGTGGTCCTGAGGATTGAACCCAGTGCTTCACACATGCTAGGTGAGTGCTCTACCACTGAGCCCCTGCCCCAGCCCCAATATTTTTTGAAAAGTTTTAAAATATTTTCACATCAGATTTTTGACAACATTATGTTTACCTTAACTTTGATTAAAGAAATTTTAGGGCAAAAAAAATCCTCCCTGCTAATGTGTCCATGTTTTCTACCTTTGTCATGTGCCTATGACTGGTTCTTATTTTAATATACACATTCTACGTCATGCTACAGAGCTCTTGTAATTATCACTTATCAACCTATATAAAAATACACTAATTTACCCACCATATAGATTGTTTTTGTGCCTATAGTTAAGTGATTTACAAAGTGACAAATACCAAACAAAATCTTGAGAAAAATCCAACACAGGCAAGAGTGCTATTACCTGCAAGGTTGGCTGCTTCAATTGTTGAATTTCTTTGTTTTAGGTCAAATTCTGCTGGTACAGAAATGACAGCATTAGCAACTGGCATTCCAAGATATTCTTCTGCCATTTCTTTTAATTTTAACAATAGTCGAGAGCCAACATATTCTGGGGAAACTGTGATGGTCTCATTACTTGTCACAGAAAACTCAACCAATCCATTTTTGTTTAAAACCTATAAATAGGATTAAAAAAAAGGAATATGAATAAAAGTCTGTTAAATATAAACATATGTATGTACTTACACACATACATACTAGATTTTTTTCAATAAAAACTTACCTTTACAAAGTGATAAATTCCATATTTGTATCCATCTGCCAAGATTAGAGCTTATTAAATGTTATACTTTAAGAACTATAAAGTAAATAAAATATATGCTACAGTTTTTAATAAGAGCAGAATAAAATTCATAACCAAGCATATTTATTTGTTCAATGAATTCCTGATGAAAGACAGGAATTTCCCTTTATCAACACAGGGATGTGTTCCAAGTTCCCCAGTGGATGATCCTTCAGCTTAAAAGAAAAGCATTTGCTTTGGCTTCTCTTTGGCATATTCAAATTGTCTGCATCACTACTCCTGCATCTTGGTTCCACTAATCAGTAAAATAAAGTTACCTGAACACAAACACTATACTTCAAGAGTCAAGTTGATAATCAGTATAAGTACCAAGGGACTTGGTAGCATACAAAATAGATACGGGGTGATACCAGTTCTGGGTGGGATTGAACAATTCCGAAGACTTTGTTTTGCTACTCAGAATGTTGTACAATTTAAAATCTGTGAATTATTTCTAAAATTTTTCCTTTAATATTTTCAGATAGTGGTTGATCACAGGTAACTAAAATCATGGAAAATAACCACAGAAAGCAAAATCACAAATAAAGGGGGGGACTAATATATAAGGAATAACAGTTGCTCAATCATGTATATAACTCAGGATCTTCCCTTTCTCTTTTGTTCCAAGTTAGCTTGTTTTCTAGAGTAAAAAATAAAATTAAAGAAATTTCTAATACATATTAAAAATAATAATTTTAGTATTTTATTATGTCCTTATCCAAGAATCAAACATCATTTACCTTCTTATTTCCATGAAAATATTTACTATGTATTAGCTCATTTTCTCTAATGTGGGCATACATTTAAAAAACTAGATTATCTCTAAAATGTCCTACATTAGTACATTTTACCTAGTACACTTGTACACACCCTAGTATAAACTATGAACAGATTGTTTTAACAGCAATAGCAAAGAAAATTAATCTCATCCAGAAATTATAAGACTCTTTCCCCAACCATTCTAGACCTCATAATTAAGTTACAATCAAGAAATCTGACCTTGTAAATAAAAGCAAGCTATAGATCTACTATGAATATAAGATACAAAGATACCAGTACCATAAGGCCCACCCCAAACCAAAACAAATTGTTTAGAATCATTTGAAATTTAGTAACTTAAAATAACTCTTCAACCAGTAAGTAATGCACCCAAAGCTGTAACTTAGAGAAAATGTATAGCTTTAGTATTTTATCACTAAAGATTATAAATTAATAAAAGAATCCCAAAGAAAGAAACTAAAAACAAAGTAATAAAGTTAGAAGTACAGCAATTTTTTTTCTCTCTGAAAATAGATTAAAAGTTTAAAAATTTTTATGGATAGGGTTATTCAACAAGCAGCAGTGACTGAACTACCTAATGATTTTAAAACTAATTTAGAATCCTAGTTCATAACTTAGAAGAAAAACTGTACATTAAAAAAAAAGATTTAAATGTTTAAAACAAAAACAAAAAAACACTCAGCAACAAAACACAAACCAACACCTATATAAAAGCATCAGGATGAAAAACAAAACAAAAACACCAAAACAAGTGGATAAGAAAACCATATTAAGCACAGTAAGAGTCAATGCCATTTTTATAAAATTAAGAGGGAATTTTGCTGCATACAAACTTAAAATTTTGACAACTCAAAAACAAATCATCACTTAAATAGTTCACCAAGGAAAATAAAAATATGAATAAAAAAATTTCTAAAAAAATCTCACTAGAAAGCAAAGAAATGAAATTTAACAGAAGATTTCATTTTTCTTTCATCTGATTGGGAAATATTGTAAAACAATAATAACCAGGGAAGATAGAGGTGCTCTAAAAAATAACAGTTAAGAACATATAACCTTTCTGGTGCACAATCTGTTAATAAATATCAAAGCCTTAAAAACATGTGTACCTTTGACTTATCAATTCCACTTCTAGAATTCAAGTCAGGAAATTTTCAGATAAGTAAAAACAGATGTATATACAAGAACATTCACTGAACCTCCACCATTAGTGGAATATGAGAAAAAATAAGAAAATATACAGTGAAAAGAGACTGATCAATTTAGTCATTTTACACAACCATTAAGATAACATCTATGACATATTGCTGAGTTTCAAGTAAGTCAGAAAACACCATGCCTTGTATGATCTATTCAGACATAAACAAATATGTACATACATAGATAATATCTATCTACAGTATATGGGGCTTCATCAACCTTCCTGCTACCTTGAATAAGGTAAGGACACATTCTCAAAATGGCAGAGCAAGTATATAGTAAGGTCCTAAGTTCTTGATAACATTGGAGAGTCTTAGTAATAACTCACCCTGGAGCTGCTGTGGAATTTCCTGTTAAATAAGATAGCATAACATCCATATAGATTAAGTAAATTAAAACAGAATGTTTTATAATGTGAAAGTAAAGTATTAATTGAAACAATACAATAAATAAGTTAAAAACAGTAAAATAAACAAAACATATTTTGGATTAATCCCTTACCTTAAATGGGTATCTGCCAATTTCAGCTTCAAGCTCTTCTGGAGTGAAAATCTTGCCTATGAATCTTTTGGCATCATAGATTGTGTTTTGAGGATTTGAATCTGCCAACTCTAAGCTTTCATATCCCACATATACATCACTGTCAGTAAAAGACACCATGCTAGGTATGCTGATATGCCCATTTTCATCTGGAATCACCTTTACTTTTCCTGTGCCAGGAAAAAACACCCCAACAGAACAATAGGTGGTGCCCAGGTCAATGCCAATCACTTTTGGAGTAGGCAATGGTAAATACTGTTGTGCCAAATAGCCAGCCAATAGGAGAGTCAAAACAGCTGATCCTGAAAACAGGCAAATTAAAAGATACATCTTATCAGATTATGATAATATACTAAATTACTATAGCAAAGTCTAATATGCTCAATTACTAAAGCAGTCCCTTTAATACCAATCTTTGAAACAAGACTAAAAATATATCTCATTTAATTTTATAGAACTGTTAATACTTCTCTTAGACATCTAGGTTTTTTATAATGTAAATTAGTTATAATTAAAAATAAAGTAATGACAAAACCAAAACAAAAAAATCCTGTAATTGTATCTGTAGTTCACTAGTAGAACACAGGAATAAAATGTAAAAATATTTAATAATATTTGTAGAATAATTCTGCTCATGATGTCAGGAAACACCCTTCATCTTAAGTAAAAGTTAAATTTTATCCAATTTTCTTGAACAATTGCTATTTAAATTTTATAAAGCTTATGTTATCATTTTTGAAAAGAAGCTCCATTATTGAAATTCTCACACCAAAACCTTTACTAATAATGTAAAGTTAAAACTCTTTGTTTTTGTATCTCCTTTTCCTTTTCAAAAGGATAAAATGGATACATCAGATACAATGACTTTGAAAGTTGCTCAGGTATTAAACCATCACTTCATAACAGAACATAGTTTATATATATATATATATATATATATATATATATATATATATATATATGAATTAAAGACAGATCTTGTAGCGATAATATTTAGGTGAGAAGTATAAAAGTGAGTAACACTGATGGCAATATATATGCAAGCTCCTTGAAGGCAAGTTTTGTTCACTGTTGTAGCTCTCATGCCAAGGAATAACATACGCTCAGCAAATACAAATTCATGAAAAAATAGATCTGAACAAATGCCATAAATAATTGTAAACATAAGCAAAAAAAAAAAAAAAAAACTACTCTAAATTTGGAATTATGCTCTTACTTGATTTCAGGAGGCTGTGTTAAATACCTGTGTACACTTATGTTACATTACAACCAAAAACGTCAGTTAGTAGGCCTGTGTTACTAATTGTTAGCTCATCCTCTTCAACACTAACTCAAAGAAATGAAATCAAGTGTCAATTTCCTTCCACCTACAGGCAAATTGCATAAAGAGTTTATCACCTTCCAAGCAGGGGAAGGTAAATCCCATCCGATATGGTGGAAAGAGCATCAAAAGGCCCTACATCCCTTCAAGCTCAGCATCCCAGGCATCTACAGCTCAGGATGCTCCTGCTGCGGCTCCTCCCCCTTCCTCCACAAAGGGTCCCGGAGGTGTAGGTTCCCGCGGCCTCTCCCCATTTCGGTCAGCAATTCAAAACCGAGGTTCTGTTGTAAGAAACCCATCGCCAAGCCGCAAATCCCTGAGAGGTACGATTTGTACGTAGCTTGCCAGGGCCAGACTTCTCTTGGAGGCGCCTCCACCCCCACCAGGTCCGAAAAGCCCCAAATCGCCTCTAAGTCAGCTTTTCCAAGTCCCCTTCTATGCCAGCTGGAACCAAGAGCTGAGACAATCATTCCGCCCATCCTGGCCTCCGCGGACCGCCTTGACGTCCGCCCAGGCAAAAGAGACCCCTTAGACACTGACCTAAGATCGTCATCTCTCCGGCCATTACAGTCCCGCCGAAGAGGCTTGGGATGACTGTACCAGACGTGAGGCACCGCCCCCACACCGCCCCGCCAGCCCGCCGCCCCCTGGGAAATGTAGTCGTTCTGTTCTGACGCAGTGGAAGAAGCTATTGCTCCGTCCACAGCGAGGACATCAAGTACCGTAAGGCCGCGGGGCGGAGAGCCTCCATTCAACCGCTGCCAGTGACGATCCAGGCGCCCTCCCACGCGCGGATTGCGGAACCAGTGAGGCTGAGATGGAGGGCCGGCACGGGGATGGACTAGAGTTATTACCAAACCTCAAACGCCTGGGGCCAACTTGAGGTAAACATAGTCTCTTTAGCTCCGCCCTTCCGCTTTGCATTCTGGGAAGTGTAGTCCTGTGCCCTATCTGGCGGAAAGCGTGAGAAGGAGGGTGGAAACCCTTAGGGTGATGTTTTCTTTGGTCTCTGGCCTAGGGCGCTGGCCTTTGTTTTTTCCTTCGACTTGCGTGTAAAGCGTGTTTCTTTGCCTGTGATCTAGATTTTAGATGGAGTTCTTCTAAACCCGCAAGCCCCTCCAGCTTCCCCTTGCCTCAGTGCAAGCCCAGAGGAGGCCTAATGTCCCTACTCATTACCCTGGGCACAGTCCTGGAACTCTAGTAGGCTCTTCAGGCTTCTACTTTTGGTTTGGGACAAACGAATTCAAGTAATCTTCAGTGAATGCGATTTATCTAAGAGCGAATTTTTCTATTGCTAAGCACCAAAGTGGGCCCTTGACAAAACAATAAACCTAGCTTTATCTTAAATCATAAGTAGCCAGAATGTCCTTTATGGACAGGTCCTATAACATATATTGGCTAGTTAGAATACTTACGAAATGTTTTTTAAGTTTTTAGTTGATGATTTTTGATTCTCATTTCTTAGTCGTGGGCTCCTTTTGACACTACTTTTGTTGTTTTTGTGACGGAGCTGGGGCCTGTGAGAAACTGAGGCAAAGGGAGGACCACCCTCTTCAAACCCTGATCCTTGAGACTAAGTCAGAAGGATTTCAGACATGTCGTTCCAAGTAATAGGCATGAATTTATTAAGAGCTAGGGAAGGGAAAGGGACACTTTCAAGGGAAGGAGTGGGTTCTCTCAGGAGAGAAACAATATGCCTCTCATGCACTCCAGTTTTATTGGGGATCCTAGAGAAGCTTCCAGAGTCCTGCACCTCATGACTTGTCTGGCAGAAGGATGACATCAGACTTCCAAGTCCCCACTGTCATGGTAACTCTAGGTTACCTTGGCCCATGCTGACTGGAACTCATTGGATTCTTAAGCATCCATTTTTACAGATTTTACATTTGGGACGAACTCTTCTTATCTCCCAGAGTTTTAGGATCTAGTCACAAAAGTCTCCTGGATTTCTCCCTTGACATTATCTTGGGCCTGCATTTCTCTTGCAGTTAACAGGTAGTCTGCTCAGGAATTTAACTTATATTGTTCACTTTGGTCAGATAGGCCCGCAATTTTCCAAATTGCTTCTTGGAAAAGAAAGCATGTGGGGGTCAGCCACCAAGGTGCCAATTTTATAGAATTATTCTCTTAACTTCATGTTCCCACCATTCATATATGTCTGTTCCCTAACATTTTAACTGCTAAAGTTCTTGAGACTGAAGATCCTGGAGACTTGAATCTGTTTTCTATGGGAATAAACCTCTATTAGCTTTCTAGCTGATTCAATTGTATATATAAATGGATATTGAATCTGAATTAAGACTATTGAGGATTCATTCTAATATGCTATTTGTGTTTTTTAAGCATGTGAAATGTGAAACTTATGTATACATGTATATAACAAGTACTATTCAGTAAAATTTTTGTGAAGAATTTATATTCAATTTTTGAATACTGTTATGGGAAATAATGATACTAACAAATATTGCTGGGGAGTTGCTATATACTGTAGTATATAGCATATACTATAATACCAGCCTGGACAGCTAGCAGAAACAGAATTGAAGAAATACTATACTCTTAACTTAAAGCGGTTTGTGGAAGAGAATATGAGCAGTATTTTGGAGGGTAAAGGGAACTAAAACATAGATTAATGGAGGAGTAGTATGAATAGTAGGCTGGGGATTCTAGGTAGAAGGAACTGTATTACTAAGAGCATAGGAGCAGAAAAACATCCCCTAGGTTAGAAACTCTAGGGACATGAAGTATGGGTGGAAGTATGAGATATAGGACTAGAGAAGTCAAAGCAGATCAGGAAGATTGTGTCAGTCACTGCTCATTGTCATGCTTCCTGCCACCCATTCCTTTCTCCTTGGTAAAAGTATTCTCACGTGTTCAAGGAGTAGCTAGAGTTTATATGCTTTTAGAGTGGCAGGCCTTTATCTAAGGGGAGGAATTTAAATTGAACATTAATTTTTTATGCTGTCTTAAATTTACCACAAATTTGATGTCTTGAACTAATACAGATCTTATTATTTTACAATTCAGTAGGTCAGAAATTTGATTTGGAATTCATAGGATTAAAATCTGGATACTGTCATGCTGAATGAAATAAGCCAATCTCAAAAAACCAGAGGTTGAATGTCCACTCTGATATGTGAATGCTAACCACAACAAGGGGAGTGGAGAATAGAACTTCAGTGATTAGACAAAGGGAAATGATGGGAAAGAGCGGGGCTAGATTAGGAATGACAGTGGACTGAATCAGACATACTTTTACTATGCACATATGGGAATACACTTCAATGAATTTAAACATTGTGTACATCCAAAAGCCTGGGATCCTAAAGATATATTCCAGGCCTGTGTAAATATATCAAAATATATTCTACTGCCCTGTGCAACTAAAAAGAACAAGTGAAAATCAAGTAGTCATCAGGGTGTGTTCCTTTCTGGAGATTCTAGGTTTGAATCTATTTCCTGTACATTCAAATTGGCAGAATTTATTTCCTTGTGATTATAGGATCAAGGTCTCATTTTCTTTCTGTTTGTAAACTAAAGGCTGTTCCCAACTTGTAGAGGCCACCCACATTCCTTAGCTCAGAAATTTCTTACTGCATCTTTAAAGCCAATAACAGTGGGTCAGGTCCCTCTTAGAGGACATTGTTTTGTATCCTTTAAAGGTCATGTGATTGGGGTTGGTGCTGTAGCTTAGTGGTAGAGCTGTTTGCTTAGCCCTGGTGAGGCACTGGGTTCAATCCTAAGCACCACATAAAAAATAAATAAATAAATAAAATTATAAAAAATATATTTAAAAAAAGGTCATGTGATTAAGTTGGATCCATTCAGAAAACCTAGGATAATTTCCATCTCAAGCTCTTTACCTTATCATATCTTCAGAGATCCTATTTGGCATGTAAGGAAACATAGTCATAAGTTCCATGAATAAGAGTGTGAACTTCTTTGGGAGGCAGTTATTCTTCCTATATCATGATTTGTCCTCTTGTTCTCAAAGATTCATAACTGTACATATACAAAACGCAGCATCCCTTCCAAATCTCATCCTGTTAACAACATTAACTTAAAGTCTGAAGAGCTATTCCAAACTTCATCAGCTCAAAAGCCCAAATCTTTTTAATATTATATAAATATTTTTATATTATATAAAAATCTTTTTATATTATGTAAATATATTATATAAATATATATTATATAAATAAACAAATCTTTTTATATTATATAAAAAGTTCTTTTTAATATTATTATATCCCCGAGGACCAAGAACCTCTACAGTGGTGTTGGGAAATGAGAAGAGCAAGAACAGAAAAATAAAAGCAGATGTACTTATTTATTCCTGTTTTCATGGCAAGGAGCTAATAGATGTTATGTAGAATGGAGAACTTAAGATATAATTCAAAGTAAAAAATGCAACTATTAGAAGGACTAAAAAAAAGGAAACGTAGAAAAAAGAATAGGTTATAAAGAAAAATAAGTGGAACAAAATAAAAATATGTAAATTTTTTGTGTTTTCTATAGAAGAGAGTCAATTTAATTGTAAAAATTCATAGGGCAAGCATATCAATAAAGCAGTAGGAACAAAAAATAGATGACAGATTTAGGATCAATACTAACAAATACAAATGGGGTAGACCAAAAACTACCAGATTGTTCCTTTAAAATCCATATCTGAAAACAACAAAACACAAAAATTAAAAGGATATTTCCTTACATGTAAAAAAAAAACTCAAACAATAAACCATCATCAAACTTCAAATTACAACTAGTAAAATTGGAAATGAGATAAAAATGCCTATTTACAACTATTATATAATATTTCTCTGGAATATCTAGTGCAAAGAAATAAAATGGAAGTTACAAATTTGGGAAAAGAATAAAGGGGCAGATTTTTCATTTTATAAACATGATTATTTACAAAGATAATAAGCTAAGAATATTTGAGAAGCAATAAGAATTAAGTGGGAACTTGTTCAATAATATTATGCAAAGATAACTTTCCTGTTGCAAATGAGAACCAGTTATAAAACAATATGGCAGGAAATATCACATTTGTGGTAGCAAACAAGAAGATAAAATCCACAGAAGTAAATTTAAGAATAAAAGAAAAAAGCTGTTAAACTATCCTAACACTGAAACAATACCTTTTAGTAAATGAAAATAGAACACATTTTTGGGTCAAAAAACAATACATTTATTATATAAAATTTTAAATATATATTAGAGTAGAGGGAACTAATTTTTATGTACCTCATCTAGATTCAATTTTATGTCTATCTCTACCCAGTTCTCATTTTATATTGCATTAAATCAAATGTGAGATATATTATTTTAGCCTTAAATATTTTAATAGATTTATCTAACAGTGTTTTCAAAAACACACACAATAATATTATTAAGCCTAAATATCCATAGTTATATTTTGTTATTAGTAATTGTCAGTGCTCTAGTTTCCAAACGCTTCATAAATATATTATTGCCTTCCAGGTGACTCTTTGAATTCCAATCCAAATAAATTCTTCAATTTGTAGTTTTGAAGAAATTTGTCCTACAAAGTTTTTCACAGTCTAGATTTGCTGATTCATTGTATAATTTGAAAATTTATTCTAAAGAACGGAGTCTTTGCTGTCACA